AACGGAAAAACAAAGATATTCGATTTTCGATGTAGGCGACCCGGGTCGCCTGCCAAAGACCACCACTGCCCTGGATGTAATGGACCATCATGATTCCTGCCTTCCGGAACGGAGCCGTCAACACTTCTGGACTGCCATATCTGGGCCGTGCGTCGAACCAGCCTTCTGTCGAACGGCCACTCGTCGAAGGACGATAAATTTTGGAACATAACTATACTATCTGAAACCTAACCTCAGATGCGGTGAACGTAAAATTACGTAATTTAACGATGCCTGGAAGTCATATCCGATCCGCGGCCTGGTGGTGCACGACAGGTTTTATGCAAGGCCGGAGGAGGACAAAGTAGAGTGGGTCACGGCTGATTGGTGGATGTCCGGAGAGATCCAAGGCGTTCGATTCAGGGCTTATTGGTGCACAAAATTGGTGGTACATGGCTGCGCTCCCGGCGACCCCATTAATGTTTTTCTTCTGAGTTGTTAATTTTTCTTGGACATCATACGAATATGAATGAGATTAATATTTCCCTTTGAAAGTTGCTCACCTTGTTTACCTAGCGTATTACATGCAGTCTTGATCTCACCGTCGTGTGTGCCCGAGCTCGTGTCAATTTACCTGGAACTTTATGAAGTCTTTGACGCTCTCGCCCCCAATGTTCTGGTCGTTCTTGGGATGTAATACATATTAAAATAATAAATTGAGATTAAAGCGGCCGGACGACGACCCCGGAGGCTAGCTGACCTCTCCCTGTATTTAAGGATACTCGTCGCTGGTTCATGTTCCTGGAAAAAATTTAACTTTCATGGACAATTTTTGAATTTCAAGGGCGTTGCCCTTTGTGAAATTTGCTTGTTATTGACGAAACTTCGTAATTAAACTTGAATATTTTCCTCTGTTATTATTGCAGTTCTCCCAGTTTTCTTTGTCACTTTATGTACGCGGTAAAATTTTAAATACTCGTCGCTACAAAGAAAAACTATTATTCAACTTGGGGTACTGCATCTTCTGAAAGTTCTGATCCCTTATACGTAGTACTATCCTAGAATAATTTATGATTCCATTGGTTTTCCTTGAACTTCTCACTTTTCTCTCACTCGAATTTGTACTCTTCCGAGTAACCGAGTTGCGTTTCAATCGCCTATATATTGGTCCTCACTGCGTTGAGAACGCTTTTTTAATGGTGACTTTATTTCGTATATTTTAACTCATATGCTTGTTTCATCAAGCGCTGTGTTACTAATTGTTTCCTGAACAGTATGAGCTGGCACGTCATTACAGCAGCAGTCATTTAAGGTTGGATAGATTTTACCATGGCTCTCTGATGGCACGGAGTGTGCGATACTAATGTCTATGTCATAAAGCACCGTATCGCTCCATGCCCTCCATCAATCATCCTACATCATTGAGTTATCAGCGACAGGCAGGTCTAAAGCTTCACAACGACGCGTCGGGATCGCACTCGTTCTCTCGTCTCTGTACGAGACTTGCACTGTCGTTCCTTAATTAACTAAGCATGCATACATGTTGCCCAGCGCTCACTGCCCCGCTGCTGCTGCTGTTAGTGCACCAAGAGTGGCTGGTGTGAGCGCTCAGCCTCCACCTTTACCATTCGTGACTCGAGGCCAATTATTTCAGTAACCAGTAACAATGTGTAACACATTAACTCTTCATAAAACGGCTTTGGAATGAATGATTCATGCCAGCGTGCGAGTAACGGCAGGTTCGATGTTCTACTTTTTGCTTTGTTTTTTTTTTTTATGCAGTACTCATGCTCATTATATATTATTGAACATATGTATTGCGTTTTTCAACTACTATTTACCACGCCTGGAAAGTCAAATTGCACAGTACATCAGTTGTTATATAAATATTATACGAATTTTTTAAACGGCTCTCAACATCATTAGATCAATCCTGGCCTGTGGTTGGGTCTTTGAGTGTTGCTCAATACTAAGTGATTGTTCAGTTACTTCACTGCGTATCTTTATCCCAAGTTTAAATACCAGCTTTCGCTCGATGTCCTGCGGATTTGGAACTTTCATTCACCACCGTAGACTACCAGTACTTACATTTGTATGAACCTAGATGTTGATACTCGGACTTCTCGCTCATGTCATCTTTTTTTCTACTTTTTCTAACAGTTCTCTTTGAAAGAGGAATACTGTCATATTTTGTTAGCTGCTCGGGACGAATGCGTCTGATGAGCAATCCCTAATGAAGTCACCGCCAGAAAAAGGCTGGTTCCCTTTTACAGTTTTTTCCTAGTGGCACCGGTGGCTGCACCTTGCATTACAGACAGTTTAGTGAACACACTTTCTTTTTTTTACATTATGAATTGTCTCATGGCTTTTTCTTTCTCCTATTACTAAAGTATACCTATGATTAAATGTTTAATTTGTTTGTTTCTTTATATGTTATTTTCAAACTCGTGAACTCCGCCACTGCGCAACGAGCAAACTGCTTTGCTCCCAAATCTCTTGAAGAAATATTTACCAGTCCATAACTGATAACAAATTCGACATTTGTCCTTTAACCTTCATAGTTTTAGCGGCAGCCATGCATAAATCAACGCTAATCCTCTTACAAATTTTATATTTTAATAAAACCCTCCCGTTGAACCAAATATCAATTCTCAATATGGATGTTAATAATTGATGACTAGTCGTCACCATAATATTCTGTAGCCACTAACCCATTCAATATCCTTTTATTTTAATAAAATTTTTAAAAATATTTTGATAATTTCGAACAAAGATAATTTAAAGTTTACATAGAATAACAACGGTTGAGCTGCTAATGCATGTTCTATAGGGGTCGAATAATGTATACAATACGGAATACAATGACAGGTTGGCGCTCGTAATTCACTCACCCCCTCATTTATTGGGACAAATTTTCAATGCACAAACTAATTTGGTACAATAGCATTTCAACGACATTACGTGCGACTGGAAGCCTGAGAACACTTATCAACCGAAAATTTTTGGCTGTATTTAGCCGGGCCCACTTGCATGGATGGCCGTTAGACTATAAAAACTTTGACTAAATGTGCAATACAGAGTTCACTTACTTCCTGTCGCAAGATAATTATCGGTGAAAATTTTATTCAATTTTTATGTGTGTTATGTTTCTTAATGGCATAATCTTCACACTGGTAAATTAATTGTTGCTGATAAAATTCATTACTCTTGTATGCCGAAATCACACCTTGTGACTGCTGTTCAGTGCAGTTAATACGCCTCGTTTCATCGAGTCCAGTTGTACACAAAATAATGACGCTAATGTGGCGATGCAGGCAAGCATAATAATGAGGTGGTTTGAACTTCTGGACGTCTTGATTGAAAATGAAGCTCAAATTTAGGCCTATCCGTGCTGAATTACTAGCGCCGCATTTTTGATTAGCGCGCTAAAAGGGTACACTTCTCAGATATACTTTTAGGCTGTACTCTAGTTATGAATACCATCATTTAGCTCTTGTATTACACTGCAAGTTACCGCAAATCCACGTCTTGCAAACAGATCACCATAATCGGGAATCGCGGAAATTTATAGATCAGAGCTTAATCTTTAACATTTTAAATCCGACCATTATACTTACGATGCTGGCATATCGATGAGTTTCATGCCTGGTATTGGCTGATATTTTGAAATCTTGGTGGTGGAAAGCGGATTGAATTCGCTGTATTGCAATTGTTCGTGACTGAATTGCAGCATCTCTAATTTTTCCTCTGTTCTTCACTCAACGCAGAGTGCCACGCTTCTGCACTCATAGCGTGCCGTCGATTGTTGAGAATGTGTTCACGTTGCAGCGATTGCCAGTACGTAAGCAAGTGGCTCGCAGTGGCTGAGTTGTATTGTTAGAGTCCACTATTAAAGTCACCCTGACGTTCAGTAGTTCTCAATTGCGCTCCATTCGTACACGTCGAGATGATACCTCAGATATGACGCCATTGTCGACACATATGGCGTCATCCTGCATGCTGGGTTTTGAAGCTTTTAGTTCAATTTCGTTTTGGGGAGTGAATTAATTAATGTCATTGCATTTGATTAAACCCAGCTGGGAGACGAGGCGAATAAAATTGAATTATATTGCCTCCAGAGTTTACGGGTGTAACAATAATGCCGAGCAATATTCTCTTTGTCTTATGTGTCTCAAGATTTAATGAAGTTCATCCGGAATCTCCCTCCAGCTTATGAATATGCGGCAGCCTTTAAACCTAAAATGTATCGAGCATTAAATTTTGATTGAGTATTCCACGATGCTTAATGTACATTAAATCCATTCATCTCAATTTTTTAATGTAAGCATTCTCGTCCGTTTGAGTTGGAGTTTAACATGGAATTCTATGTTGTTTTAAGTGTATTTTTAGTTTTTCAGGAGTTCGTATCACTGACTTAAGTCGTGCTCATTAAGATGTAAGTTCTGTATGGCCCATCCAACAAGACGAAAGTCGCTTGTTACTTTATATATTATTTTAAGAAAAGCTCTGATTTAGAGGATCTCGTGATGATTGTGCAATGCTACACTCTCCTTCAAACGAACTTGGTTTGTAGCCTAGGGCAACCTCCTGTAGATTGATGCTCGGTGACGTTTCTGGTTTATTCCATACTGTCTTATACTGCTTCGTTACCGTATTTTGATTATAAATCCAGTTATTGTAAGTCATTTAATCCTTTTAGAATATTTAATTCATTGACACTCGTTCAATGATAGTTTAAAATATTTTTGATAGATTTTTATAAGCTATCGTATTTCTGTGTGTAGTTTCAATTATCATCCTAACAGAACTTTCACTGTTTTCCTAGATCACATGACAGGAAGCTTGCCGTGTTCGCTTTACTTGTTTACTTTAGTGCACTGTCGGCCCTTTCACTTTAGAGTTAAGATGTCAGAGCTGTAACGACGCTTTTTTTGCTCTTTCAATAGTATTTTTGTCAATGATTGAGTCGCGTGAAAATGCGAGTTTGTTGCATTCTAATTATCGTCTTTTCTTATTTGCAGACGCTTATCGCATGACCAAGTCTCCGTGAGCGTCGATGTGAATACCTCGGACCGCACCCGCTGGCAACGCGCCGCCTGAGCCATGGTAGTTCTCATCGGGAGGTTGGAGGTGGTGGTTGTCGAGGCGAGGCAGCTACCTAACTTGGACGGTGGCTTGTTGAGATCTGGTGATAAAAGTGACCCGTACTGCATAGTTCAGGTGACTGGAGCCTCCGGCACGCTACGTCTCGGCAAAACACACACTATTGATGACTGTCTTAATCCAAAGTGGTATTACAAAATCAATTCAGACCTTCAACAAGATGTTTCTGGATTGAGTTTTGTTGTCAAAGACAAAGATTTTGTGTCGTCTGAAGTCATCGGCACGTGTAGTGTTTCTGTAGATAAATTCACCACAGGCCACCACTTCGATAGCAGCCTTGATTTGATATCCCCTAAAGGTAAACCGGCCGGACAACTCTTTGTGAATGTGAAGTTCAGTGGAACAGATACAATATCAAACCGCCATCCCAGCTTACAAGATAAAGCCAAACTCAAGGCTAGCGATTTTTCAAGACGTGTGTCTCGTGGCATTGGCTGGGGTGACGCTCCCGCGACTGATTCATTTTCTTTCTCTAACTCCGAGATGGCATTCTTACACGGCGTCCTGGAAGTTGAAATTTTAGAAGCAAGCAACCTTCCTAATCTTGATAGCTCGCTTCTAAGTTTAAAGAAGAAAGACGTTAGTGATCCGTTTGTTGTAGTTACTCTAGAGGACGAAGAAGGAGGCTCGTGGAAAGTTTGCACAACTAGTGTCATTGATAATAACCTTAACCCACAATGGAACGAAACTTTCAGAGTAGATGTGTGCCACAATGTGGTATCAGTTACCTTCACGGTCAAAGACAAGGATTTTGTTTCATCGGAAACTATGGGCTCGGTTAAATTCACTGCCGAGGCCTTAAACGCTGACAATACGCTCGCTGGGAAATTTGATCTCATTTCGTCCAAAAGCAAGAAAGTTGGCCAACTGACTTTGTCGATCACTTACCGATCCAAGGTGGACTCTACTTCTAGCCCTGAGGTACCGGGCTGCCTTTATCCCATGCGCCAAAATAATATGGTACGGCTGTATCAGGATACTCATTGTCCTGCCCTCCCGATGCCTGTTGTGGACCTCACCGGACAGCCTTACGAGTGTCACAGGGCGTGGCTTGATCTCTACAATACCTTGAATGAAGCACAGCACTTTATTTACATAGTTGGATGGAGCGTAAGTGCAAAGATCAGCTTGTTGCGATGGGAAGGAGAAGACCAGAGAACCTTGGGTGACATTTTACTTCACAAAGCCAATCAGGGAGTCGCCGTCTGCTTATTACTTTGGGATGAAATCACGTCCAATGATATCAGGAAAACTGGTGCCATGAGTACTCAGGATGAGGAAACGAAAAACTTCTTCAAAGGATCAACTGTTAGAGTTGTGTTAGCTCCCCGTGACCGCTATTCAAAAGACATGTTTTCAACGAAAACGCAGTTTACAAGCGTTTGCTACACCCATCACCAGAAAGTCGTGATTGCAGATGCAGCGAACGAAGATGACCCAACACATCGTCACGTCGTTGCTTACGTCGGTGGTTTGGATCTGACAGGCGGACGGTTCGATACTCCCGAGCATCCATTGTTTCGAACTCTAGTGGCTGAGCACAAGAATGATTTCCGAAACAAAATGCACTTATCAACAAGTGCGTCAGGACCTCGAGAACCTTGGCACGATATTCACAGTCGTGTTGAAGGCGCAATAGCTTTAGATTTGTTCGCAAACTTCGAAGAGCGATGGTCTAAACAAGGAGACCCCGATTTCACTACGCTCACTGGGCCTTTGAGAGGGGTCCAACGTGAACATAGTTTCCCTAATCCCAACAACTGGAATGTTCAGATGTTCCGCTCAATTAATTCTGACTCGGCTATTTTCAACTGGCAGACAGTCATCGGCGACGCTCTGACCCACAAAAAAGGACGAGCTTACGACAACAGTTTGCATCGCGCCTACATCCACCAAATCAGGAGAAGCGAACGCTTCATTTATGTGGAGAACCAATATTTCCTGGGAAGCAGCCATGTTTGGCTGGACTGCCGTGATGCTAAAGCCGGCAACTTGGTCCCTTTGGAAATAACTCGCAAAATCGAGGAAAAAATCATCAAGGGACAACAGTACACGGCGTATATCGTCATTCCAATGTTCCCTGAAGGCAAGCCTGCTGATAAAGTAACGCAAGAAATTCTTCACTGGCAGTTCAGGACAATCGAAATGATGTACAATCGCATTGGCGCGGCCTTGCGAAGCGTGAGTTCTAACGCTCATCCTCAAGACTACCTCCTGTTCTTCTGTTTGGGTAAAAAAGAAGACGCGCGGACAGTGCCTGACTCGCTCACTCCTCCGGAAGATCCAGCAGCTGCTGCAGCGTTTGCAAGCAAGCGTCTAATGATCTATGTTCACTCGAAGATGGCAATCTTTGACGATGAATACATCATCGTTGGATCAGCCAACATCAACGATCGCTCACTGAGCGGTAACCGTGACACTGAGATCGCCATAGGGGCTTATCAGCCTTTTCCCGGCAGTCCTGGAACTGGAAAAGTTGGCGGCTTCCGTAGATCTCTGTGGGTGGAGCACTTAGGCACCGTGGCCCCCATCTACATGGACCCCAGCGGGTGGGAGTGTGCGCGCAAGATGAAGGAGTTGGGTGAGCAGGGGCTTGAAGCTTACCTGAAAGACGATGGAATCGCGTTAGATCAACATTTGCTGTTGTATCCACTTCATGTCGGTGAAGATGGCAGAGTAACGGCCTTCCCCAACTGCACGTGCTTTCCTGACACAAACGCCAGCGTTATTGGTGCTCGTTCGAAAGTCTTCCCCAGTAGTCTTACTACGTGAAGTTCTTTTGTCATGTTAATTTTTCTTTGGATGCTTATGAAGAACTTTAATTTTTTACAGTGTATGTAAAATGTGTGACTTTTATTTTTCTTCCACTCTGAACCTTCATAAAACGCAGATTTTCATGTTAACAGTCGTTATTTTCAGCGATTGCAAATTAACTGGAGGTTTTTACAATCTAGCACTGTTTTAATTACTTTAAATTTTTATGTTTAATTTTTGGTTGCTTTTTTGTGGATGAAGCACAAATGCCTTACAATCTAGTATGTCATGTTTTTTGAGAACTTTATTCTTATTATCCGTTTTAGTTGTATAAAATAAATCTTGAAGTTTAATGATAAATTTACTTGTAAATTCTGCAAGTAAAAGTTATTCGCGGAATTTTCTAGCGCTGTCGATTAACTCACGCACATAATGCAGGAAAACATTGCTAAAACGTACGTCGCTGCGATTAAGTAAGGAAAAAGTTGTTGCACCAAACTCTACGTAATTAGTTCTATGTATCGAAGTATGATTCATTTGTTTATGAAAATTTTTTGCACCGCATTGGCGTTCATAATTGGTTTACCAACATATTAGAATTTTTTGTCATAATGTTTTACTTGAACTCCTCTTTTCCTGCACCTAGTTGATTGTAATACTTTTTTACGTAAAGGCTTATGAATATTTGATCCAGCTGACGGTCGCTGAACGCCGCTCGCCGGCTGATGATCGTTGAATAATTTTTTTTCGCTTGACCGTTGTTCGTGCAAGTCTTTATGAAATGCAGCTATAGTACGTGCTACTTTTTAGGTGCTATCCTACTTGCTAATAACTTTCTATTAGTCAAGCCGTTGATTGGGTGTAACTAACTAATCGGTCTTTGAAGGTCGATCAGAGTGGTTTACTGTTGATTGTACGAAAATTTTGTGAGTGTTTTATTCATGTGATCATTCCCAGCTTATTTCGATTTAGGATTATTCCCAGCTCATTTTAACTTGTGATTATTCCCAGCTCTTTATTAACTTGTGATTATTCCCAGCTCATTTTAACTTGTGATTATTCCCAGCTCTTTATTAACTTGTGATTATTCCCAGCTCATTTTCAACTTGTGATTTTCTCAGCTCATTTTCAACTTGTGATTATTCCCAGCTCATTTTTAACTTGTGATTATTCTCAGCTCATTTCAACTTGTGCTTATTCCCAGCTCTTTTTCAACTATGATTATTCCCAGCTCATTTCAACTTGCGACTATTCTTAACTCATTTCAAAGAATTTGGGCTTCAGAATTTACTTATTATTATTATGATTGATTAATTTGTTTTAGTTATATTTTGCAGGCAATTGATTACACGTTTTCTCTTTATTTTCGTTTTATTTTCTCCATTCCCATTTGAATTTTATTTTGAGCTGTTGTTCTTTGTTGGATATGAGCACTCCAAAAGGTGTTTCGTTAGGTCTGCGTACTCGAAATGAATAACTTATACCATAAATGGATCTTTACAACTTCTCAAATGAATCTAACTCCGTATAAGTTTTGTATTTCCATACTAGTTTCATACTAGCTGATCAAAACCTATTCTCATATTTGTATAATTTATGGAAAGTTTCAAGCTTTATTGTATATTGTGTAATAATCTTCTTCTATATTATAACAACTCGTGAAGTCTCTTGAATAGACAGAATATGTTCGAAGGGTAATTTTGTGAGCGTAGTGCACAATCAGAGATCGTGTGAGTCTTCCATCGGCGTTATACTGTGATGTACAGCAGACCACTTCTATCTTCCAGCTAGTCGTCAGCTTCTCTCGACTCCATTACTGAAATCTGCTAAGCATAAACATCGTGAAAAAATTTGCGTTACGCTTGCGGCTCACTTTAAGCCAGCTTCCGGATAAACGATCCCCAATTTGATTAAGGCATTTTAGCTAATTTTTAACTCTTATGCTGGCTTTCAGTTCTTCCTCAACTCGCCGATAAGTAGAACTAAGCACGATAATCAAGTGAGGTGAATCTTTCACTTGCATAAATTTTTTCTGAACGAGTACTGTTGAACGTTGTAAAGATTTCTTTTTCGCTTTTTATTAAAATCATGATAAAGGTTCCTATATTTCTTCACGTTCGATTGAAGTTTGTGATAATCCGAAGTTAAAAGTTGGTTTGGCATCTTGCTGCAGCGTGAGGAAGTCTCTAGCCATTGATGAGTACAGGGATGAATGTCGTATATATAGCAGGGCGATGACCCACATCCATATTAGTGTAGCGGATCTCGCTACATAGCACTAATGTTATGCATAACATATCACTAATTCTTATATTTTTCATACTAACATAATATAACTAATTTTTATGTTTCTTATACTAACATTAATATTAACACTCACAATACACATTAAAGTCGTACATTTTAAATCATATTAAATAATTATAACATCATCACGAGAGTTTCCTGCATCAAAACGAGCAGGTCACGTGAGCTGAGCTAATAAATAACCTAACAATTTATTGTGTGTTCATTTCTCCCAACCAAATTCGTCCTGCCGATATCTATGTTTCTGTCCGTGCATTGGTAAACAATTCAGGTTAACTAGCCAGGCCATTCAATTCTCTGATAGGAGTTGAATAATTTAATGTGGAGTGGTAAAAGAAAACCCCCACATTAGTGTTCTACACCACGCAACCCTGCGGGCAGGTGGCAGCGGCATCGAGCTGTCATCGTCCTGTGCATATTGATGAACCATGATGAATTACTTGCTTCGTGGCTCCACTATGGTCAGCACATGATCTGATAAATGGAAAAAATGTTCGCGATAGATCAATTGTTGCCAGGCCAAACTCGATTGAGGATTCTGGGCAACTAACGACAGTCGAGTTGTGTGGCGGCATTTCTGGTTCACAAAATAACTTTCGTTCAATTTTACAGATACAATCATACTGTTACATGTTTTTCGTTCATATTTCCTTATTAGAATGGAGATACCATTATGTTGCTGTAAGATTTTTTATTTACAATTGCCATCGTTTTAAGCAACGTATTGCTTTAACAAACTTGATATATACGGCCCTTTCTCTCTTCAAGAATCACAAGCGTAATGTGTAGCCGAAACCTTCGTTTGAATTCTTGTCTTGCTGTACGATTGCCACACGCGTTGTTTAATTTTCTTCTTATTTTTCTTGCGGAGAGAGGGGAAAGTGGCCTTCCCAAGCCTTGAATGGGGCTCTACTCGTGCCTCAAAATTTTCCCTTCTAAGGAAATAATGCCGGAGGATTTCTCGAAAATTTTAATTCTGAGGTTTTATGCATAGAGAAAATAATTTTACTAAAGTATATCAGGGTTTGACACTTAACATGACGGAGATATATTATAGCCAGATTTTGGATTAGAATTCATAAGAATTCTAAGGCTCAGTGACCATAAAAACAGAAAGAAACCATGTCAGTACAAAGAGAACAAGGAATGAATAGGCCATGAAGACTCGCTGCAGGGGTCTGACAATTTTTTAGTCTTATAAATGTCGTTTCTTGTGAATCATTCATTACGTAATAAATAAACGATACAATAATAAAGTCATCAGCTGGCTGCAGGAGACGGCACTGAAAATAGAGTTCTCCTATAGCGTGGGGAGTTGACACAAAATTGTGAGGAGAGCCACTAGGGCTTACCCCTGTTTTTCGTTCTGTAAACTAAACGATGCCGACAGCAAAATCTCTTCTGTTGCCAACTCCTCCAAACCCTCTTACTAGCCAGACTTGAACTACATAAGGATCATAAACCTTCTGTTTACTACGAAATGAAACAACTTAGGATCAATTCTAATCGTTCAGACTTCTCTTGAGCAGTTGCTGGGTACGATTTACTTTAAGTTTAGCCAGAGTAACAATTCTTGCGCATGCGTTGACACTCGAGGTGTGAGCTGGCAACCAACAGAGTGCGTGCGCCAGCGATGTGTATGAAGCGAACAACCCAGCCGTTCATGTGAACATCCATTGCAGCGTGGGTGTACGCTGTTGATAAGTACATGCCCTGTGCACACTAGAATGGAAGCCAGCTGTGCTTAATCTTCTAATTAGAGTTTGCAGTTAATCTTCCTATGGCGATTAAAACCTGCGATTCAGAAAATAACTGAAACATCTGCACTCTGTTGATTACACGACAATCAATAGAATAGTCAAGTTCGTATTTCTGAATTATAAGCGTTCATTTTGTTCGCATATTGCTCGGAATTTAACTATGTGACATTGAAAATTCGTGCAGAAATATTTGTTGTGTGTTTTTAACAATAGTGTATCCATATGAGATTCGCACACATAAGCATATCTTTCTGAACGTCCTGACAAACGCATGGTTGTTATTAGTAGCTTTATTAACTTTTGATCCTCAGAAGGCATAATCAACAATTACTATTCCCTTTTATACCTTTTCATGAAGTAAAGTTTCAAATAAATCTCCATACCCATAAAGAATAATCCTCTCAACTATTTGCCTCTCGTTCCTTGACAATTTTGATGATCAAAAATATCAGCTAGCAACCGACATGTATGAATAGAGGTATTTAGTTGTACATCCCGTGGCTGTCCAGCTTTCAGTGTATACCTGTTAAAAATATTATGAATAAAAGATTAAATTTAAATCAGGGCCGCACAGGTCGCTAAGCACGGATGTGTAAAGTTCAACAAGGCTGCTTTCATATGCTTGGTCGGACTCTTAGCTGCGAACCTTCCTCTGCAGTCTGCACTGCATGTCGGCGGCTTTCAGCTTAGCGCTAACCTATTTTATATTCCGTCAGTAAGCATCAAATATGGAGATTAATTTACGCCATTTCTTCGCCGCGCAATGTCTAGTTTCAGATGTTAGGCATATGAATGGCTGAATTTGTTAATATCTTATTTTTTCGAGAACTTCAAATACGCCGCAAAATAATTGCAATTTCTGGTCAGAAATTTTGAGTCAAGTCGCGAAATAATTAGCGATATTTTTCCGTTGTCATAGAAGCGAAAAAAAATTGGCAATTTTTATGATTATTAATACATGTCAATTATTCGTTGCACGCTAATTAGTAGTTTTTATTTCTCCTCGTTCTTTAAAGCTTATTTAATTTCCCCCTCCCCTCGTTAACTTGTGCTGCATAGCGATGGACCCTTCAAGCTGAGCCAAGGCATTATTCCATGCTACAAATTTCATATTAATGGCTATGTATTGTGTGGAAAGTATTTGTACTCTTTTAGCACTCGCATTTTACGAGTATGTATCCGCTGGTTTTGTAATCTTAAGAAAAGTTATGCGGTCGCGTACTCATTATATTTTCAGACATTATGTCGACAAATCAAGCGAAATATTGCTGTACAAATCCTTCACATTGTCTGATTGTGAACCTTGTTTCTTTTAATTGATATAGATGTGCTGTTCTCTGTCGAACCACACAATTTTCTCGTGATCTAACTTAAGATTGCCCGTAGTTTTGAGCCTTTGTATTAAATTTTAATGATACTTTACATCCATTGTTCCAGTAGACTGCTATACACAGCAGAAATATTGTCTTTACTCTCATCGGGCTGATGATTTGAAGCCTTCAAGGAGCTTCGTGTGTTTTGACTTCTTAATGTTAAAACGTTCATTCTTCGAGTGACTGGAATCTTGAGTATTACTTTAAATAAATTTCGAGCTTTTATACAGTACTAAATGTCCGTGTTATAGAATCAAGAGTGTCTTATTAAACGTTAAAGTTGTCTCCAGAGTATAATAGTTGCGCATCTGGTCTTTATTGTTAAGTTTTAAGGTGCATAAGATTATTTTTGGCCTCTCTATACAGTATCTTTCCTGCATGCCCAGCCATCACGCCTGTAATTGAGAGTATTCCGTGACCATCCTGTGAGACGCCTCGGGCTAGATCAGTGGTTCCCAAACTTTTACAGGCTGGCGCCCCCTTTGGCTCCCTAGTGAATTTCTAGCGCCCCCCACAGACACACATAAAATCATGCGCCTCTTTCTATAAAATTTAGTACGCTGCAATTTTAAAAGATATAGGTTAAACACAAATCTGTATTTCACAAATAGAACCCATTTTAGTGTTAGTGAACCAATATGCTTATCAGCTGTTTTAACTGTTTCAGCACCAAAAACCTAGGACGTCTCGGGCAAATTTACGGCCCGGACTCGTGGCCAGTCTCACGACCTATCTCCAAATTCAATTATCAAGTAATATCACCAAAACTAATGAACTCAGCTCAATAAAACTTGGAACATGTATTCATCAGAACTTAACGGTTATATTTAGCTTGCGAAAATTTTTTAAATATCACCTTCATTCGTGAGTTATATTGCGATACAGGCCAAAATTCGCAGTGATCAAAGAATTTCTTAAAAACTACCTAACAGATTTGAACGAAATTTTAATATACATTCCTAACTACCAAATGGTGTTTTTTAGATTCAACAATTTTTTTTATTTTACTGTCGTGTGCGAGATTTATTTCATTTCACCGTCATTCTTGATTTCACTCTTCCTTATTCGCTTTCGTTCTCAAGTGAACAGATATAGGTAGGAGGAACGATCGGCTTTTCTACCGGCTGGTTTAACCAAGAGCCGTTTACGTATAGCCGTATAACTCGCCAACGAAGGCAAAACGAAAAAATTGTAGCGAACTAAACATCACCGTTGCTGAGGTTAGGTATTGAAATACTAAATTTCGTTCAAATCTGTTCAGTAGTTTGGAAGAAATTTCTTGATTATTGCGAATTTAAGCACGCATTGCTGTTTAAATCACGAATGAAACTCGCGAACGAAGGCACAATCGAAGAAATTTTCACGAGCTAAATATCACCGTTCGGTAGTTAGGACTGTAAATTCAAAATTTCGTTCGAATCTGTTCAGTAGTTTGGAAGAAATTCCTTGATCAATGTGAATTTCGGCCCGTATTGCCATATAAGTATGGCAAACACAATTGAAGGCAAAATTCAAAAAAAATTTCACGAGCTTTAAATTACCGTAAGGTCCTAATGAATACGTGTACCAAGTTTCATCGAGTTAAATTCATTAGTTTGAGAGATATTCCTTGATCATTGAATTTGGAAATTGGCCGTGAGACCGGCCGCGAGTCCGGCCGTTAATTGGTCGGAGACCTAAACCCAGGAGAGGTTAAAAAAATATAGCACAGTACTCACTGCAGTGAGTGACAGAAAGCGCATTTTCTCGTCGACGAAAACGTGAAGTCACGGACGGACAGACAGGCGGACAGACAGACGGACGGACATCGCGAGCACAATAGTGCATTTTTTCCATAAATGAGAAAATGCGCTAAAAACAGATCTGGGTGAAAAAACCATCGCTGGGAGTCGTGTGCTGCACGTGTTGTGTACAAGTCGTCAAACAAACGTTCGAACTTCTGACTTCGACTTCGGACTGCCGCCCTCTCTATCGCCCCCTTATCGCCCCCCTTTCATCCTCTTCTTCTTTACCGCCCCCCAAAATCTTTCCATCGCCCCTAGGGGGGCGATATCGCCCACTTTGGAAACCACTGGGCTAGATGGAGGCCCGAGTTACCGACAATAAGCAGGGTGAGATATTAAAGCCAGGTTATAAGATCAGGAAACATTGTTCAAACTTTGATCCTTATTACGCCAGTTCATTAAAACCGTTATTGTCTATCCGGAATGTTGTTTCTTTCTCTTCAATTTTACGCTACGTGTACTCGGGAATAAAATGTTATCACTGACATCTTGCTAACCGTTTTAGAAATATTTTTATTCGTGTCCTAAATAAAATTACTGTGAACGTGTAATTGTTTTCCCAGATGCTTCGCTCTGTGTCAATAAAAATTTGATCGTCCCAAAATTTGTTTGTTTGAAATTTCAACCTTAAATTTGATGTAATTTTTAGATATATGCATTAAAATTATATTTTATTTGTTCACTATTTAATGATCACACAAAACATCATCTTAATGCCACTATTAATTGCCCACACATGGCTGAAAAAACGGCTGTTTGATGACGGTTGTGTTTTTCGGTTTGTGGTAATCAATAGGCTTCCATTTTTCGAAAATAACAAACAATCTTCCAAGTATTGAACTTCGTTGGCATTATGCTTGCATTCCATATCAGAGTTATGATGCAGCTGTTGCCACTAGCAACCTGCAGCAACAAGTGGCCGTGGCTACAAAGTTGATCAGACAGGTAAGTTCTTCCCATAGGAGTCCTTGTGTGGAACTGGTTTTATCTCGATGCTGTTTTAGGGAAGAGAGTTGAAGTTTATTTTTTGTGTGACCAGAAGACTCTGTTTATTTCTTCACCATCGAACTCTTGAATGCAATCGCCATCAAACTGAATAAAAATTAACAATTTTTAGTTAACTTGCGATTTAAGCAAATAAGTGACACTTATTCTTTAGGAAAAATTTACTTATGAAAATCGTCGAAAATTTATCGGAACTGTATATATGAATAAAATTCGTTTCTTGAAACAATTGATTTAAATTAAACTTGCATATTATTTTAATTTGCTTTGAAGAAGAAAAATTTAAAATATTGCCATCAATTTGTCTCTATTTACGGAAAAATCAGATGATCACCCTCATTCTATTGCCGGCATTCTTTCTTTATTTTCAAGGAAATCGAGTTCAGAGGCTCGTAGCAGTCAGACACCACAATATTAAATCCCAACCACATAGGTCAAATTAAATAATCTATTTAACTTTACATCACACGATGACACTCACTTTACAAGACCGGCATTTACACTATATGCCCCCCAAGCAACATCAATAATGGTCCAACTGTGATGCTCATTGATATTCAGAAAATCCAGAGATGAAATTAAAAATCTCAAACATGTGACAAATAGTGAAGTAACGATCGATAAGGTCGGTAAGGATCAAAGCTCCCAAGTTAGTTTGATTTTCAATTATTTTGCATCCTTTTAAGAATACGATCATGTATAAAAAATGACAAAAATAATTTTTATTGATGACAAATTAAATTGAGCTAGAAAACTACCTCGGCGTTGCTCTGGATAGGTAGGTAGTTTCTACATGCGATTATTTATTTTTGTACATGGATTTTATAGAAAGATTAAATAGTTGTATAGCACTTTCTCGTTCTGAGTAAAAATTTTATTTATAATACCAAATTATTTTGTTGTTGTGAAATATTCTATTGTCACGAAACAAATGAACTTTCAAATTTGAATAATATCCTAGGAAATATATATATCCCCTATTTATTTCCATTTGAAAAAGTAACACACGCAATACATAATACAACAACCTCTAAAATATTCAATAGCAGTTTTGTATAATTGTCCAGAATAATGAGTTTCATAAAAGTATAAGGTTTTCTGTTTCATGTGTTCTACGATGGAGTTTAGACCGATTCGACACTTCAGCGATGCATTCGAGCTCGAAGGCGAGTTCGCTGAATGTCGAATCGGTGGAGTTTAGCGTTGAAAGGAAGCGCGAGAAATTTTTCCCAAAATGTCTGAGCGGTGTTATTTTGATATTTTAAGTTAATATATAGGTTTTTTCACAGCAATAAGGAGCTCATTAATTTTTTGGGGGAATCACTTAATTTCTATCACCTATTGACAAAACAGTTTAATGAGTGAGAATACGTTACCATCCAATTCTAAGTTACAACTTTATTTCGAAAATTCAAATACTGTAGTATTTGAACGTACTTTCATGATCGAAATGTTGATATAAATGATGAAAACCTCGTCTAAATAGCGGTTATGCAATAATGACGCACTGTGTGCATCCTTCACTAGCTTTCCTAGTTCAAACTAAAATTTTGTCCTAAATCGTAATCTAATATTATATCACAGATTAATTTATCGTCACTTATAATCTTATAGGTATCTGTGTGTGTCCGTCGCTGAAAAATATCGCGATTTTTCGGTTCCTGAACTCTCCTTATTACTTGAAATTGTAAATTTATACTAACTTAAGTAATAATTGTAGACCATTTTTATAATTTACTACTATTTAAATCACAATCATGGGTAGGAAGTTAAATAAGACACATCCGAAGAAGGATAAACAAGGCATCTCGAAAACCAAAGCTAGAAAATTGGAACAGCAATTGGTATTCCCAAAGTTACCTGAAGGTAAGAATTAATAAATTCAAACAGTTTGATAGGTACTTGATAATCTTGTTTTAATCAAATATTTATAAAATTTATTTTGGTGTTGAATAAGCTGAAGAATTGTTAGTACCTAAGTAACCTAACTCTCTATACTACTAGCTGAGGCTACTACCTAGCTAGTATGGAATATATCTACTTGGCAAGCCGTGACTGAATTTTTTGAGCCGTGGTTTTATGGATTTGCCAGCCGTGATTCCATTTCTACGAGCCGTGATTCTATTTCACCGAGCCGTGAATTCCATATCTCTGCCATGAAAAGCCATTTACGAGGTGCGAATGCGAATTTATTTACAAAGTTTATGCACGTGTAATGGAAACCTACCAAATCCCTATATTCCGTCACTTTGTGTGGCAACATCCGACACGTGGTGAGTCATATTGCATCAGCGCTTCAAATTTAACTGATACGTATTGCTGTATCAGTGATACGTATTGCCGTATCAGTGATATGTACTTGTGTACAATATTGGTGGTCCATGGCTGCACTCCCTAGTAATGTATAATTCAAGTGAAATAAATTTAAATTTGTCCATAAATGTCTAAATAAATTTGTCTTAATCCTTTACGCCCTGGCGTGACGAATTCGTCACACCAGGAACTAGCTACCTTTTCCAACAATTTCACGTTCTCTGTCATTTTTTCGCAAAAATTCACATGAATAAAAAAAGTCTTAAATTTATTTTTTACATATGTGTACCAAGTTTCAAAGTTATCTGTCAGTAAATAACCGAAATTTAATTTCCAATTTCCAATGGTAATGTCCAATTTCTTATGGAAATTCTATTTCGGTTATTTACTAACAGAGAACTTTGAAACTTGGTACACATATGTAAAAGATAAATCTAAGACTTTTTTGTTTGTAGGAATTTGAAAAAAAAATGAAAGAAAACGTGAAATTCTTAGAAAACCGCCAAAAAGGGGGTACTGTAGAAATCTATCTCCTCCTATGATTTTCAAGCTAGAACATCGAGATGCATATCATTCGTGGCATAAGGACCATATCTATCGATTGGACCTTGCTGTTTTTCGAAATTCTAATTTTTGTGGGTGGGGTGGGCATTTTTCGAAAAATAATTATTTCTCCCCCCCCCCTTTCGAATTTCCGCTCCCTTTTTCTCAAAATATTTTCAAAACTTTAACAAAATTGAAAAAAGAGCTTCGACCAATTTCTAGATCTTTTATTTGCGAATCAAACGGTTTATTACTCATTGCTGTAGCTTAAAAACTCTGGGAGGAAATAGGTTTGCAGTGACAATAAGTGTGAATGTTCAGTAGAGCGCGACAAAGTCCCGAGCACCTCGAAATAGGCATTCAAGGTGACATGGATGCAAGACTAGACATTACTGGAGCCGAAATTCAGTCAAGGATAGTGGGAACGACTGCATGAGCATCATCCCACACGACAGCAGCCGGGTAACTAAAGATCAGCGTCTTCAGGTTGCATATCTATGTGCCCAACCAGTAAATTTCGCCTAGGTATATTAAATGTGAAAGAACTCCCCCACCCCTAACACTTTCACGAACTGTCGTCAAGGCATAAATCAACGTACAGAGATGATTTTGGTACCATTGGATAGGTCAGAATGTCAGCTTCAAAGTGAGACCGAAAAAGTGAATTTTACGATTTTTGTCCCAGAAATTCAGGGCGTAAAGGGTTAAATGTCTAAAATTTAAATTTGTCTATAAATGTCACTCTAAAACTGAACAATCCAAGTTGGATTGCTCAGTTTTTAAGTGGTTTATATTTGGTCTTGCTATATTTGTTCTTCAATCACTTTATGGATATTAAAATGTACATTACAGAGATGGAACAATCACACAGGAAAGTATTTTCATATAGGAGGGTAGGAACTGCTTTGCTCTTCCTATATTGCCAAATTTAGATTTAAAATGTGAAAGTTGGTACTTATTTCTGTGTATTACAATATGGAGATGAAGTGCAGGCTTAGGTACCGGTAGTTAAATATAGGGATAGGTATGATACTCAGGGTTCATACCAGTCATGGAAAACCTGGAAAGTCATGGAACTTGATTCCAGGTTATGGAAAGTCATGAAATATGCAAATGAAAGAAAAAATATATAACTCAGTACTCACTGCAGTGAGTGACAGAGAGTGCATTTTCTCGTAGACGAAAACTTGAGGTCACGGACGGATGGACAGACAGACAGACATGGCGAGCACAATAGTGCATTTTTTCCATAAATGAGAAAATGCGCTAATAAGGATCTGTTTTTCTGTGCTGCGTGTGTTTACTATTTGTGCAATCTCTTGTTTCATGCGTTCTGATTCAAGAACCAGTCATGTGTGCTTGGTCACCAAGCTCAGTTGTATTTGACAACTTTTTGATGTGCAGTGGCAGCTTTCCATCTTCAGCATACAATTTCTACATCACCATGCCTGGGAAGTATTTATTTAATGACTTGTGGTTAAGAATAGAAGCTTATTGTGACTAGCTTGCTTGCCATCTAAAGCATGAAGGTATGGAAAAATGTACATTGTGCTCGAAAGACCTCAATGTGTCAAATATGTGGGAAACAGCCATGAAGAGCTGCATGTTGAGCCATGAAGAGCTGCAAGAGCCATGAGCATTTACACGTTTGTTATTTATCAACTGTAGGAGATGATAAATATGCATGGTTAGTCTTTCAGTCATGCTAAACCTGTTAAATGAGAGTCTTTGAAAATTATATTGAAGGTCATGGAGAGTCATGGAAAAGTCATAGAATTTTTTTCAAAATACTGTGGTGTACAAACCCTGGATACTAGTCCATATGAGCTCAATGCTAGCTGGGTATGGTAAGATGTATGACGACCATTTTTCACGTTAAAGATAATTTCATTGAGTAGCTTTTCTTGGCTATAAGCATACATATTACCCGGGGACGTGTCCTTAATTATTATCCATGCATGTAAAACCACTTCTTTGTCCAGTTCAAAATGATTCGTCTTTGGGCATACCTGTAGGTTGTATCATGGTTGGATAGTCAAAATTGTCAACAATATTATCAAAATATTCTCTTTAGAATTTTGTATTGTTGCAGAAGATGGTAGAAATATAATCAAGAAGCTATAGAAAAACTGGAAGACAGCATTGAACGTCTTAACATCTTACTGTACCATTTGTGTATTACCCAATTACAATTGTTTGTGCTGTCAGACTGGCACATGCTTGTAGTGTCATGGTGAATGGCATGGTTGGGGGTTAAGAAATGTGAAAGATAATTTTCAAATACCTGTGCCAACTGAGTTGTATTTTCATTGTTTTCCTGTAATGTGTTTGTAAATAATTGAATACATATTTAAGCACAAAGGCTTAATTTTTGTCAGCAAAAGTTATGTAGACCTCAAGAGGAAATGATTTTGTCATTAATCACCATGGCTACTAGAGTGAAGATGCCTTATAGTAATAGCCACCCTGGGTGCAGGGCAGGCAAGATGTGCTGTCAAGATCTAAGGACCATAACTTTGTCAGTGAAGTATTTTTTATTATTGAGTTTTTTATACTAAACCTTGTATAATATATAAGATGTGAAGGAAAGAATCGGCAACAAGATCTCTCTAACCACTTGTGTCATTTTGGAGCTACTACAATCAATACTGCAGAGTGAGAGGGCACTACTTACTGAATAAAAAAAAACTTGATGAACTCTCATGTCATGTGGCATTAGATTTCTTCATAGATATTGTATAGGGCAAACCATTTTTTTTAATTCTGAAGAGTTTATGTAAAAAGACTGTGTATCCAGTGCTTCACATTGCTAGAAAAAACTGAAAAAATGAATTTTCATTTCATTTTGAAATAAGTGCATTTTACATGTCATTTATTGCTCTTCATTTTACTCCAAGTCATCTATAAGTCCCTAATAAAATCTAATTTCAACAGATGGAGGAGATAAAACTTCCAATTTTAATAAGTTGAATTTTTATTTGTTTTATTTATTGATTTTCATTTTACACCAAATCATCCATAAATCCTTAATACTATCTAATTTCAACAGATGGAGAAGATGAAGCTACAAAACTTTCCCATCGTCAAAAACAAAGGCTTTCTAAAAGGAAAATGAAGCAAGAAACTCGCCGTGGAAAAAAAGCAAAAATTGATGGTGAGTTACAAGTTACATTTTTTAATTAACCAAATGTTTGTTCTCTTTTTACTCAATTTGATTCATTTGAAAAATAAAAATGTTCATAATTGACAAATGGGTTTAAATATCTCATTTAACAGACCTCAACAAGATCTGTTGATCTATATATAAAAATTTAAACTGACTCACTTTTTACGTATTTTTTCACTTAGTAATTTTTTTTAAAAATCACCAATACAAGCCAGTTGTGGATAGAAGGAAAGTCACTTAGAAACATTTTTTAAATAAAAAAATAATTGGGGTCCATTGAGACTAGACTACTGCCTTTTTTGCATTTTTATATTTGAGATTATGCACTTTTTTTTAAATATTGGGTGTAAACTTTAATGACTGAGAGGTCCAATAAGCAAGTTCAGAAAGCAAAATGTTGTATGTTTTACCCTTGCTGGGGACCAATTACTCTCATCTGCAGTAGGCTACAGATGGTAATGGCACAGTGGACTTTCTTCAATGCTTTGCTAGGGTGTAAACATGGGTTAGCTGACATCAAGACATACAACGTTTTTGTCTGTTATTCACATCTGAGGATAGACTTCTCAAATTCAATGAAGTATGATCTTCATTGCATATGTGCTCCAGTTCAATATTGTAGAGGAAAAACAAGAAAGCAGTCAAACAGAATGGGCTAAAAGGCAACTTTTTGTTATGAAATGAGTCTTTCATAATCATTCATTAGGCCATGAACTTTGGCACTCTGGATGTCAATCAAAAGGCATACCAGGTCCTTACTTATGGTTTTAACACGTTGGCCGCGATGTGCGATGTACACGCTGTACTTCTCAGAATCGCGATGTGTACACATGTGGTACATTCATATGAAAAATACATATTTTTCTAAAATCTTATTACTCTTTCAAATTTAAAATTTCAATGATGCAATTAAATAGGCATGTTAGGGAATGCTTTGAAGTCAACTACTGCTCAGAGAAATAGTTTTATTTTCAAATGCAAGTAATACAAAAATTACGAGATTTGTGTCCATTGATGAAAGCAATATATGTATCTATCTTTGTATGAAAAATAAAATAAAATATTTTCTTAGTGATCTGAAACTACAAAATTGGGTGTTGCCAACATCATTATATTTCATACCTGATTGAAAAACAATTATCGCACATGTATGACTTTCCTTCACAGTCACCAATGTATTTTTTTATCCTTCAAGTTTCACCTTTGCTACGGCACTTGCCTCATTTGCTGAGAGTATGTTGTAGCATTCATGGCAGTGCATATTGGTTTTAGTTCTAGTTGGTTCAATGGAAGTGGGCTGTCCTCTGTCCCACTCGATAATTTGAGATATACATCCTGATTTTACTCTTTCTCTGAGATGCTGCTTGTAACAGAAGCTCAAGACAATATATACGATGAATGATCTCTATAAGGTAAATATAACTGAACTAACAATGTAAATACCCTCAATTTTATTCAAGATTATGAAAACCTGGACATCAATCTCTTTCCATAGTAATTTCCATGCGTAATATAAATCGTTCACAAAAAGCTAAGAGATACCGGTAGTCATAATGTGTGCATTTATGACTCAAAACTAATGTAGATTTCTTGCGCGCATCACTCACAGTGATAAAAGTGATAACTTTAGGCGTTTTTCCGCAATATGAGCCATAGATGCATGTCTTTGCTTGGTACACATCCTCCACAGCATTAGAAGTGATTACGATAGGCGGAGTGAGCCAATATGAGGCGTGGGCGTGTGTACCAACAGGCGTGGCTTCATTTGGTACACATCGCCAGGAATAATGACAAATTTCAACCCTGAGCGATGTGCACCAAATGCGGCCACGAATTTTACGTGACACAATGACAGAACATACCCCTGCAGAGCTGCACACAACTTTTCTCCTTGCTATCTGCCGGGTAACTGAAGATATACAAGTTTGAACCTATTGCCTGTACGGCATTCGGGCCAAATCAGCAATCGCGGCCAACGTGTTAAATGATACAAAACCACCATTGGCACTCGTGCTGTTTGTAGCTAATTCTTTAAAAAAGCATTACAAGTCCAATTTTTTGGGGGATTAAAATGTAATTTTTATTAAAAACTACAAAAATAACATCTAGGCATTGTACAGACATTTTTTTTAGTAAAAAAGCTTAGCCACATATTGTTCTATTAGATACTACTAAAAATGTAGGTGTCCCCCAAGAATTTTTTTTAATTTGGAAACCTGAGCAATCATCCTAATTCAAATAGCATCTAATCCCTTGGAATCCGCCCCCTTTCTGGGAATGGTCAAAATTAGTACATATTCAAGGCCATTTCCTCAGCCTTGACAAAAGCTCTAAGTCCCAAACTGCCCACATGTCAAGCATAACCATATGCCTTCTTTTAAACTCCTGAGGCCCAATTTCTACTGCATTATATTCATTAATGTTCTATTCCTAATTTCTACTGCACAATATCCATTAATGTTCTATTCCTAGTTCCTACTGCACAAGTAAATGGCAAGCTCAGTAAGCAGAAGGTGCCCGTCAGCTCTGAAGACGAGGAAGAGGAAGAAGATGAAGAACAATCTGACACTGGCAGCTTTGTGGACCCGGAGGCTGAAAGCGAGCAGGAGGAGGCTAGTGATGCTGCGGAAGAGGAAGAGAGCAATGAGGATAGTGATGATGATGCCGCCCAGAATGGTATGGAAAGCTATGATGAGGCAGAAGATGCTGAAGATGGCATTGAGAGTTATGATGAGGTGGAAGATGATGATGTGCCACAGAAGGAAAATGTCTTATTCGACTCAGATGATGATGACGATGATGATCAGGGCATTCCTGCAAGTGACAGTGATTCCTCTGATGGAGAAGAAGGCTGGTGAGTCAGAGTCAACTACACAAAATTTTTATGCCAGTGCTAGTAAATTTTATCCCAAATTGTATTTAAAATATTGAATCTAGTTCTGAGATATGCTCATTCATATTTTGCTATATGAGGAAAATCATTATGAAGGGACATTTTATTGAGTGCCTGTAGTTGTACTAATTTTAAAGTATAAATTTCTAAGATTGCGGCTAAAGATATGATTTATTGATTACATTCCTACAATATTGACATTACTGCTATCTAATGGGTCAGAAGAGTGATTGCTGATTATAAGAAAGTTAGTCAAAGCTGACTCGATAATTACACTTCAGGGCTGCAGCTGAAAAGGAAGCTGATGAGCTGGAGAAGCAAGTGGTGAAGATGCCTGGTGCTGCTGGAGATTCAGATGACAATGAAGACAAAATTCCTTCCTTGACAGCTGTGCAGGCTGAAATTCTCAACACTCCTAATGTTCAAAAATCCGCAGCTCGTGCTAAAGCCGTCATTGCAATACTTGAAGACTTCAGGTTTGTTATTGTTCGATGACATCATCAATAAAGAGAACTTCTGGTGGTCCTGGCCTGTAAACTAATTGTCTGTTGCTTTAATTCTGCTTACAAAATATCACTTACATTCTTCCAAATGAATTTCATTGTGAAATGTTCTGATCATTGGATCATTAGGTAGGTAGTTAATTAATCATTAATTGGTGATTTCTCATAAATTGATTGATGCTTTCTTGTCTTAACAACAATTTTTATATATTTTATGCTTGAAATTTCAAAGATTTTCAGTGGAATTTATTATATGCAGTTTTAAAAATACTTTTGATGTGTTGACTGTTCATTGCCTTTATTTTTTATTCATCCATTTCTTCAGAGTACGGTATGTATCAAATTTGAGTCACAGTGTCAGTGTCTTGAAATATGATCATCAATTACAATTTTAATAATTTATTTCTCTTGTCAGGAACCGCTGTCCAGATGATCGACCCCGCAAAGAATATGTGGAGATTCTGAAGGCTGATCTCTGTTTTTATTATGCATACAACAAATTCCTCCTTGAGAAGTTAATGGAATTATTTTCTCTGTCGGATTTAATGGATTTCTTGGAGGCCAATCAATCAGATCGTCCAGTCACCATCAGAGCAAATACCATTAAGGTAAGTTATAGTCTTCCTGTTTTTTTTCCCCCTATGCCATCTCGGCCTTGTCATTTGGGGGGGGGGTGGAGGAGGGGCTTGCGTGTCTTGATGAAACCCGAGGCTGTGCGGTCTCAGATGCAATTATGGCCGAGTGGCTCCGGTGGAGAGTCCAGACTAACAGAGATGGCAGAACGCTCTTCTAGTAACGGCCTGGCTCTCTCATGGACACACAATGACTCTTTCTGGATTAAGAAACCCTGGCGGAGCCTAGACCCAAATCATTTACGGGCCCTGTCTTGCAATGCCCGTCTATAATATAGTTCCTCTTCTATAAGATAGAGCAGGAAAGATGAACGCTGGATGTGCCTCTCGTACTCGATAACCCTGTAATCTCTAAAGTGGCAACCACTCGGATCCTCACTACAGAGCCAACCAGAAATGGATCGTTTCTGGTGGAGGTTGCAAACGCTAAACAAAGCAAAGCCATCGCAACAATAAAATCCCTGGCATCCATACCAGTGACTGTCGCCACACACGACAGGCTGTTTAGAGCCGATGCACCATTTGGTACCCCAACCGGCCAAACTAGGTACTCGGACAAAGACTTACTGGCTGAACTATCCCAATATACAGAAGTAGAGTGAAGGTCTTTTACCTGTACCGCACAAAAAGGAAGGAGCGAGGAGTGCTAGTGCCGAGCCCAGTGTGTGTCCTCCCGGCACACGTCGCAATCGGTTGGACGCATTTCCAGGTACCACACTACATTCCTAAGCCACACAGGGGCTGTGAGGGCAACCCACCAGCAGTTGCTTCCCGGCGCTGTCACGTCTCACGGGTGCTCCTCTCTGCTCAGTGGCTCATCGAATGGATCTTGAATTAACTATTCGAGTAGGTTAACTGCTTCAAGTGCCAAGATTTCGGACATGGCACTTCGTCCTGTTGCCAGTCCACCAGCACGTGCGTCAACTGTGTACAGAAGCAACATGACATCCCATGCACGCATTCTGTCAAATGCTTCTACTGCTAAATGCCACATCCAGATAGCTCCAACACATGCCACTATTACAAAATGGAAGAGCAGTTATTGGCAACACAGACAAAACAACGAATGTTAAATAGAGGTCTAGCGAAGTGTTGTGAGCTGGTAGGTCATACCCCGGATCTCATTCGCAGAAGCAACTTGATTTCCACCAAACCATAGCTCAGAACCAGGAATAACAACCCAAAGTCATACGGTACGCACCTACGATCAGCCAGTGTGACGGATCAACTCATACTGTTGCAGAAGAAGCCAGAAAACGCGCTCAGCAGTCAGCGGAAACTGCAGCAGTGAGACAAGACCCACACCCGGATCCGAACTTTGTCTTAGTCAGACGCGACACAGCGTACTTCAAACTCGCAATCACCTCCCAACTGCAAGCAATGACCGTCCAAACAAGCATAAATAATAGAACATGCACAATCTGCAAAATCTACATCCCACCAGGACACCAGCTGACTTCAGGGGATATGCAGAATTTGCATGATTAGCTGCCGCAACCACTCCTTATTCTCGGGGGACCTCAATGGCAAGCATTAGCAATTGACCAATACAATAATAATGATGATAATGAGACGCCAGATTGACGCCGGACATCAACGGGACATCCACATGGCGAATCCCCATAAAATTTTTCTGTCCTAACCAAAACTATCCACAAAAAACCACGATACATTCGACAGCTCTGAAATACCTTTTCCTAAAACGAATATCTATGAAACGTGCAAGATCGACGTGCATGCCTGGATTGTGCTGTGACCGGAAACGCAATAATTTCAAGAAAACTCAATCATAATTCGTCAATCATCACGCTGAGCTCATGAGAGTACTAGCTCCCTGACCCTCATAGACGACTGACCAGAGGATACTTCACCCTATTCACCGACTCTTAAGAGCGCAGTACAAACACTGAGAATGTACTATTGCAAGCACCCCTTTATCATGGAGATCCTGGCGAGGTTGTTGTTGTTGTGGTTCCCCGGTCTTATTTTTACAAGAGACCTGGCGAGGTTGACAGATATGGCGGCAGCGGGCATTTCGGTGCACGTCTGCTGGGTGCCAAGCCACGTGGGGGTACGCGGAAACGAGAGGACGGACGAGACGGCGGTCAGCGCTGCAACGTCCAATCTTAATGAAGACGTCTCAAGCTGCGACCACTACCCCCATAATCACAGCAGGCATTCGAAGGGTATGGCCAGATCAATGGCAAAATGTTGAAAGAAACAAGCTGAGAGCCTGTGTGTATTGTCATTGCCAACGCAAAGACGAAACACACTAACCTCAAGACGTCAAACCGAGCTGTAACCCTCGAGACAGCTTGTCCTGACCGCTGAGCGGACACCAGCACTTGGTGCAGAAAACTGCTAGCGACCGCCACCACCACCACCGTCCATGTGGACTACAATTAATTAATTCAGACCATGTGGTCTGAATTCTTAAGAACGACGGCGCTGCGTAAATAAGAATTGAAATTTCGGCGCCAGATGGATCAAGATTTTCTTCTGAATAAGTGATAGAATTTTGACTTTAATCGAAGTTGCGCTTTTTAAAAATACAAACAATTGAATCAGCCTAAACTGTACTTTGGCCACGTTTAGTAGATTTTTACAACTTTTGTTTTGATTATCTTTCACCATCATTTTTTAGTCAACAATTGGAAAGTATTCTGTTTGGCTTTCTTGAGAAGACTGATAACAGTAAAGGCTAGAGATATTTGCGCTAGATCCTCTTATAATTTCTGCTGTTTTTACTTGGTAGGAAAAGAATTTATTGTGTTGTCTGAGCCACAGAAATTCTCACTAACTCCTAATATTATCTCTATTTATTATGGGACAATAATTTAGTTGTTGTCATCAGTGCTACAGGAAAGACGTTCGTGAGGCTCTGAACAACCGAGGCGTGAACTGCGAGCCCATCCCATGGAGCAAAGTTGGGCTTGTGGTGTACGGCGTACCTTCTAATGTCCCCCTGGGAGCCACCCCTGAGTACCTCGCCGGCCATTATATCCTTCAGGTACTGAGCATTAATTCTCAATACTTCTGTAATTTTATTTCATTTCTCTGCGGTTTTATCAAATTTTATGTGTATGAATTCGTTAAATTTTTTATATAGGTTTTAAATTGTAAGTTTATAGGACTTGAAATGCACTAAAAAAATGCAAATTTTCTCTTCATTCTAAATTAAATCAATACTTCATACTTTTCAACTCATACTATTCAACTACAACATACTGCTATTCAAAAATCTTTTCTAACGTTTGCTTGCAATATTTTTATGCAGAGATTTTCTTACGGAAATGTTATAATGTTTGCAGTTTTGACAATGTTTAACACTCTTTCATATTCTACTTCAATTAGGTGTCATGACACATCAGGTGTCATGACACATCAGATGTCATGACACATCAGGTGTCATGACACATCAGGTGACATGACACATCACATATCATGACACATCACATATAATGACACATCACATGTCACGTCATCACCTCACTGTCTCCCTTGTATCACAGGGCGCCTCGAGTCTGCTGCCGGTGATGTCGCTGGCGCCCAGGGAGCACGAGCACGTCCTGGACATGTGTGCTGCGCCGGGGGGCAAGGCCACGCACATCGGTCAGTCAGGGAACATAGCGTGTCTTATATTTATTTACTGCTATTCATTTACTCGTACATTATATATGTATATATATAAAATAAATGAGGATTCTCTACTATGCATTTTATATTCATTTACTGCTATTCATTTACTCGTACAATATATTTAGTCATTTAGTTATATAGGAGAAAATCCTCATTTAAGTACCGTATATATAACTTGAATGGGGATGTTCTCCCATATTACTAAATGTCTTTATTTTTACTGATTTCAAACATAATGATCATTTTACTTCGGCAAATTTTCGCGAGTAAAAATCACACGCCAATGGTCTTCGGTACTGTAGCATGAATTTGCTTTATGCCAGCTATGCCTATAGGGCCGGGCCTCTGCTAATTTTAATTTTTTAATCAAACATAACTTTTCCCTGTGGCTGCCTTTCTGCTTGTAATCTTCCGTGTTATGGCGAGCATGTTGCTGTAAAGCTTTGCGTGTTAATGCATGAATATCTAAACTCGTAACTAATGCATTGTTTGTTTGCTTGAGCAGCCAGCATGATGAAGAACACAGGCGTTCTCTACTGCAACGACTTTAACCCCAAGCGCGTGAAGGCTCTCACTGCCAACATCCACAGGATGGGCGTCACTAACACCATAGTCACGGCGATGGACGGCCGCGCTATTGGCAAGGTAAGGACTTGGTGTTGCTTGGAAGGAATTTGCTTGGTGTTTTCTTTGCTTTTAAATTCCTTGTGAACTTGCGATATAAGCAGACTGACAATATAAATTCAAATTTTAACTGCTACTTCAAACATCGTTTTTAGAATTTTGTTTGTAAATCTGAATTACTTTGTTTACTTTATCAATGGAAAGGATTTCATTGATTAGATTAAGTTTTTGAATTGTTTGGTCATTGTGAGTTGTATTATTTTCAATGCGAGCAATAATATAATAAAAACTAAAAATTTCGTATTGTGAATAATTTTTTGGATTTGATGTGGCAGAAACTATACCAGAGCCTGGACAGAGTGCTACTGGACGCCCCCTGCACCGGCACTGGCATCATCAGCAAGGACGCGCGAGTGAAGCACACCAAAGAAGAGCTCGACGTGAAGCGCTGCTCGCACCTGCAGGCCGAACTCCTCATAGCTGCCATCGATGCTGTCTGTAAGTGTTGAGAGAACTAGTAAGTGTTGAGAGAACGGCATCTTCATCGTGTACTGCAACTGCTCTGTACTGGTGAGTGATCAGAGAACGGTGGATTAAATTGAACTCAAGATACATTATTTCAAGAAGGTGAATTCACAAACTTTATACCTGTTTGTTATTAAGCGTTGTCTGATCATCCACTTTACTCGGACGGTAATGTGAGTGTGTCACCACTTGTGTCACCAGTCGTGAGCGAGGGTCACGTGAAGTGGAGGGAAGAACCCTGGGGGGAGTCCGTTGCTGTGCGGTTGCTGGTCTATCTGTCAAAGAATTATTATTATTTGTACTCTTAATTCATTGTGAAAGGCTGTGGAAAAGTAATTTTCTAACTAGGATATTTTTGTTTAGTCATTTCGAATAGGTATTGATAGTAAGGGTCTATAAATTCTAATTAGAAGCTATCGAAAATAAACGCTTGCTTCGCTCATGAAATTAGTGAACATGTTTTTCTCTCAGTCGCTCATTCATTTCTTTAATTTCGAATAATATAGCTGCTTTTTGGTTGTTTGGTTGTTTCAGTTCGAATTGAGCATATGAATGTTTCCTTGAAGGAGTCAAGAGATGAATTCGTTTAGGCTCCGAAGTAAATATTAATTTTCGCTGTCTCCAGTGCCTGTATTGAGCTCATTAAAATTTGTGCTATTTATTTGTCCTTTAATTGTTGTGCAGTTGCTAGGATTTGGTGCTATCGCCGTGATGCCGATCTCCATAAAATATTGATCCTTCTTATTTGTTTCCCTAATCATATAAATGTTTAGTTCTGAGACGCGGTTGCCGTCTTCCTGCACCTTTATTTGATATCACACAAACATCGCCTGTGAATTTGTCGCGTTCCCGCAGGTCGAGGAGAACGAGCAGGTCATCAACAGCGTGCTGAAGAAGCGGGCTGTAAAGCTCGTGCCCACTGGGCTTCTCAACATCGGAGCTAAAGGATTCACTAAATTCAAACAACACAGGTGAAACATAAAAAATAGCAAGTCTTATTAAAATGATTTTGAAGAATGACTTTTGGTAGGATTTTCAGACTTACATTAAAAGATCGTTATGGATTAATTCAGTGCGAGGTGTAAATTGTAATTATCATGGATGTCTCGAAATCTGCTTGAGATTTTGTCGAATATAATTTGACTGAAGCGTTGTTCAATTCACAGTTATTAATAAAGAGTTGTCCTTCGTAAATATCTAGCTAAGGAAGATTTCATGACGGTCCATCAAGTTATTTTAGTGAATCTTCATAAAAGCTTTATTTATTTTTATTCACTCACTTATAGCTTTCAGCCCTAAGACGCTTACCAAATTAAACGCTAGCTTATTTCTCCATTCACTTCAAGTATTTTGAACTTTACTGTTAAGGCCCTGCATTATTGAAAATTTATTCTCCTTCAGGTACAAGAAAATGTTCTGTTATGCGATCATGATTGTGTTGTTACCAATTAATATGGCAATTTCTTTGAATTTTGCGATTCTTATGATTTATTCTTTGGTTACAGGTTCCATCCTAGCCTGGAACTGATGCAGCGCATTTATCCACACAAGAATAATATGGATGGCTTCTGTGTGGCCAAACTGAAGAAGTTATCTAATCAGCCTCCAAAGAGCAACGTCAAAACATAAAGTCTCTTGATTACCTCCGCGTTTCATTCTCTTTAGTGTTTTTCAGTCGTGCTACTACTATAGTTAGTAGCACGTTTCTCTATAGTAGCACGTTTTTAGTAGAAAGGATGATTTTTATTGTTAGTAGCACGTTTTTCTATAATTAGTAGCACGTTATAGTCAGTAGTAGTTTCTGACTGTATTTGTGTTCTAGATTTATCGAACTGACGATGGAGCTGGTCTCCAAAACGTTTTCAATAGAGAAATGCTTAATTTTTGTGGAGTTTTCTTCGCTTTTAAATTTCTATAGTTATCTTATTGAGGGTTTCAGTGAGAGGATAATATCATTCGTTTATTATGTTTTATAAAACCAGTTATAAATTACGCGTCAAATGCATTGTTTCTCAGGATCGATTCAAGTATTGACTCGTTTTTAGCAAGTGGCCTCCACTGTCTGGTAGTAAGTAGTAGTGCGACTTGCTACGGTCAAAGCGATGTGACAGAGCTGCGGAATTGCTTGATTGCTAGTCCGTGTATCCCATTTCCAGTTCTTCCGTTCTCTAAACGTTTTTGTTGCTGCTGCTGCTGGTGAATTGTATCAAGTTGAATCGCGCAATGCTAAACTATGTTGAATATTTTATGGTAAGGTTAAAGAATAGCATGGTTTGATGTTTGAAAAGTTTAACAGGTCGTAGGGGGAACTTTCCGCGTTCTGAACTCGAGATTTTTGCTTGCACAGCTCGATTTTTGAATGGCATTTAACACTTTGAAGGTGAGCACTCTTCAGTTTCTAAATAAGAAAACCTCGAAGAATTAATCATTTCAATGTCACAAGCTGATTAGTTTCTTTGACAGCAGGGGAATCGTCTTTGAAATTCGTTCCTCGAACACAGATGTGACCTAAATTTTTCATGAAGATTACCGAAAGACTGAAGAAGCTCACTTGAGTTTTACTTGATGCTGCTGACAATAACTCACTGAGACATGTTGATGCTCGAACGTCGCATGTCACATTGTCTTCATAATTTATGAGGCCTCAACGCTAATGCTTACATTACTTCATCTCTTGTGATTTTTTTGCACTGTTAAATCTTAAGAGACGTCTTCTGGACTTGGAAAACGATACTAAATATTATGACGAACCTGCTGATCACCAGCACCGATAGAAGACTTGCAACGACGCTTCCAGTCAACGATGAAAAACGTCTCCACCCAATGGTCTCCACCAGCATGCGCCTGCCCAAATACGTGTGGGCGGCAAGAGGATAAAAAGGTTTCGGTATGCTGCTGGTATTGTGATTATGAGTGAAAAATGAGAAGAATAATAGAGTATTCTAGATTGTCCCGCCGAGTATGGTAGGGATTTCTCAATGCGGTTAACTGGCGAGAAGAGCTAAGTACTTGTGAATGGATCAGCTGTGGACATTGAGTGTGGGAAAGAGAGAGAGAGATTTCGATGACAAGTAAGGGCAGGTACTCACTCAGTGAAGTGTGTTGGCAAGTAGTGTGAGAGAACAAGGGCCGTGAATTTTAGTAGGCAAATCAATGGTTGGGTGTATTTGACCCCCTGATCCATCTGCGCCCCATCCCGCAGCTCATACACTCTTCTCCATACACTTGAATAAAGTTTTTCGTGAATTTCCTTGGCCGATTTCTTCTTAGCGGCCAGGAAATTAATAACAGACCGCAACTGGCTGGAGACGCAAGAGGAAGCTCCATCGCTGACGCCTGCTGGGGCAGGACCAAACGGCGCACGGACTCTGGCTTGGTAAGGGATTGGAGTTGGGAAATCAAACAACCTGCCTGTGTTGCCGAGCCGCGCATAGAAATTACCCTAGCGCCAGCGGCAGCCCGTGGAACTTATTTTACGCACAAGCCTCATAGCATATATTATAGTGGCGAGATTGGCACTAGAAGCCACTAAGTGGACTGCTGTGAAGCCATTGTGAATGGTGATTCTGCGGTAGCGTCAGTAGCTGTTATTGTAGGTGTAAAGGGATATTGGGAGAGCATGTGGAGGCTGAGAGAGCGGAGAAGCATGCCGCGCGTGAAGCCCTGAAGAGTGAAGGGGGAAAAAATTATTACTATGCACAGTTTCTGTACTTTATTTCCTGATTTTTCAGGATATGTTTCGTTTAGGATGATATTTAAATGTATCTATTTTATTCTCTTATGATAACTTAGTGACTACGTTTTTCCCTATCAAAATTTTGCATCTCACAAAGGAGGCACACATTTTCAGGGTTTTTCAATAGATGAATATGTGCCGCGGGGCTGACGGCTTTAAAAGGTCAATTAGTACCTCAATTCTAACTATTTTAAATTTATGATATTGAACTTTGAGAGAATGGAAACCTACGTCTTCATTAACGCAGCCACCTGTATAGGTTACTCTCGTTGCTGTATGATCTTCGTAACACTTCCTCCTGAGGTTTCGAGTTTAACTCAAGGCTCCTCAAGTAATAAATGGGTAATAACAACCCCGCAAATTCCATTAGAAATATTTAAGTAAAGTCTGCAGTTGAGCGCAGGTTTTGCAAGATAAAATATCAACTTGTAACGACACGAAATGCCGTGCCGGCATGGCTGTTGATGCAGACCGTTCTAGCTCGACTTCCTATGTATGAGCCTAGCACGCTTTACCCTAGTTGCCCTCGTGCAGTGTCGCACGCACGATATTGATTATGTAGTATTTTCCATTTAATGCAATCCTCTCGCGTCTAGAGGACATTGCGTGGTTATTTAATCCTTGATGTAAATCATCTAATTCGACAATGAAGAATATACAGAGACCTCGGAAGCATACGTCGCGCACGATCAAACAGTAATTTTGTGCAAGGATCGTTTCCATATCAGGCAGCTTCTCAAGGATATTCCTACTGCATTATAAATCTGTACTATAAATGTCTCTGAATTTATAATATAACATTTACTGTTGAGAAATAATTCACTAAAGGTTAAAATCTCAGTCCTTATATAGCAATAAGCTCAGTTCTCTGAATCCGCGATTGGTTACCATTCTATTAATTTGGTTCATTGGTACATGAGAAATTTTTCAAGTGAGAATTGGAAAATCATCCTGTCAAGATAGTGTATTGAGTTCGTTCTGTCCGATGAATGGTTTTTGGAAATCTACTTAGAAACGTTCTGTAACCAAGTTGTTTGTTTTAGGGATTAAATTACGCACCATGAGAAAACCAGCCAAGATGATTGCTCTCGGTGCGACGTATCTGTGAGTGGCGCATCTGTATGATTTGCAACTGTGCTTGGGCCAAACTTTCATTAATTTTAACGAAAAATCCCAACTTTTCACCTGTCTAATGAAGGGTTGAGCTGTTTAGATAATTAGAGCCCAGAGCTGTGTATTCGAGACCCGCAGCTAGCTGTGAAAGTTCTGTGATTTCAATTATCGGTCAGGTCTGATGCCTAATCCTCAACTCTAATACCGCTTTATATTATTAATTATACTTAGGCGGTCGAGTATATCGACCGCAAGACACCTATTGGAGTTGGACCTTTTCTCGACTGGTCTTGCGGTCGGTTTCGTTTACTAAGAAAAAACAACGGAGATAATTCAAGTTATAATTCGTACATGAACAATCGTGTTCAAGAGATAAAAAATTTCCCGATGTCATCTTCACTTTAGACATGTACATTGTAGAGAAATACGGGCTACTGCGACTAACTTGAGCAGATATTGAAACAAGACCATATTAAAGGATTATTCTAAAGTTAGGAAAGGCTGGCCAAATCCATCATTACTGGTCATCGTTGACATTTCGCACTAATAGTATTCATTTTCAAAGGAAGGGGCGCTTACAATACACTTGGTTTATACTAATATAATTTAATTCAATGTCTGTGTCTCTAGTTTCTTTCTAATATAAATATTATAAAGAAAATCCCACAGCAGCATTGTTATGATGGTAAGTTTGTAAAATTGAACAGCGTAGGGACATTGGACGAATAAAATTAAATTAAATGTGATCCACAATTCCTTCCTCCAACGAGGCATATATTTTATAATCAATTATGTTGCTTCAATTTTTTGTTATATCATTTATTTTTTCATGTAGTGAAAACGCAACTGATCATTCATTTGTTCTTGCGCGCTACGTCTGCGCACCGCCTATCGTAGTGTTGTGAGAGTTGTGTCAGAAAGTGTGTCTCGTAAGTCTACCTATTTATTTACAAAATGGCCACAAGTGGTGCAACTACAGAAACTTCAAGTGATGAATCACTTTATCCTATTGCTGTTTTAATAGATGAATTAAGAAATGAGGATGTTCAGGTAAGAAAATTCTTTACTTCAAACTAGCAAGCAGATGCTTATGGCTTCTTGTTCTTGATCCCAAATCTTTCCGTTCTAGTATTACGGTAGATAGCTAGTTTAATTTAGTTATACTTTCCAGAACGAATTTCATTAATGCATAGGTTGACAGAGTGCAGTTATTTTCGTAACCCTGATAATTCAGCTATTTTATAATAATCCATTGATTAATATTTGATAAAAACCACATTATATTAGCCTATTAGTATTATAGACGAAAAGGTGAATCATCATCAACTGAAGTGAAGGTGCATCTAAAAGACTGGAAACAAAATCTACAATGTGTAAATTTATTTTAAATTTCAATGCAGAGCAATTCAGGAGCTGTTTATGTAGATTTTGATTATCTAAGCATTTTCACAATATGAGAAGGAGAGAAGCTCCCAAGTTCCAACTCTATGAAATTATGAATCACATGTTCAGACTTTCAGATTCAGTGATGGGCTGATGGCCAATGGTGAAGGCATAGTGATAGTGGCAAAGCACAGAATTTTTTAGACTCTCCCTCAAGTTCATTTTTGAGTCCTAGTAGGCTTAGCTATAAGTAGACCAGTAAACTCACCGTGAGTTTACTCAGTGAGTAAACTCAGTAAAGTATCCTGGCTACCTACCAGCATTATCATGCATAAGAAATTGGTTTAAATCTTCAGAAAATTAGGAAATTAAAAATGAACCAATTCTAAAAAAATCTGGTTTGTCACTATGAGTGAAGGGGACAGTACTAGTGGCAAACCAGTGATTTTTTAGGATCAGGTAATTTTTAATTTCCTCATTTAGGGTAAACGTGGTACCTATATTCTGACATCATGGGTAATTCTGACACTTCTTGACTTTTTTCCTTTATATATTAGGCTTTTTATTAGTTCCAGGCATTAGTTGATGGTTGAAATAGTGATGTCATACTTTGCGCGCCATACTATTGCCCAGTATCTAGTCTGGATAAGTCCTATTTTTGTCTGAAATATCGCGGCTCTAATATAATATAATTTCAGTAGGTATGAAATCTCGCGGCTTGAATGTCATAAATTTTTGTTTGATTAAAAAATCGCGGTTTGCACTTTGCAAACATGTCATTTCATAAAATTTTCAACTTCCGCAATCCGCATTGCTTTACCGTTTCTGCCAAAAATATCTTGCAGAAAAAACATAAACATCGTAATGTAAACAAATAAACAAAACGTTTGTTGAAGATCTCGCATAGTTGCGGTCATGTCAAAGCGGTCAGACTGTATATTAACACGTGCTGAACTTACAGTAGAGACAAATTTTATTGTTGCCGTTTGACTGTTTAAGGGTAAAATTAGAGATTTGGGGTAACACGTGCATAAACTTTGTAAATAAATTCGCATTTGCACCTCGTAAATGGCTTTTCATGGCCGAGATATGGAATTCACGGCTCGGTTAAATAGAATCACGGCTCGTAGAAATGGAATCACGGCTGGCAAATCCATAAAACCACGGCTCGAAAAATTCAGTCGCGGCTCGCCAAGTAGATATATTCCATACTAGCCCAGTATGGAATTCTGTATAGGTAATATATTACCATGTTAACAGAAGAAAATGTATCGAAAAATTAACCACCTTACGCCATAGTCACAAACCACTGAAACCAGAGATTTTTTAGAATCAGCTCATTTTTAATTTCCTCATTTACTCAAGATTTAAACCAATTTTTTATGTATGATAATGCTGGTACCTATCCATGATACTTTACTTGTCTACTTATAGGACTCAGAAATGAACTTGAGGGAGAGTCTAAAAAAACTCTGCTTTGCCACAATGCCTTACACCTTCCACCAAAGTGACAATTGATACTCTTACACTGAGCTTGTCAGAAACTGCGGACACCCGGACAGCTGCACTTCCTTTAACTCGCTTGCGTGTGGTTTGAAAACCGATAAAAAGTCGGCGACTTTTCCCTCCAATACATACATTAGTCGTGTATCTGTATCGACAAATTTTGTAATGAATATGTTCCAAAATAAAAATTGCATAAACTTTTGCAGAAAATTCTCACAATTTCACCAATACCAACAAAGTTCTCGAATCCACACGGAATGATGGAATAAATTGCTAATCTTTCACGGCGTATGGCAACATTGTGTTGAATTTTGACATTAGACAAGACGGTGTCAGACACCTTGTTTTGGTCTTGTAAAGTTCAATTTCATAATAAATAGATTTGATCCACATTTCACAGTGACATTTAAATGATGGAAAATTGTTTCAAAATTTAAACACCAAATTGATACGCTTCTAAGTACGAATTTATTAATGTTTTCGCCCTATAATGTCGAATTTGTCTTGATAACTTCACTTCAAATCCTGAATGATTTTGTTTCCCATAGCGAGTTTTTGAACGTCTTGTGTCTTTTAGAAAACGTTGGTTGTTTATAAGCAGTAATTATTTTATTTTAATGAACCAAAGAAAGTTTAGTCATCGAAATGACAATATCATTAAAGTCCATAAAGCCAGTTTGAAAAAATATTAGTCATTCCTAAAACCCTTCAGTCAGTGTGTGAAATGAGGGGAGCCAAGCCAAGTCCATGGCTTTTGGCTTTTTTATCCTGTAACTAATTGATATTTTAGTTCATTCAATAGACTCAAATCTTGACATACTTGACAAAAGAAGGCTGTTCATGAAGAAAGAAGGTCAAACTTTCAAGGCATAAACTATTTTGAACTACAGAATGTTATCAGAAAATTTTTTTTTATTAGTGGGGATTTTATAAGACATGGATTTTTATGCATGTGTAGGTTTTTTCATTTTTGAATAATTTAGCTTTCTAACTAAAAACTACTAGCATTACCAGCCTGGGAATTTTTGTGCATATACACTAATAGTAGCTGCCTTGGGGTTCTGTATAAACTTTACAGTGCTTAGTGCAATTTTACCCCTCAGGGGGGACTTCTGACGGGTGTCTGTGCTCGTCAGAAGTCCTATGGGATTTCGCGCTCCTAGGGGGATTGTTCCTTAGCGCCCCACCGCTGAGCTCGCGGTGTCTGACTGTAGGTCTCAGTTGTGGGGTTAAGTTATTATGTAGGCAGGATTCCTTACATTTCCCTTCTCTGTCTCTCTCGTGCGGGCGGCCGACGTCCCGTGTAAGCGACCTCTTGTTCGAGTGTCTTCGTTTCTGTTGCTTTTCACCTGTCCCTCCTTGTCACTTCGTCTCTTTTGAGATGCTAACGCTGCTTCCTTCGAGCCAGCTTCAGCGGGCTGGACATCTGAGACCTTCCGCCCCTTGTGGGTGATGAATAATTGAGACCTTCCACCTTTATGGTGATGTTCATCTTGACTTTCGGTGCGAGATAGCTTAATAGCTGAAGCGCTAGTAAACATTTGGACACTAAACTAAACTAAACTTAGTGCAATTTTTTATAAGATATGAGAAAAAAACTTGAATTTTTCTGTTTGGAGTCAAACACTAGAAATGTGAAATGAAAAGTCTTGCTACAAACACCCAAGTTAATGCATTATTCAATTTTATAATCATTGAAAAACCGTCAACCGGGGCTACTCGGGACGATTTTGAACATTTTTCATTCATAACTTCTTACCATGAAACATTTTGGAGACAAGTTTAGGCTCATTTCAAAGCTCTTTGCAAGGGCTATCACATGGCTTCTCCAAAAAATTCCATATGCTATTCGTAAGGTGCCAGAAGCAAAAAAAGTCTCGAGTAGCCCCGTTGAACGGGGCTACTAGTGACACTTGGAATAAAACTTCATTTTAAAACATTTGAAGCATGCAGAGTGTACTCATCCATTACTAACAGTACTCTGAAGTCCTCCTCTTTCATTGTAGATGATGTAGAGTGTGATTTTTACTTGTTTTTCCTTTATTGATATATTACCATATACATTAATTACTATATTATTGATGCGATATTACCATATTATTGATGCAATATTACCGTATCCATGAACATGCCATTGAGCATTTACAACAACCTTGTCCACTGCAAGCTTCATATCAGCAGCCCTATAGCATTTTTTCTGTATCTGTAAGCTTATAGGACGGCTTGTAATTTCACGCCATTTTAATTGGGTTAAGTGAATTTACTATAAAAAATAGATCATTAAAAACATACCTGAAATAGAAAGAAATGTTTTAGTGACAACCATCATATGTTTTGGAGAAATGAATTATAGTTTAGGTCAATTACTTTTCATTCTATGATGCCTGGTGCACAATTCTATAGATGACATTCTATGCACAATTTTGTGATGACCGGTGATACACTAATTTTTCGATAAGTGAAATTTTTTCACTGAGCGAGGAGGTAAATGTAATCAATATTCTTTGTTTTTAAACAATTTTTTTCTTAACTGGAGCCTTTGCAAACTGAGGTTCTACTGTAAATGCGTTTTTGGGGGGTGTCCCAAATAGCCCCGGGAAATTTTTTTCACTGAGCGAGGTAGATGTAATCAATATTCTTTGTTTGTAATCAATTTTTTTTGTAACTGGAGCCTTTGCTAACTGAGGTTCTACTGTAAATGTGTTTTTGGGGGTGTCCCTAATAGCCTCGGGGGGGGGGGGGTGTATAAAATATATCCCTTTATTACATTTTCAGGTCATCTCATGGTATGGTACGTCAAAATCCATCTACACAATTTTTCGAAGGCAAGAACTAGCTGAGTACAGGATTTTCAAAACCATACAAGTCACCTTGTTTTATTGTAGCTTGTTAAGATTTTTTAGGACGAACAATCTTTCAGCAAAATTTACTATTATTAGAACAACTAGGTTTTAGTAAGGTTAAGCCTCTTGAGAAGTTGAATTATCAGGGAATTAGAGCAAAAACATTATCATTTTTATTGCAATGTCCTTCAATATTCAAAATTTTTAAGCTGTATACAGCTGTTAATAAATCTTAAGTAATTAACTTGCATGCTTGCACTCTGCTTAGAAATTTGAATTTCTGCATATTTATATTTATTGTTTAAACAAGAGTGGTTGATGGCCAGAGAATTTATTCAATAAGACTCAAAATACAAGTGTAAGAAAGTAATTTTAATTTATCAATGATGTTTTAAATGTAACACCATCAATTTTTACTGCGTTTTTCTTAGCTTCGTTTCATGTCTGTCTGCCTGTCTGTCACCAAAAATTCAGACCTTAATTTAGAGCTCTTCTAAACATCCTAGTAAGTTGAAATTTGGCATACATGCTTATGCTGTCTAACAATTCAAGATTTGATCATCAGAAGTAATAATTTAAAAAAATTGTTAGAAAAAAAAATTAAGAACAAAATAAATAAAAAAACTAAAAATTCATGTTTGGGAATCAATTTTTTTTTGTCAAATGTACAGACTTGATTACATTGGAAAATGATTTAGGAGCGTTAAATGATTTAGAAACGCGGTAAAATACGCTCTAGAGTGGTCATTGGAACCGGGTTCTTGATACATGATTTTCCATTAGATTCGGTGGATTTACCAGACTTTTTTCGATCGATTAGCTTATGTCAAGTATCTAAGACGAAAATTTAGAACAAGTATCTAGGACGCTACAAGTATCTAGAGTTTTGAATTACAGTAAGGCTTCATTAACTAAGGGGACAAAAACTCCTTGGCATCATTTAGGGTAAAGTTTGAAAAACATCACGCAATAATATTGAGCCGGAATAATGGATGAACCACAGCATTGAACAGGTGGTAACGCTTCTCAATTTCTAAGGCGGGAGGACTATAGACTAAATAGTTCTAGGTGGGATGGATGGTGGGCTATGTCTGCAAAACTTTCTTTATATCTTCTTTTTGTTGGTGTTCATTTATATGTTTCTGTTTGTCTGTGTTGTGTCTAGTTTGCCTCACCTCCACGCATTTAGACCTAGCATCCAAAATATTTTTTGGAAACTAATAAGGGAAAATATTTATGTCTATAGCGCTTAGTCTATTTTTCAATAAAACTGAATCTATGGAGAATAACTTCAGATGAATTTGTTTCAACCCATTAATGACGAGAATTATTTACTGATTTTTTTGGGGGTTCCTTGTGAGAATATTATCATTTGTGATGGTAATAAACAAAGAATATGCTCATATATTTATTTTTCGTTGTATGTGAAAAAATATAGCTTGGTTCCATATGGAACCGCTCAGCATTATCATAACGTTTCTTCAAACAACACTTTTTCCGATAGTAAATCAAGCAAGGTTGTTCATAATGGATAATACGTAATATACGTATTCATAATGGACAATACTGATGATGAACCAATCATGGCAGAATACAATTTAATTTTTAGCATAGAATGCTTCCATTCATCAAAATGAACAGGAAGGTTGACCATTTTACGAATGTTTGTGGGTGCGTTGTCAACATTGTTTACGAAGCACTGCATTTGCAGTGCTTCTGAAGTCTCTTTGTTAGCCGATGTTGTCGATTGTTGTATTGCACTTCATCAAGGATTGAAGTAGAAGGGTGCACTATAGATACTGATTGTTTTATTTAGGGTCTCCTGCATTATTGCATTTCCTAACCAATCTTTTTGAAAATTTATTGCAATAGCCATTCTTTTTTCAAGAGTTTTTTGAGAAGCCAAATGAAACCAGAATAGATATCACATATAATATGTTGGCTTGGGACCAATAGTATCATGTTTATGGGACCAATCCATGTTCCAGCCCATGAACAAGTTTCTTTTTCTATTAGATTCGCCGATTAGCTTCAATTGCAGAAAAATATCATCTGATTTATCTGCTGCCCAAAGTTTATAACTAAATCTCACGGGCTAGCCACTTATATGTCGTAGTATAATGTGGCCATATCGACCACAGTTGACTTTCTTCTCTGTCGATAGTCATTGTTATCACATTCGGTGATTACTGTTGCTACAATGACTATTCTCGATAGGCAAGCAGAATTGCTAGTGGCTGCGTCATCTGAGTTATCTGAATCTCAGTATGTTTTGTTTGTTGCTGCTTCTGTGAAAGGTTCAGTAGCAAATATTTGATCATCGTGTTATTCTTCTCTCGAAATCTCAATTATTTCATGTTATGATCTGCCAAAAAAACAATTAGAAAAAAAGTGACTCGGGATGAACAATCGTATAGTGCTCAACGTACCTACTTCCAAATATTTCAACTTTCGGGATATATATTCCTAACAGCTCTAAAGATAATGGTTCACTAATAAATAACAGAAAAACTTAGATCTAAGATCTAAATAAATAATTTCAAGGTACAAACAAGTTTTTGAAATACAATGCGTAACTATATCACATAGTAATCTACTAGGAAAATGAGATGACCGGAATGCTTACACTACTGCCGAGCGGTTCCATTTGGAACCAGACAAAATATTTCATGATCTAAAAGACTTTAGAAACATTATATCACGTAATACCATATACAGGATTAAAAGTACTCTCTTTATCGATAAAATTCTGCATCTAACTTATAAATAATATATTCTTAGAACAAACTACTTACCTTTCTCTGCAATGATGTCAAGCCCTTCTGTCTGACACCCGGTACTTACAATCTTTTAATGTTAACTGAGCAGAGAGTAGTTGGCGCAGCAGAACCAAACGTTGCCAGAACATGGACAAGATGTGTATCAAACCTATGCATCCACTAGTATATTGATTTGACCATACAATTTTATTATGAATCCATTTTTTTCTGCTGGTTCCAAATGGAACTGCTCGGCATTAATGGGTTAATTACTAAAACTATCAAACTGAAAAGTAGAAAATAAATAAATATAAAACCATTTTTAAAAACCACATTTTTCTGGTTTTTACAAAACTAAAAATGATGAAAAAAAAACAAAAAATAAAAAAACATGTTTTTAATGGACAAAAAAGAAAAACATTAACTCTTGCATAACATTACATAACTTTAATGTTATGTAAGAGTAAATTTTTTCTTTTTTGTCCGTTGAAAAAAAACGCGGTTCTTGAAAATTTTTTTATTTGTTTTATGAAGTTATAGGAAGCATTGACTACTGAAATCTTGGTGGAAGTAAGTAGTACATGATGCACTTAAATGATTCGACAAGAAAATTTGGAACCATAAAAATAACTCAAAAACAATCTCAAAGATCATAAAATCCGATAGTTATGAGATGGATAGCTGGAGTCCAATCCATAGAGATGAAGGTTTTAGCTAATGTTGGTTAGATGATTTTAGGTCACTGCAAGATGACAATGTGGTGGGTTCCTCCAGCACAGTGCAAGGGACAGTCTTGTTAAGTTTGACATTGTCAAGAGTGTCATGGAGCCTTGAATTCGTTAAATTCATTGCTGATTTTGAGACGGAAGTTGCTCAATTTAAATGCTTTGAGACTGGGTCTGGCTGTGAGCTTGCCTCAGGTGGTAAGAGGAATGGCTGTTCAATGTTGTAGTTGTTACTGCAATTATTGGAATGTAATCAAATGCATGAAGAAGTCTACAATCTTCTTTGAAGCATAATTTACAGATCACAGTGGCCTTTTGAAGAACTCCAAATTTTTATTTGCATTGGCCATTGCTCCATATAGTCCAGGGTGTGACATTGTTGTCAAGGGGGTCATGGAGCCAGCTTACTTCATCAATGATCTTGAGATGAAGCTGCTCACTTATTATTCTTTGACTCTGTTTAAGATACCTTTCTGAGTCTCCCGATTTCATATTTTTGACTTCACTTTTGATTTTTCTCATGATTTCTTCAGTTCTGCTTTCATCATCATTTTATCTCTTGCTGCCAGGCCTTGAGTGCAGAAATCGGCATTAGATGGCTGAATTTACTTGTTTATTCACATGCAATTAATGACCAGAGAATTGGTTGATTTAAATTATCATAGAGTTGAACAATTCTTCAGATGACATTGGTAGATCAAAAGGCATGTTTCAGGAAGAAGTTTTATTCTTTTAACCTTTCAAATGCAACAAACATTCCTTTTCATGTTACAAAAAGCATTGATATATAAAGAAGCAAATTCTCTTGTATAATACTAATTTCAATGTATTATATTAACCTATAGGTTAATTGCAGGATAATGATTTGACACAATAGTCTGAAGTTTTGATTACCATTGAATTGGTAGTTCAACTAGAATTTTTACCAAATTTTTATTTTGAAAACCAAACATATTAGAAGTTTCCTGCCTTTTAGCAAATTATGTTATCAATGAATTTTTCTAAAAATAAATGTATAGGTACATATTATTGCAGTCAATATATACCTACCTTTGGGTCATGACCTTTCATTGTGAATTTTGAATTTGCTTTGGATGTAAGGCATTTAGATTTGATGTAAAAATCATTTAGATTTTTTGCACATCATCTTTAAGCAGTTTTCTGGATCAACATTAGCTTAAAGTTGCATGAGGAGTTCCTGATCTGATCTTTGAAACAGCCACTGTGCACTGTAGCCCACCTTATTTTCTTTGCAAGAGAAAGGCTCTTTGAAAACCCCACTAAACATTTTGTATGAAGGGTTAATTGAATTCCAATTTAATTGAAGTTTGTTTTAGATCAGTAATGCATTTAAACAATTGGATTTCTTTTTTACAGTTGCGGTTAAATTCTATCAAGAAATTGTCAACCATTGCCTTGGCATTGGGAGTGGAGAGGACGCGTACAGAGCTCATTCCATTCTTGACTGACACAATCTATGATGAAGATGAAGTGCTGCTTGCTCTGGCTGAACAGCTCGGCACATTCACAACTCTTGTTGGTGGACCAGAACATGTCTATGTTCTTCTGGTATGTATTATTGAACTCTGATTTTGTTTCAGTTTAAGTATCTAATCATTTCTTGTATGTTCTCAGTAGATATTTGTTACTATATTAATTTATTATCTGCAAGTCCATAGGACACAACAATGTGTATAAATCCCTCTGCTAATTAAGGTTTACTTAGTATTTTTATTATTATATGGTGTAACAAGTGGGGATTCTTCTGAAAATCATCCTGATATATTAAAATAACCTGACATGACATAGGGATCTAAAGTTTTGCATTTGGGTTTCTCACAATGCATATATAATTTTTATGTTTAATTTCTGATTTTTTGAGGTACTTAAAAATAGATTTTAAATTTATTAAACTTGGTAATGATTGACTAGAATGATATGAGATTAATTGGAATGTCATGTGAATGATGTTATCTATTGTAACTTGAAAATTGAGTTTTACAAACTTCAATTTGAATTCATACATTCTGATAGTTCATGCATGTTTTTAGTCCAGATCATGAAATACAAATTCCTCATATCATATAAGAAATGACATGCTGTGTCTCCAAACAGCGGCCCCTAGAGTCGCTGGCCACAGTTGAGGAGACCGTAGTGCGGGACAAGGCTGTGGACAGCCTGCGTCACATATGCCAGGAGCACAGCGTCGAGCACCTCGAACAGCAGTTTGTTCCTTTGGTTAAAAGGCTTGCTGTGGGTGACTGGTTCACTGCCAGGACTTCTGCATGTGGTCTTTTTGCCAATTGTTACCCAAGGCTCTCAGTTGCAACAAAATGTTAGTATCCTAGCACATCAAGCTCAAGTGTTCTTTGAGTAATTGACTTTTTTTTAAGGATTTATGCTTTTAATTCAAGCCCGGAAATTGACATTAGTGATGTTGATTACTATCAAGGTGGCACATAATGCTTGCAAAAATAATTTTGTGCAAAATAGGTGTATGAATTATATTGATAAAAAAAATTTAAAAATTTTAAAGTGCCTTATCACAAGTTCAAATCATTATAATGCATATTGATCATCTTTGATATTACACTTTGCTCCTGCGTTTGCATCTATGATTCAAAAACGTTTATTTTAAAGCTATTGATGGTTGATATTGCATTTAATGACATAGTATAGTAAAATTCAGTCATTTTCAAAGGAATTTTGCACTAATTTTCTACCAATTGGTCCTCATTTGACAGCGGAATTGCGGGCATACTTCCGCTCCCTGTGTCAGGACGACACGCCAATGGTGCGCCGTGCGGCCGCCTCGAAGCTGGGCGAGTTTGCCAAGGTGGTGGAGCCTGAGTATCTCAAGAGTGACATGATCCCTATGTTCGTGGCTCTTGCTACAGATGAGCAGGTCAGTCTCTACTTCATCAATTCTAAAGTGCAGTTTGAAATGAAAACCATACACCAAATCATTACTGTCTTTCTTCTGAAGATTGTTGAAAAATTTACATATTGTATTGTGCACTAGTTACATTTCAATGACGCTCGAAATATTTTGTATGTATATTTTTCCTGGTGAAATATCATTCATCACAAAAAACGTAATAGGTGATTAGATTTTTGGCGTTTTATCTGTTGTTAATTTGTTCATTGAATGTGAAGGATTTATTTTGTGGCAGGATATTAATGTTACGTTTCCCTACAGGATTCAGTTCGTCTGCTGGCGGTAAAGGCGTGCGTGAGCATGGCAGGACTTCTCCCTCAAGAGGACACAGAAGCTCTCGTTATGCCCACACTTAGGTGAATACAAGCTTTATTTTATTCCGGTTTCCTTTCAACATTGTGAAAATTGTTATTAACTGAATTACACTTTTGCTATATGAATAATTGAATTATTTTGACATTTTGCGACGTCAGTGAAATTTGATGCATTATTTTAGCTCTCTTGAGATTTTCTCTGAGCAAAATTGTAAGGTGTGTAGATAAATAAATGAAATATTTTATTTGAACAGAGCCTCTGCAGAGGACAAGTCGTGGCGCGTCCGCTACATGGTGGCCGACAGCTTCATTGAGCTGCAGAACGCAGTAGGGCCAGAAATAACGCGCAACGACCTCGTGCAGGCCTATCAGCTCCTTCTCAAGGATGTTGAGGCTGAGGTAATAAATTGCTTATATTGACGTGTCTGCTATGCTCATAAACCATATAAAGCGTTCTTTTTGAGTAGCCATTTCTTTCAGAAGCAGCAGTTCATGATGTCACTGATGGGTAGACACGAGCCTGTTTGTGATTTTTCAGTGGCAGCAAGAGAGGTTTTGGTGTTGTCATTTGGATGGTCAAGTATCTAAATCAAAGACTTGGTTACCAAGAGTTTTTTTTATAACATACTAATCTTAATTTTTAAGCTATACTAATATATTTGTAAGTTTTATGATCATATTTATTATTACTATCAAACATAAGTAGTAAATTTCTCAAGAACTGACTATCATACTCAAGGTTCATTATGTTTGCAGGTGCGGGCAGCTTCGGCTGGTAAACTGAAAGACTTCTGTCAGAATCTTGATCCGAGTGCCCAGGAAACGGTGATCATGAACAACATCCTTCCCTGCGTCAAGGTTAGTACGGTATTGTTTACTCCACCGTTGTTACTTTGCAGTCCGTAGATGTGGGGTGTTATAGTCAGCTTCCTTGTTAACTTTTGAACTTCACTGATTACAGAATTTTAATTTTCACTAGAGGAGTTTCATTGCTGCTAGCTTGCCATGGTTGAGTTCTCATGCTTATTCCTTCCAAAATCTTAGTCATGCTTTGTTAGCAACCATTTTAGAAATTATTGTCATCAATTCGTTTTTTTTACACCAGGAGCTTGTGTCGGACAGCAATCAACATGTGAAGTCAGCTCTGGCGGGAGTCATTATGGGCCTGTCACCTATCCTGGGTAAAGATAACACCGTCTCTCACTTGCTGCCGCTCTTCCTCAGTCAACTCAAAGACGAATGCCCAGAAGTTCGCCTCAATATTATTTCCAATCTGGATTGCGTCAATGAAGTCATTGGTATTCAACAGGTAAATTTTGTTGCTTGTCTGTACGTTGACTCTTGTTCATCATTTACTTAGTATGGTTTGGTGGCAATAAGAAGGTTCTATGGAGTTCTCAACTTGCATATTCTACCTGAGCAGTACTACCTATACAATGTTGGCGGCCGCCAAGGTCACTTACTAATCAGAAATTGACCAATTGTTAGTATCTCCAATTGCTTTTGAATTCTCAGGGGGTCTCGATACTAGCCGTGCCTCTTAAAACAAACTTGTGGTGCACATTCCTATGTGCAATCTTACTGCGTATGCCTGCTCCAAATTTAAGTTCAGAGCTTGTTTACTTCCTTATATTTCACTATTTTGTTTGAATATAAGGTAAGCAAACTCTTACGAGATTTTCTCCTCGTCAGAATTAATTTGTAGTTTATCCTTTATCCATGTAATTATTTTCTTTCAAATTTTACTTTTTTTTTGTTTACTCATGTGCTGCCGACTCAATTGATGATCTGTATTTTTTGGCTATCTAAAAGCAATTTTTCTTGATGACCTCTGACCTAAGCAAATTTAATTTGCTATATTTGTTCAAGTTTATCACAACTGCGCCCTACGGAACAAATGTTCTTCTCATTGACCATATTCTACATTTAACTTCATGAATCGACCGAATATATGATAATCTGCTCATGTGAATTCCTTTTCAGTCAGTAAGTAGCGGAACTTTTAGCTAACAGAGTTGCCTTCTTACACGACGTTTCAGTATCTTAATCTGGATTTGTGCAGTTATCGCAGTCGCTGTTGCCGGCAATTGTAGAGCTGGCAGAGGACAGCAAGTGGCGAGTAAGGCTGGCCATCATCGAGTATATGCCTCTGTTGGCTGGTCAACTTGGCGTCGAGTTCTTCAATCAAAGCTTGTCAAAACTCTGCATGACCTGGCTTGTTGATCATGGTAAAAATTATTGTTGTAGAGTGATATTTTGTTTGGATTTTTTGTTCTGGCAAATAAAATTAATTATTCTCTTTTCGACCTCAAAATCAATTTTAAATTGAAATCTTAAAGTCAAATCTTGATCGTTGTGTGTGCTGCTTTGCTTTCAGTTTTTGCCATACGAGAAGCTGCGACAAATAACCTGCGGAAACTAGTGGAGAAATTCGGACACGACTGGGCCGATACGCACGTGCTGCCCAAGATCACAGCCATGAGCAGGGACGGCAACTACTTGCATAGAATGACCTGCCTCGCCTGCATCAATGTCAGTCTATGAGGCCTCGCTTTAATTGCATATAACCATTTTTTCCTACCGTAAACTTTTGTGAAAATTTGGAATGGAACTGGAAAATCTGTTTATCGTCATTAGTTTGTCGAAGGCTTGGCGATAGTATCATCAGTATTGATCATCGTAATAGTTGAACATTAAAGTACTTAGAAGAATTGCATGCCCTGATGTCTCATTGAAACCTTACTGCCTTTGTTAAATTTGCGTTGATGATCACTTCGGAGCTTACTTCTTATTTTCATAATAATCTATGCTTGCGTCAAACAACTCATTAAGATTTCTCTTGGTGTTTCGCTGGTAATCTTGACTCTAAGATCTGCATGTCTGTGGCAGGTGGTGGGGGAAGTGTGTGGCAAGGAACTGACTACTAAGACCCTCCTGCCCACCGTGCTGGCTCTGGCTCAGGACAACGTGCCCAACGTGCGCTTCAATGTTGCCAAAACTTTGCACATCATCGGACCTCACATCGAAAAAGAGTTAGTGGATTTAGTCAACTCATTACCTTCAAAACTAAACAATAATCATTTCTTCAGCATCAGGCAAAAAATGTTTCTTCATGATGTGCTATATGCAGGCAACCTCAATGGTGGCATAGAACTAGCACATTATTACAAGTAGAACTGGGAATCATCTAGCTTTATCCCTCTTAGAAATATTAACCTTAGCAACAGATTATTATTTTTTTTATCAGTAGCAGCACTTGCGAGGAAAAGCAAGACATATAATATTATTTTTTTAATTTGTCTCTTTAATTGATCTGGGTCGAAGGATCGCGCTAGGTGCGAGTGTATTAATTAGTTTAATTTTGTTAGGAGCCTGATGTCGCAAGTGAAACCTGTCCTGGATCGACTGAACGAGGACCTTGACACCGACGTCCGCTACTTCGCGTCCGTCGCATCTTTAGGTAAGTCATTCACAAGATTCACAGGCTGCTATTTTTCCGCCTGAACTGGTGAAAGGATTACAATATCCGTTTTTTTTTTTGCTCTCATTCAGGCTTTTTTCTATACTAAGGGTTTTCTGGTATTTCTAATGTGGGTTCTTTCCTTGGTATTATTTTTATCATTATCTTAATAACGAGAGTGTGTTGCTTGTTAATGTCATACATGTTCACCGCTTCAAATAGACTTAGTAAAATTTAAATTATGGTTTGTGAAGTGTCTGTGTGGTTCCAAGTTTATATCTCGTACGCTCATTGATTTTGTTGAAGTAGATCTTCTATTTGCCATTTTGATTAAAATCACCTCCTGTTTGTTTTTAGGTGGAAAAATTATTTTTTATTTAGCATTTTTTTTTTCGCGTGAAATCTCCTCACACATTAGAGTGCAACGTTTCCGTCATTTTCTCCAGCTCAGCATTTGGAAAAAGTTTAATTATGTGTCGAGCTCTTCAATGTATTGAGCAGTAGACTTTATCTGCCTTGTAGCCTAGAAACGTGTATTTACACGCGTACGAGGTTAATATCGTCTGTCTTTTACGTCCTTATTTGGATTTAATGGCACAATTCAAACCCGGGCAATGTTGATGGCATATTCTACCTTAATTTGATAAATAGAACTGTCGAACTTTCTTGCATGTATCCTAACATTTGACAAGCTTCACCGTCTAACAGTCGATGTGATTATTGCCTCAAACAAAGTCGGAATATTCAGGAGCATTGAATGAAATTTCTGTGATTTTAAATGTCCCTTCAGATTATTTATTTTTAAAAACTTGGTTCTGGCACTGCAATTTTTTCTGCATCGAAATTAGATGTGTATAGATACTTAACTAACAATTGGTGGCCTTTTAAAGATTATGGTAACCATCTATATTAACTAACAGTGTACGAATGCTCATACGTTTTTGGTACCTTTGGCAGGCTGGTTTTGTGTTAACTCTCTTGCTGTTCCACAGTGTTGTTGTTGTGCTATTTTAAATGTCAATTATATCGTCAATGTTTAAATTATTCTAATTAATTGATACAATTTTTTATTATGCTATGGGTTCCTGCGTATTCTGTTGATTTTTCTTATGAATTGACCGGAGCAGCACATGCAGTTAGGCTCCTTATTTTGCTCCTGTACTGTTTGCCTTTGTCAGGCTTTTTCCCCGTTAAGGCCAGGTTCAAACTATTCTGCTGGATACATGTCAGGCATATGTTTGTCACGGTCCAGTTCAATATTCTTCAATGCATTTCTATAGAAGCATTCCCACCATGGACTTCAAAGGTTCCTTGCACCGGCTGGTGTGAATGCTTTCATGGAAATGCATTAAAGAATACTGGGCTGAACCGTGATTGGTATATGCCTGGCACGTGCTCGTCAGTATGGTGTGTACTCGGTCTAAATCACCATCACACGCTGTATGTTTTCGAATCATTTTCTAATGAAAAATCTCATCTCACGGTTAGTTGCCTCGACTTCCACAGTCACGTCTCGCAACTTCATTATCCTGCTTAAATTTCGAGTTGACTTTCATTCTCGCGTGTTCGAGCAATCGCTTGACTACTTTCGCGTCTGTTGCTTATGCGACATCTAACGCGCTAAACTGATTAAATTCAGTCAAGGGCTAGTTAGATACCCTTATGTCACGGTCGAAACGGTACAGTGGTACGTCGCTTGCCAAGCTTTCTCACTGGTAACCGCTAAGTACTTCTCTGAGCACCAGATTGACATTCGTCTCAATTTCCATTAAATCTTGGAGCTCATCATTAAGCTCTTCAAAGTACTCTCGGTGATAAAAAGTATTTAGTATCCAGCGATGACATTTCTCTTGTAGCCATTTGTTATCTGAGTATCAAATTTGCTTAGTTTTAATTCAAATCACACACGTTGTCTAGCATAAATTAAACTGCTGCCTCAATGTAGTTTTTTTCCACTCCCCTTGATAGGCATGTAATTATACCAAAGCTGGCATAGTATTGACGTCGTCACTGTACCATGTCCCCCAATTGGCAATTAACATATAAGTTCATTACAAAAATTTTGTGCTGAAAGCTATCCCTCTTGCTGTTTCAGAGAATGGTCTATGCTAATTGACCTTAAATATTTTAGCCCTTGGCTAAATAAAGAGCGGGAACCCTGCTATCCCTTTACGGTGAGTGCGAGATCTGACTTCCTAGTTCCCTCTACTCCCATTTCCTTCTGGCGCTTCTCGGCAGGGTTACCTTTCATCCAGTGAACGCGCTTTGAGGCTCTACACACTGCATACCAATGTACCGAATGTGTTCACAAATATTATGCCTCATGACACTTATTAAGAATAATTAATTTTATGTCGGGCATTGTAATTACCGACAATTTACTTTACAACAAAATTGTTTCTCAGGCGGATTACGTTCGTCATTATTCAATTTACCCAGTTTGCAAATTTTTTGTAATTAATTTCACTATAATCTGTGGAATCAATCATATTGTATTTGCTGCGAAGAGCTGGTAAGGTCAACACGTTTTGTCACTTATGATTTGTTTTGTGGGGGCTTTTTGGTGTGCTGTTCTAACTGGCTAGTTTGTAGCCCGTTTAGTGCTGTGCTTCACGCTAAGAAGGAACACAACAAAGTATTTAATGAGGGAATTTTTTCCTTCATGGTTCGTCGAAGGTAACGTCCGAGTGTACTCAGAAAGTGTATGAATAATTTTCGTCTTGTGGACTCAACTTTTCCTATGTGGGTTTAGATATAAACTTCGTGTGGTGTTGAGTAAATGTTACAATGAGTATAAATGCACCTTAATTAATGTTATTTATTGAATTTTTTGAACTTGTGAATGTGAACTTAGATTATTCTGGATACTGCATCTAAAGTGACTCGGCTGCTGTAACAATTCAAATTGTGTGCACTAACCTCTGTTTGAATTTTTTTTCTCATGTAAACTTTTGTTAGATTTTGTCCACTTTACCTTCTCGTCTTTTCCCAGAAATGGCTCCTCTTTTCGCATGAGTACTGAAGTGATGTACAGGCGAATGCAACTCGTCTGCTGGACTGCCTCCTTGGTAACGATCGTTGCCTCATCTTCTGGCTTAAATGTTCCATCGCCACATTATGTCAGAGACTTGTTTTTAATTTCTGTTCAGGCCTATATTGATTGATTTTTTATTACTACTGCATCAATGGGAATCCACTTTCGTGTTCTAATGAATATACTTCAGTGGAAGATCGTCGTTTGCCGTAGTATTGTAGGCATAAAATGCAATGTTTACGACAGTGCTTATTGTTGCGAGAGAAAAATTCAACTTATTTTAGCAGTGAGCTAATGGTCAAATATTATTAATCAATAATTATAATTTCTTCTGTTCACTCCTGTTTCATTAAAGGAAGAGTTTTAAGTAAGTGTATGATCCCGACAACATACCAATAAGTTTAATATTACTTACCAACTTCTTGGTCGGTGTCAACTATTCACGTCGATCAATTAATTGCATACAAGTGTAAAATAGATAGTGTCCCGCGATGTTTTCTACTACTATTCACCCAGCTCTGCTGTATTTACGCCGCAGGTCCCCTTGTAGCAATTTATGTTACTCAAACCTATAGCTATTTTTGTGCTAAATAAACGTTAGTTTGCTTGACATCTGATATCATGAGTGATCAGCTGTGCTGTTGGAGTTTTTTTTTTATTGCTGGTAGGTAATTTTGAATTTTTGTATGGTGCTTTGAGTGGCTGAAATGTCAGTTGAGTAACGAAAAGCGTTCATAAGAAGCGTCCCGTGAAATATTGCCTTTTGTGCTCAATGTCATTGAAAGTTATCCCACTCCAATATATTCGTATTGTAACATACTATTGTTTTGAATGTCGCTTATGGTTTTCATAAAGAAAGTTCTTATAATCTGCCTAACAGTGAAGCCTCACGCAGCAGGTAGGTTTCGGTAATACGATTATGAAAGTTTCTCTTCTCTCTCTTGCATTTTAGGATAAGTTACACTACTCCAACTCTACATCCTTATCTATGTCACTATTAAGGCCGATAATCTTTTTGTACATAGAAATATTACTCATTGACGTTAGGTAAGAATCAGTATTGACACACCCTCGCCGGTCACTGTGAAATGAATAAAAGAACTAATCCTGTCGGTGTACTTGATTTCAGTACGTTATTATGAACCGGAAAGATAAAATTTATCTTACGAATACTGCTTGAGCAAAAGTTTTTCATTCTAGCATTAATAATTGAGAAAATTCTGAACGAAATTAAAGACCAGGCTGATAGAGACTACGATATTATTGATAGTTTGGAAATGTAACGGTAGTACCACAGCGAATTGGATAAATGCAAAAGCCGAATTCGGACTTAACCAATTCTAATTCGATTGAAAATGTATTGGAGCTGGTGTAGGCCAAGATGGTACCACGGGCATGTACCATGCTGTTCAAATTTTTGTGCCCTTTCGTTTACCTCACGTCATGTTCTAACAACTGCCAACGCACAGTACCCCCGCTTGGTTAGGGTTATTTCTTCATGTGGACTACATAATTTTTAGAAATCTGTTCTTGTAGCATTTCCGGCTATAAAAGTAATTAATATTAGGCTGCATCTGTGCTGCCTAAGCATAGTACGCACAAGACGGAATTGGTAGCGTCATACACGTTACTTAATGCGTCATACACGTTACTTCATTAACTACAGAGAACGGAACTACGCGGAAACTTCCTGTTTTGTATTTCGCACCAAGCAGCCAGATGGACGAAAAAGGCGGAGAGCATTCCGTATGAAACACAAGGGCATGAAATTTTATGTCACGACTAGTCAGTTGCCACTATGCATTGGACAAGTGAGTAGCGTGCGTTTGCTGTTGATGCGTACTTTTCTGAAGGCCATCCATTATTGCTACTCAACGAGCATTCCGTGTTCGGTTCCGCATTCTTCCTTCAAGTTGGGTTCCTGATCGAAAGTAGATTGTTCGTGAGTGAACACATTTCGGGCAAGCGTATGTGTGAATACAAAAGGGTCTGGAGGTCAGTGGACTGCCATAACACCCGAAAACGTAGAGTTAGAGAGGCGTATCTACGTTCCACACACCTGAGACGATATTTTGCAGAGCGCCTTCTTTGGCCAGCCCGATCCCCCGACTTGGCTCTGTTCTATTGTATGGGATTATTTTAAATAAATTGATTAAATGACTGTCCGAGGCCAGGCCATCGCCAACATACCCGTGAATATGCTTCATTGAGTTGAACGGAACTTCAAAAATCGACTAACTGAATGCATTCATGGTACCTTCATTGTCCGATGCATCTTTAAGACTAAGGATACAAAATTCAGAAGTTTTCTTTTCAATGAAATTTATATTGTAATAACTTTACTAGTTCTTTTTATTGAGCTTTCAACTCAGGAAGTTTCCGTGAATCATCCTGTACACAGATGATATAAAATTTGCGTCGGTTTGGCCATTCTGCAGAGGTGGATGAGAAATTATATGCATTAAGAAGGCTGTAAACGAGGCAAAATCGTCTGGATTATTCGTATGAGCTCATCGATTATCTTGCTATTGGATTATATTCACTTTAAAAAAATGGAACCGTTTACAATAGCAAGTTGATATACTTTCACAAAATATTCAAACGTTAACCATGACGTTCGCTAGTATTTGCACGATTCTTATCTTCGAGAGAATCCTGAAATGTTATAAATGGAATGGTAGTATCTACGTTAGGAAACGTGTATAAGACACGTGCATCATTACCTTCATAAATTTGATGCTTGTTCCCTTGTTCCAGCGCAATATATTAAATTTCATTCGTGACCTTTTCGCTCGAGATTAAATTGTATTCCAAGTTGTGATTTACTTTTGGATTCGAAGAACGAATGGCATTTCCCCACAAACAATTACGACCGCCCTGGCACTGCTGTATTAGCAATAAATTAAAGAATCTTTGATGTGAATTGTTTGTGTATCAAAATATAACCAGAAACCACGAATTGACTAATGAACCTGATTGAAAGTTCGAAATTCACAACTCAGGAACGTGGTGTGAAAAAGGCGCTGATGCACATTCACTTCGGCATTATGGAAGGTGAGGAGAACATCTCATGTTATTACACAATGGAATTGACAATGGGGCTCAACCAGTTGAACACCAGACTAGAGTAATAAATCACTGTATTATTTTAGTAGTAAATTAAAACGTGTAATAAATTATAGAATCAACATTTATATGCAAGGCTATGACTGACATAGGAGCACATTCCTAAATTAGACCTGCAACAAGTATTACAACAGCCCTACCATATTTATAATCTTCAAAATTCCTAAATCTACTCTAATCATTACAGCCAGTCCTCGAATAGTTCTGTTAGTGATGTACGGTATAGTACACCGATAGATAATTTTGAGCACTTCATAATTGTAGTGCTGAAGCGAGGCTAAAACGCGCATTTCCCTCCAATTCACTTTAATCTTCCCTTATTATTACGATCATGAATGAAAATTTGCACGCTTTAGTGGCTTAGGATTCACAAGTAAATTATCTAGGTAATGCAATATTTAAATTATGCTAAAAATTAAATTGACTATAGCACAACCTGACCTCGCTTATTAACTTGGCTGTACGAGTTTGGAACGTTTAAGCCGCATTTATTTATTCGCTTCTGAAGCAGCGGCGTCGTCACTCTGCTGCAGGATGAGCTCCTTCACGGCATGTGTGGCTCGACTGGCGTTCGGAATAAGAAACCTGGTGGTAACATTTTTGGGAATAAGCCAAGGGGAAATTCCGGAGAATCTAACTAAATTAGTACAATTTAATATCCAGATATAACGAACCTCATGATATTTAGTTATTAGAAATATTTACATATTTGTAGTTATGAAAACTTCCCCAAAAAATTTGGGCTTCAACACGAGAGAAACGCAACCAAACTACGCAAATTTACAACAGGTAGAGAACATGAGATGCGCTGAGTAGATTTTCGGTTGGCATTTCAAAGTATAAAGTGAACCAAGAAGAATGATTGGCGTTCCAAGAATACGTACAAAAATGATAATTAAGAAGCGTAAGCCTTGCAAAATTGCTTCTACTTTTCGTCGCATACTTTGGGATAGCTTCCGAAAAACTGATTAAACACTACCGAATTTACTGCAGCGAGTTACCTACTATACTAGACTCTGTGACTCAGTTTAGTGATTGGTAATGAGTTTTTAAACACAAGCGCCATTGACGAAGCTTACCGGTCCATGTCTGTAATGACAGCTTCTCCATCGGCTCTGGTGGTGCCGTACTTGAAGGTGATGAGGTCGGGATGCTTCTTCTTCGATGTGATCTTCATGATCGACGAGAGACTGCGCGATGCAACGATATCACCGTACTTACTTTTGCCCTCTATGCAGCGCACCAGTAGAACTCCGTGCTGTGTCAACACCAAATGACTGCCCAAGCATCATAAAATTATGATATGCACATCGAAAGGTGAAAAGCAAGGCTTAAAAGTATTAACATCGTAACAGGTCAATGCAAATTTGGACGTACACCAAGGAATATTCGTATATTCATTCGAGTATATTCCAACCATATGGATATACAAGGAAAAATTTCTACAATTATGAAAAATCTTCTTTAGAATACATTTTTCTGCGCCCATGATAACTAATTATCGGGGATAAAATCGAGGATTTAAATAATTTATGAGGTCTCTAGGGTTTTGGCGTGCATCATCACCCTGGAATTTCTCGCTTATCGACAAATTCATAGAAGTATTTGTAAAGCTTTTATTTAAAGCTGTCTGATCATCAAGTGGCTGTACTGATCGTATGATCAAGGAACTACATCTTGAATGCAAATTAATCGGTAAATACAGGGAACATTTTTTACCTGGGAATCATGTAGCCGTTCTCGCGCACTTGGTGACAGGCAAAAGAAGTGATAGTCGAGGGCTTCTTCAACAAATCAGACAGCAAAACACGCTCCACTGTGCCCCGGGTTTCTGCACAGTTGAAATATGTCAAATTTCGATTAAAAATATATCTACAATTGATAGGTAGTAGAATGTTTTTAGCGCTTCACAAGAACGTGATATGTCTTGCGCTGAAGGCAGCGGATTACATAGGCTGTCCTCCAGCGTGCCCTAGGACTGCTATGTCGAAAAATGATACTAAGGATAATGATTGATGGTCAACCTTCAGTTACGCCAAATCAACATGAAGCTTCATCGGTGGTCTCAGGTTTTTAGCCTGGCTATTCAGGCACAGTGGTTTGGAGACAGTTCGTCCCTTTCAAAGGTAGGATACCTTCAGGTTTCCGTGCCTCAGTTATTGGCACAGCTCGTTGACATGGAAGTGACCTCTTGTTTGCGTCAAGAGTTTAGAATGTAAGTTTATATGACATCAGGTGACGGTAACGTCTAGATACTATGTTTTAGTGACGCTCGATTTGAGGTATCGATCAAAATTTTCTATTGGCTTTCAATACGTCTATGCTGGAAAGGTGGCAGCCGCAGTTAGCAGACATCGCAAAAGTTGTATTTTTTTTTTCAGAGAATTGGTCCGGTAGATTCAGGTTAATCTTTGTTTTTGTCCAAGTAGTTGGTCTTGTCGCCTGTCTCGGGTTTTGGCTGTATTTTCGACATTTTCCAGAACCAGAACAGTCAGCCTGTTCACTTCCAAGAGCGACAGGAGAGCCAAGCCGTCACCACCGGAAGAGCATTTCTGCTCTCCCGTCTAGACTCTCTACTCGGTTTAGACTCAAGAGGTCACTTCTGTGTCCTTGGGGTCTCCCGCAAAAGGTAGACCGAGGAACCCCAACAACAACTCGGTCATGACTGAATCAGAGACGGTCTCGGGTATCATTGAAAGAAACAAGTATAACGGGCACGTAGCAGCTCTTTACATTCCATCCCTCCATGACGAGGACTGATCAATACCAATAGCCTGGCCAGAAAGTAGAAGGATGTTACAGGCACTCGAGTATAGCACACTAGCACGCACTGGCAGCAGCATCGTCTTCTCCGATGGTAAAAATGTCGCCAGCCCCGCGGTAGAGATCCCCCGTGTCATCAGGTGACGCGTGGCGTGCTACCACGGGGCGGCCACTGTCGTCGCCCGCGGGATTGGTTATGTAGTCCACCAACTTGTCTTTCAGGTCTGCTGACTGGAAACCATCATACAATTTACTATCAAAATATATAGCTACACGGATTCAAACTCTAATACTAATGGGTATTCACGAGCGGAGAATTTCAATTGATATAAATTATTTTCTCGTATCATTCATCATTATAATAATCGTTACGGATAATGATAATCTAGGACAACATGAAAAGACCTATAACTATTTTCAATAGAAAAGACAATGGCGATCATTCAATGCAGCAGCAAGCAACAGTAAAGAGAAAATACAAGACGTACGGTAAGTTTCAACATTATCACTGACCTTGATTTTAAATACAGAGGAGAAGGAAGAAAACTTATTGAAGAGTGTGCTATCTGCTTGAGAAGCGTCAGGCTTGTCAGCGCAGCTGGACGATTGTGAGGGAGCTGGTGAGGGAGGTCGTTTGGCAGCGCCTACGCACACGTGGCAATTGTTTCTATTGTGTTCGGCCAACTCTGTCTCGACATCAGGCTCCAGTGCTCGGTGAATGCCTGCAGAAATAACGGAATACATTGCATTGCCACATTGCCTTCTTACGCGGGACATAAAATGAACAACATCACACAACGAGTGAACAACCATCACACCATTTCTATAGTGGAGCAGAATGGACTAAAATTTATCACGAATCAGTAAGCAACAATCGGGCAAACACAGCGAGTGCTGACGTGGGCTGCGAGTGCAGGCACAAGGCGAGTGACCAAACTTAAGCCACGTCACCTCTATAGCCGCCTTTGGCGAGGCTGACGAAGGCTGTATGCTGCTGTAACATCGCCGCAGCGACCATATGAAGCAGCGGGTCTTCCTCTTCAGTGCCGCCCCCCACCAGGCAGAGGTGAGCTCCTGTGCCAGGTGTGTCGGCTTCTACCGCTTGTCGGTGGGCAATAAATAAGCCTTGAAGAGCTGTGTTAAATGATGACACTGCCTCCAGCATCTGGAATAGATTCATTATTACATCTATGATCAAGTTTATCATATTCAAGATGGTTATAAATAAAAATCCATATGATACTGATTTATTTAGTTCACAATTTATTGAATCTCACTTGAAGTGTAGATAAATATTTTATAATCAATAGGTCTACAAGCGATAGTACCTAATTCTTCAAGCTCAAGAAGCTTATAAGAAGTATTTAGAGAGACTCGGGTCATTTCATGCGATAAAAACTTGCATCATTTATTCAAATCACCGCTATGCTAAAATCAACCAAAATACCGCCATCGCGAAATTTAATATAAAGCAACAATTCACTTCAGTGAAGACTCATAATAATTTTTTTTAATCCAGGTCAATAGTTTCTTAAAATGAAAATGTGAAATAAGAAGCAATACCTTTCGCATTATAACACGAGACTTAATTAACCACAGAAATAACATATAAATGCTCACCAAGGATGAGTCCAGGTGGAAAGCGTTGGGAAGATGGCCGTTGCTGAACTGATCAGCGGGCCTGCAGTCAATGACGAAAAATCCCACCTGTTAGAAATAAAAAACTTAAGCTAATGCCAGTAAGCGAATGGCGCACAGTTCGGAAATCCTTCAACAAGCTGATTGGATATCATCAACAGTTTCAGGTATAATTTTCATAATTTCAGAATGATAGACAAAAAATAATACTTGATAAATATTATTCGAGTTCTATTAAGCAAGCGAATTTGCTATTACAAGAATATTTCAGTCGAGTTCAAGATACAAGTCTAAAAATATGATTATACAGTCGAAAGGAAACATCTGCTGAAATTTCAATATCCCAAAAATCTCGAATTGAAATCAAACGGACTTCGTACCAATAACTTAAACTAATGGAATAGCTCGATTGAATAATATCACAAAATTCAAACTATATCACAAGAGCATTTATTGTATTTCAAAGCGATCAAAAATCAGAATTTTCTGTGACGTACCTGCGAACTTTCAGGAGGGTACATCGCAGAAGAGGTAGAGGCGAGAAGCTCCTCAGGGGCAACAGGCAGACAGAGGGCTTGTGCCAGCGGCAGGGCGCCTGTCACGTGACCTCCGTCACCACCGTCACCCCCACTGAGGTACACGCTGCCGAAGATGCTGTTCTGATACTCCTGCACAGCAAGGGCAACGAGCTGCAGTACGAGCAGACACAACGAGCTTATGACCAGCAGACACAACGAGCTCATGACCAGCAGACACAACGAGTTCATGACAAGCAGAAACAGCGAGCTCATGACAAGCAGACACAACGAGCTCATGACAAGCAGAAACAGCGAGCTCATGACAAGCAGACACAACGAGCTCATGACAAGCAGACACAACGAGCTCATGTCAAGCAGACACAACGAGCTCATGACAAGCAGACACAGCGAGCTCATGACAAGCAGACACAACATCCTCCAGCATATGCGTATAGTAAATACTCACAGCGAAGAGAGACAATACAATTTTTTTAGCTACAGGCAAGAATACAGCGAGCTCTGTGAGTTTGTGGCAAATAGAGCATATTTTTGAAAGAACTAAGTAAATTCTTATTTATTTCACGTTAAATAAGGGGTAACTTTCAATATAATGTTGGAATGTTGAAGTACTTTTCTGAATGTATTTGGGGTTCGCATAGCGTAGTATCGGGCGAGCGTGCAGAAGTCTGGCGCGTCAGCAGCGGAGAGAGGGGCTGGCAGGGCTATGATGGTCTCAATGACAGCCGCGCTGCTTCGTTCGCTTAGCACTCGGTCTCTGTGGAAGCATTTAAGAATATTTAGCAAGATCAGGGCTTCATATCTTAGCACGCTGTGATACACAGATCCATATGAACAACTCGCTAGTAAATTTTTTGCTCGAACTGAAGTTCTACTTTCACTTATAGGTACTATTGACGAACAGTACCTGAAAGAGAATGATTTAGTAAATCTTAGAATGATTTACCAACATGATCGTTATCCAGTAAAGTTATCAATTAACAGATATTTTCGTTAATTGCAGTAATGTACCTCATCATGGCCATTCGGTCAATATTATAATCTTATTTGATCATAAATTAGTTGATAGTGAAAATAAGAGTTCACCGAGATGAAAACATGTGGTTTTAGTAGAGAAAATAACATATTAGAATATAAATGTTATAAAATCAACGAGCTGACGTCTGAAAAATGGAATGATTCCATTATTGAGTGCTGTATAAACTGTCAATTTAGATACAAATATAGGTACTGATGAATTCAATAACCTGGCGTTGACGAGGATGACAAGAGAAAGGAAAGCCACAAAGAAAGGATCCCGTTCCTGGAAGTAGGCGTCCCACAGAGACATGACCGTGTCCAGGGAACACACGCTCCCAAACAGCGACCTCACCTGCATCATAGAAACCTTTATACAACTTACAGAAACGCGTTTAAAACAGGATGATTGATACCATATTCAGGTACGAATCATCTCGAAGATACACGACATCAGGACTAATTATCATCGTTGAGTTTCCTTTGTTTCGAAATTTACTCTCTGCCACACATGACTTGATCCATTGACTTCAAGTCTCAGACACACAAGCACTTATTTAGTTGCTAAAACTATGACAATGGGAAATTCAGGGGTTAGACAAAACACCGGGGAAATCCAAAAAATATATATTTTACTATGGTGTAGGTCCACCTTTTGCGGCAATTACAGCCTCAATTCTCCATGGTATTGATTCATTCAAATTGTGAATGGCTTTCATTGTAATTTTAACCCATTCTTCAGATAAAACTCTTTATAAATACGATGGCTGTGGGAATCGACTTCTGACTTGCATCTCTAAAATCGACCATTAATGCTCGATAATATTCAGGTCTGGTGATAATGGTGGCCAAATGAGATGCGAAACTTCATTAGAATGTTCCTCGTGCCATTCTTAACAATTACAGCACGATGGATCGAAGCATTATCATCTTGGATGATGGCGTTCCTCTCCAGAACTGTGCTTGATCCATTGGATGAACTTGGTCCTCCAAAATTCTTAAATAGTCACGGCTGTTTATTCTTTCATGAAGAGAAATCATTGGTCCGCACTCCGCCGCATTTCCAAGAAATATCAAATATCAACACCCCAGATCATCACAGATCCCCCGCTATGTTTTACGATTGGGAGTAGGCAGTTGGGAATAAACGACTCTTGGCTGTCTTCCAACGTAAACTCGGCCAGAGGTAGGAAATAAGGCAAACGATGATTCGTCGGAGAAAATCACATTTTTCCACTGCTCGAGGGACCAATAATGGAGGTTTTTACACCACTCTAAACCAGTGTGGAATTCTAGAGGGATAATAAATTAACTAGTACCGGTACACATAGCATATTGGAAAGCAGGACCTGAAAGCTTGGAAAGGCCAGGAACTTTACACTTTCAGTCCATTATTTACATATCCATATCCTATCCCTTTCCAGAATTCCAGCTGTGATTGGTTGATAGGATTGTGATTTTAGCCCCTTTCAGCTTTCCAGCTGTAGTTGGATAATGGAATTGTAATGTTATCTGCTTTCTAGCTGTGATTGGTTGATAGGGAGGCCTTCCAGCAGTGATTGGTTAATGGAATTGTAATGTTATCTGCTTTCTAGCTGTGATTGGTTGCTGGGGATGCTTTCAAGCTGTGATTGGTTGCTGGGGATGCTTTCAAGCTGTGATTGGTTGATTGGGATGCTTTCAAGCTGTGATTGGTTGTGCCCATAAGCCCCGCCCCCAAGTATGGTATATGTACTACACTAACTACAGTACAAGTTAACTAAATACTTGACTGAAACTTGATCATTACAAACAAAAGGCCTGGAAAATGTAAAAAATCCATCAAATATAAGACAAATAAAAAATATCTATCAAACAAGTGACATCTAAATAATTCTTTTACAAATTTAATGTACTAGTATAAAATCAAAACATTTTGTCCACAGTCCACTTTTGATTCACCTTTTCATTTATAGTCACTTTAGTCATTCACCTGGAAGAGCACTGTGGGAATGGGAAAGCTTTTCAGCTTGGGTAGAAAGCTTTTTAATAAGTGAACTTCCATTCTTAGAATTCCAGCCTCCTCTAAACGCTTAGAAGCATTGGTATTTGAAACTTGAGGTTTTCTAATTGCAGCTCTTTCATAGAATCCAGATCTGTACAGCTCTCGGCGGACAGTCTTTATGGAAACTGGGTTCTGTATGTTTCCGTTGAGATCTGCAGCAATTTTAACAGCCGTCCCTCACAATTTTCGATTGTCCCTCACAATTTCCGATTGTCCCTCACAATTTGATTTAGGTACTGATGATCTCTCTCAGGGAACTTAGAGTTTCGGCCAGGCCTGTGCTTAGCTGAGGACATTTTTCGTTCTCTTTTAGAAGCAGTCGTTACTTCTGAGACAGTACTTCTAGAAACGTCAAGAATTTGGGAAGGTTCTGTCACACTAGCATCTGCCATATGGACACCAACAATTTGGCCTCTTCGAAAGTCAGAGAGTTTTGCCATTTATAGGTTATAGGTTAGATTATGGACACAAAAATATCTGTGCGAGGATAGAATATCAATTAGCATTTAGCAGCAACAATAAACATAAAAATATGTCACGTTTTCATTGTTAATAACATGTAAAAAAAAGTATGCATCAAAATGTTTCCCTTACGTATTTTGTCCAACCCCTGCATTTTGAGTCAACATTTATTAGACTAAACTTTTAATATTTTTTACAACACTTCTCTTTAACTTCACTTCTTGTCTGTCTGTCTGCTACAAATCTTATAATCTAAATTTAACACACTTCTACTTATCACATCGATCTTGAATTTTGCACACTTGCGTAAAGTTGGAGACAAAATAAATGATTTTAAAAATTAATTTTTTGATATTAAAAAAATTAAAAAAATAATTTTGTCAGCTACGAATCTTATAACTGATATTTGACACACTTTTACCTGTCCAATTGATCTGAAATTTTGCACACTAGTTTGAAGTCAGAGGCAATGCATGAATCAATTGACAGAAAAAATAATTAACAAAAATTTATGTACTAAAAATTTTTGAAAAATTAATTTTTCCAATATTCGAAAATAAAATGAGAAATTCATTGAACATCTTTAACGTTGGAGACACTGGATTCTTTAGACGTGTTGTCTTTAAAAAGTCATTTTTAAACGTATATTATTTCTACTCAAATCTTTATAGTTTTTTCGATGTTTGTACCTTGTTTCTGTAAGTTAAGTGTAAAGTGTTCAAGTGGAACCTAAGAATTTCGAGTATCAGAGCATTCATTGCAGCAATTTAGCTTTGTCGCGTCAATGGAGAGATGCTACAAGATCTAGAAGAAACTTAGTCATGTTACCTCTTAGACTTAATATCAATAGCTTAAAAAACTGATGATTACTCGATTCTAATCAGCAAACTGAGTGTGGTTGAGACGATAGAGCTACTTACCCATGGCGCAGCATACTGGTCAGGAGTGATCTTCAAGGAGTCTAAGTGATTGGAGAGCTGCGGGTCGTGGTAAAGCAGCAGCAATCGCAGGAAGTGGTAAATGGGGGACCCAGGGCTGCTCTCTCTATAGGATACAGATTCTTAATGATATTTTCTAAGATGACAAAGCATTAAACAAAATGAAATAAATGTAAATAAATTTCACATTATTTGTGAAGAACTTAACACAAAATTACTTGATCAAAATTTAGGGAATTTTACAGAAGGGGATAAGAAGTAGTAGATTTTAATATACTTGAATAAAATCGCAAAAAGACTGACTAACTTAAGAATTGATATTACTTTTCATCATACCGGACACTATTTACTTGTACCAGCTACCACTGGCTCTCAGGATTTACAAACAATATGGATTTTTTTCAAAATACTTTAACAGCTTGACAAATAAAATGTTTCTAAAGCAATACCAAAGATTATAGACTTCAATCGTTTCTCGAGCCAAACCAAAGATTATAGACTTCAATCGTTTCTCAAGCCATACCAAAGATTATAGACTTCAATCGTTTCTTGAGCCAAACCAAAGATTATAGACTTCAATCGTTTCTCAAGCCAAACCAAAGATTATAGACTTCAATCGTTTCTCAGGCCAAACCAAAGATTATAGACTTCAATCGTTTCTCGAGCCAAACCAAAGATTACAGACTTCAATCGTTTCTCAGGCCAAACCAAAGATTATAGACTTCAATCGTTTCTCGAGCCAAACCAAAGATTATAGACTTCAATCCAACACAATAGTTTTATCTTACCTTGGAATGTATTTCTCAAGAATTTCTTCAAAACAAACATAGAGTCTGTCAGGGCTGAGCTTGGCAGCTAAGAGAGGCGTTAGAAGGTCTGCCCACTGGCGCTGGGAGGCATACTGAAGGTGACGACTCTTGCAGTAGTGGCTCACCACGCTCTCCACGTCACAAACTATGGACACTTTATCTTCTTCAGCATTGCCTAGATTAGCTGAAATTTAGAAGCAAAATTAATTTTTTTAGCTAAATCTTATTGTATGAAATTCCATGTTACAAACTTGGGTGATGATCACCTTTTGCAGGGATAGAAACAAAATATTTTAGTTTTCCAAGCAAATTCATTTTCCATATCAAAATAATTATCATTAAATATTACAACTACACTACTTCACAAATGCCAAAGAATGAAGCAAATCACAAATTTACATCCATTTCAGAAAAATAACAAACTTCTTGACAAAACTATCTATGATAGTGAAATGATTATTTGATTGTTTCTTAAATAAATATACCGGTATATGCATACATACATATTCAAATAGGCTGGCAAAATTAGTTCCTTTAAGAATTTCAGCAGGTTTCATTGAAGACCATGGGGCCATACTTTCAAAATTCGCTAAGTGAACGTAAGTACTTACGCTCTATTTTCTTCTCAATGATTGGTGGATTTTGCTTGAAAGGCTGTCAATGATTGGCTGATGAACTTACGATCTCTTAACTTTTTTTGAAAGTATGGGCCCAGAGAACTTGTTTTATTGACATTTTTCTTTTTGGATTTTTCACTACGGTATATCAAATAAGATGTTTCATACATATAATCCAGATATATCACATACATATTCCAGCAGACTCACCAACAATTGCTTGGCAGTCTGCTCTGATGACACTTTGCTCGGGCAAGTCAAACACCTCATCAAACTCGGAGAAGTTACTGATTTTGGAACCCCCGCCCAAACACTGGTACCACACCTGTACACGAACAAGAAGTTATTAGGATGAAATTATGTATGTATGCTAAGGATAGATTAACTCAGAGAGTTAATCTTTACCTCATTATCTCACTTACTACAAAAGTATGGAGCATAAATATTTATTAAACAAGGGATATCACCCTGCATTTGAAATAAGAACAATATATTCAATAAAGTTCAATTTTGATTAGAAGGAGTTCAGTTGGGAGGAATTTCTTATATGAATTTTATTTTTATTGATCAATAATCCAATTACAGAATATGAAATTTCAGATGCATTAAATGATGAATTAAACTATGGTACTTATTAAAAATGCATGGCTTCAACCAAACTAATACAAACTGAAACAAAATAATGAATGTCTATGTAAAAATATATATATATATTTGATGGGAAACTAAACTGTCAATTTTTCATTCACTTGATAGAACATAAAAAATTGATATAATTAGAAATGAAGTTTGATTTCATACGATATGATCCTATAGCTGAACTTAGTTGAAATATTCACTGCTTCAATCTAGGTGAGCAGCAGCCAAGTATTTTAAGGTTTTATTATCACATACAGTACCATATCCAACATTAGATATTCGGAAGACCTAAATAATATGTTTCTAAGTAGATATAGACTGTTACTATGAGGCTTGGGTGGTTATGTTATTGCTACAGGTAGCTGGTAGGTTCAACTAACTTGGAAACTTTCCTAAATAATGTTGGAAACAGGACAAAATTTGCCAATATTTATGCAAACTAATCAGTGTTTTTATGGTGGAAGTTTGTCATAAAAATAATAATTGTATCAGATCATGAAGTGGTAAGCACCAAACCTGCTGTCTGCATTCCTCTGGCAAGGTTCTGCCTCGTGTGATGTTCAGAAGGGAGTCCACATCACAACCATCATGAAGGGCAGCCTCCAATGCCAGCAGCCTGGTCATGTATAAGAATTACAAAATATAACTCAGTACTCCCTGCAGTAAGTGACAGAGAGCGCATTTTCTCATCAACAAAAACATGAAGTCACGGATGGACAGACAGACGGATGGACGGACGGACAGACAGACATGACAAGCACAATAGTGCATTTTTTTCATAAGTGAGAAAATGTGCTAATAATGCTTACAAATTTATTGTGTTTACAGCCAATTCATGAATTTTATCATTAGAAGTTTTATAGAAATAAAATAAAATTCTGATTGCCAATTCCAAATTTCTTGGTGTACTTGGTAGAAACTATAAAAACCAATACTCTTTACATAATAAAACTTGATAGATCCATCCTTATGATAATAAGGATGGTGATGATAAGAAGTCCTCGTACACAAATGTTGAATTTTCTAAATGGTGAACACCAATTAAAACCCAAAAATAAAATTTAGAAATCGATGATGGCTTTAAAAGAAATTTCCTCAGTTTAATGACAGTGAAGATTAGAAATTTTTGGTTCAGATACTGATTTTGTCTTCTTTGCCTTGAGCTTGAATAGGGTAAACGCGGTATATTCCGTCATCGTGGGTAATTCTGTCACCTCTCTAGTTTTTCCTTTATATTAAGCTTTGTTTCAGTTCCATGTGTTCGTTGATGGTTGAAATGGTGACGTCATACATTTGCGCTTTGAACTAATGCCAAAACACTAGGTCTTGGCCATCTAGCGGGAAAATGTTGAGATCCAAAGAGAGACAATGCACGCTACCCAGTGAGATCATCGAAAAATGTGTCAAATTTGACAGTTGACCTTGCTCTACCAAATACTAATAGTGAATAACTGTTTGTATAGGAAGAAAATTATGGTTTGAGACTTATAAATAATAAATACGTCTGTGAATATATTAGGAATCCTTTAAGTATACTTGTATTCGCTGATTTCAAGTGGTAAATAAATAAATAGATGATTAAGTTGAGAAATGGATTTAGACACATGAAAACTAATTCTGTCACAACTTGAATTGGACACACACAGATTGTTCCAAGCTATGTACAAAAATTAAAATTTGCCTAATTAAAAGCTTAATAGTTGTTAATTAAAAGCGTAATTAAGTAGTGTTCAATATTCGTTAGTGTTCTAACTTCTAATTCAAAGCCGTGTTGTCCTATTCCAATACAGCTCACACAGCAAACGGAATTCAAACACATGGATGACGGCATTGCGTATCAGTAGAATTTGAAGCGCGGACGGAATACGCCTCACCACGTGCCGAATATTGCCACACACAGTGATGGAATATAGGGATTTGGTACTTGGTAGGTTTGCATTCTAAAGGCTTTTACATAAATATGGCAACATTTTGTGACGTTTCATTGTTGCCGACGCGTACTACAGTGTTTTGAGAGTCACCTAAAGCAAACAGAACTTGAGTAACGCATACGGTTATTTTTTTATAGTTTTTCATTTCTCGATGCATCCTTAATGTGACGGAATATACCGCGTTTACCCTAACATAATATTTTATTTACTAAAATAGTCCTTCAATATTTTGCAAAAACAATTACCTTCTGAAGAGTAGCCACACTCACAGATTATTATTATTTTTTTTTGCAAAAGATAGATAAGATGCAGATCCTGAGTTATTAAAAATATCAACCAATAAATTGTTCTAGAAATGACACAAAGTCCTACTTTCTTTCTGAAATATTGTGACTCTGATATAATAAAATTTCTATAAGTATGAAATCTCATGGCTCTAATGTCATGAATTTTTGTTTGATTGAAAAAATTGCGGTTTGCACTTCAAAAACATGTTGTTTCATAGAATTTTTAACTTCTGTAATCCGCTGTACTGCCAATGCTCCCACCAAAATATCCTGCAGAATGTAATGATAACGAGTCAATCCAAAACATTTTGGTGAAGATGGCATAGGAAAATTCTGCCTGATATTCTGTCCCAGAATCAATATTGGTTCATTTGGTTCTAGAATGGCTAGTTTTCTTTATAAATGGTTGCAAAGTTGCAACAGGCCATGGGCCTTTTCCTTCAGTCGTTCAGTGCTGATACTTCTATTCTATTCTATCTCAACTTCAAGTCCAACTGTGAGTCTGTGACTGTCCAATCCAACTAATGTCCATGGCCAGGCAATTTATAGACAAAATGGAAGTAGACATTACTTACCATGTATTTTCTTCATCTTCTAATGTCATGGCCCAGCTTTTTTTAGCTTCTTTAATTCTTCATACACTGGATTAGGTAGGTACTCAAGTTGCTTTGAAAGCCTTTGATCAGTTTCAACAGTTTGATACCTGTGCGTTTCCTTTGTAGTATTAGAGGTTCATATTCTAACTAATTTCCTAGTATTTTTGTAAACCATGTTAGAAAAATTCGATTATGTGCTCATATGCTAAATTCGTATTAATTAATAGGTAGGTAGTTTCTTTACTTTCTTAGTTGCTAGTTGGCAACTTTGTCTTGACAAAGTGCCACAAAGCGACTTCCAGCGAGGCAACTGGAGAATTTTCGTCCCTTCAATCCGCACCCACGAAATGAAAATTTTTTGTTCTTGCATCACGCAACGGTTGGTCTGCAAAAAAAAAATCCTTTTCGACATAGGGTAATGACTCACAATTTACTGTTTGTATTTATCGCAACTAGCGTGTGCCATGAGGGTTTAGTGGAATAAATTAATTAAGGCTGAAATAGCTACTTCTGTCGAGTTAACTTATGAAAAGCAAAACTTGATAATATACCAGTAAGTTTCGATCTAGCTAATAAACTAAATGATACAATGGGAATCCAACTTGGCCGCCACTAAAATATTTGTTCGTTGGCTGTTCACGTGTTAGTAAGTCACGTCTAAATCACTCTTTCGGTCGGCAATTTATTTGACAAGGAACACACAAGTAAATAAACGAGTTCAAAGAGGAAAGATATATTTAGGTGGAAGCAATAGACGTTCAGATGATGCTAGGCTTTAGGCAGAATTAGGAAAAATTGTACGTGAACGGTTGATGCAGATTTTAGCGTGGTGTAATAAGTCAAGTATAAAACACGCAAGTGAGAGCAAGTCTAGCCTCACCCAAGGAAACAGTGGAATTTGGAGTTAATTAATTCAATCAAGTGGTACATTCTCTCTACTTAAGAATTCCAGATCTTCTCGGAATAATTTCACATTGGGAATTTCTGATAAAAATCACTAATCAAATAATTCAACGCTGAAAATCTGTTTCTATACGAAACTCCTTACGATTTATGAACCAAAGATTGGTAGGGGCAAAAAGTTGACATAATGACAAAGTCCAGGCTTTCTTGAGGCACACAAATAATTGAAATCAAAGAGCGCTCATGAAACAGCAGACTTCAGTCACGGCGGACGCAGTATTTCCGATAGGCAGGAACGCTTGGTGCGAAATTAGGTAAAAATTTAGTCAGACTGCACCAAAACAATCTAAATCACCATATGCAAAATATTACAGGCTTTAACATAGACTATATCTACAAAATTATTTAATCAAACTATACACGAAGACGCCAAAATACGTACAATTAGGCTTTAAGTTCACGAGTCGCTATTTCAAATAATTGTGTAACTTTTTAGGTGTGGCTTAGCGTTTCTGTAAAATGCCTCGAGTCACACCTAATGATGCGCACCTAACGCTGCAGTATATCTGAAAGCATAGCATCGAAGACTACAATCTTCTTAGATTTAACGCGCGACGAACCCGTTCTAGGTACAGTATATATATATCCTTACATTCATTTTCATATTTACGCTTCATACCTCATAGCACTGAAGAAAAATATTATACAATAGACAGCGGTGACAAGACAACACGTATACCAATACTTTCGAGATTTGCATCACAGCGTTCATAAATATTTAGGAGAATGAGGCGAAATGGAGAACCACTTGCTTTGCACGCTTCGGTACGAGAATAATTCTGTCGCAACGTTACGTTGATGACAAACTTATTCGTTTCATAAGCTACTAACTTCTTTCATTTGAACCTACTACTGAAGTCCTCGAACACAAAAAGCTGGCGTGCTTAACACGAAACGGACATACACTTGGCACTGTGGAGCACTTCATGAAGTGTGAGATCGCAGGACTTGACTGCAAGCATCGAGACCAAGAAAGTTGAGATGTACAAAATAAATGAGTAATTTTCAGGTGCTTCCATAACTCGGCACGGCGTTACATTCAGCACTGAACGTTTGGAGTTTAGCATTAAAAAATGTACAAAGACGGAATACTAAAGAATCCGTGAATCCTGTTCGATATCACAAAGAAAAGTGTGGCGATTTCTGCTGAAACTCAAGTAAACAGAGTGGCTTAGTGGTGTACGTGTTCGGATGAACGCAATAAAATGAGAGCGCATAAAATCACTAAAGTGTTTGGCTGCAAAACTATGTACATGGTAAACTACGACTGTTCTTGAACACATAATAATGTATCAAAAGGGGAAAACGATGACTGTGTTGCTAAATTATGAAAATAATTAGTTGTAACTAACTGGACGATAAGTCAAGTCTATGTAATAGGCCGTACTGAAGTCTAACTTCATCAATGACGTCCAATAGATTCTTAGAGTCCATGGCCACAACATGAGCCGCCGCTTGAAGACGCCTGGGGAAAAACAAGTTTTCTTGAAAGTGTACGACAAATAATAATATACTCATTTGTGTATCAGCACTCTATACCATTTGTCACTGATTTTCATAACGAACGACGTCAAGGAAAAGTTTGTCCGCATTAATGTTAATAGAACAGCTAATGCAAGGATAAACAGTAACGTCCTAAGTCAAAGACAATTGCGACAAGCAACATAACTTGATCAAGTGATCACAAACTAGCAGAAGCAAAAAAGATTAATGTAGCACTAAAATTGAAAATAAGAATCTTTGCATCAAATAATGTAAATGTACAAGAAATAAAATACAGCGAAGAAATACTCTCCTACGCACAATATTGAAGACGAGCAGGCAACTCACTTGTTGTACTCGCAGCTAAGAACATTGTTGGAATTCTTCTCGGCAACTCTACATGCTTCGACGGCCTCCTTCATGTCCTTGCTTAGCACCTGGTGGGCCATTGCGACCTGAAATTAAGAATGACATAGCATCAATAGTTGCTTATGGCATATCACATGTGGACGGCATACAACATGCAATGCCAGACAGGAGCAAACCAGTTTGACAATGGAAGTTCAACAACGAATCGCGTCTGCAGTAGTGTCTCGAAAATATTTATCTCTTTTTTCATATCTGTAAAAATAGCAAAATGGTGAAAAACTGAAATCTTTCTGAAACAATTTCCACCTAAATAAAGTGAGCCTGTAAATAAAGCCTCAAAACTTGTAGCTTTCGTTTTTTCCCCAAAATATTACCGCAGTATATGTACGAGAAAGAACGTGCATAATTACTCGTCTCTAAAGACTTTGGACAATGGGAGGACAAAAGCCCTCAAAACCGCTTGAATTGAACTAATTTTGCTTATTGCAGGCGCTTAATTTTACCTTATTTTTTGGTTCATCCGGCAGTTGTTGCATCAAAGGTTCAGCCGCGGCAAGCAGATTCCTCAGTACAGTGCCGATGCCCATGACGTGTTGGACGTATAAATAACTTTGGTTATTGCTGACCACCTTGTTCAGTTTGGTGACCGCGAGCACCACTTCCTTCGTGAGCTCGTAGAAATGATCGTTGGTGCGGTCTAGGTTTGCGGTTGGCGTAGGCTTTGGCGGCTGAAAGATTTTATTTAGTTTTATACACCGAAGACTTTATCTTGGACATTAATTCACGAAGAATAAATCAAACTAAATTTAACTTTTCTTCTGCTCATTACAAGATACTGGTGTCAAGCACTTATGAACACAATAACAAAACACGAGTTATAATATTGAAAAATTAGAAATTGATAGGACAGAAATAGCGGGTAATCATCACCTTGATAACAAGGTTTGGAGATTTAGGAGCAGTCTCGTCAGCAGACGCAGCGAGGTGCGACTGGCGCTCGGAGCTCGCGTCGCGAAGGTCAGCGGCGATCGCCTTGCCGTGGCCGTGTATACGCTGCAGAAACAAGCGTCCATGTACATGAACACAAATATAAGAACGGAGGTATTGAGATCAATAATAATTAGGATCATGAAGTCATTAGTTTACTAATCATTCGTCGAAAAAATGTCAAGAATGTCGTATGCTTTATTTACGGATATATACCTATTGCGTGCACAACAAAATACCGAGTTGGACATCTCTTTACCTGCGAACTCTCCGCCTGCGCAAGCCACTTATTATCTTCACGCATTTGTCGTTGCTGCTCCTTGAGGCGCGTCTCTGTGAGTCGTCGCTCCAGCTCCGCGACGTCGGTCGTGCTTGGCTCGTGCACCTCGTACCCGACACCCGACGCTGCCCAGTCGTTGTAACCGGCGTGGTGGAAGCCAGCACCAGGCGCTGGCATGGGCGGGTTACTCCCAGCACGCTGCACAAACATAACACTCATTGAGGATTCATGCCATAATAATTACGGAATAATATTGTAATATACTTCGATTTGGAAGAAGATATATTATAGTCCCTAATTATTTAATGTTGGTCTCCCAAATACACAAGTTTTCTGATACTTTAAGTTGGTGGGGAAAAAGGTAAGAAGAGATAGACTAACAAGAGACACGAAAGAAGAGATGGATAGAAGCAGAAATAAAATTCTTCCAAGCAAAAGTTGTATAGTCAAGAGGATAATCAATCAAAACCTTGGCTTACTTGCGTGTCCGGCTGCATGTAATGCAAAGCTCACAACGCATACACAACATTCTACAAGACCGACCATGAGTTGTACTCTACCACACACGAACGAAATGCATCCAGTATTTATTTTTTTCTTTCAATCTCAAATCAGCCAAGAATTTAGAAGCAAAGAAAACGCCAAGAGGTATCAGCTTGAAATGGCCAATTGACAAGTTTTTGCGTTATTCGCACGTAGATCTGCCTACTTAGATTTCTATCTCTTCCGAGTAAATATTGATCCTTTTGTTTATTACACTTGTATTCTTCAAAATTTTATACTGAGAATGGAGATGGTCACCGTAAAGTTTTCAATTGAATTAAGTTTAATTTATTAGGCATTTTCTGTAATTTGAAATTCATGGTGAATGGATTGTTGATGCCTTATCTCCGCAGCTCGTGTGAACACGAAAAGAGACGTTAAAACGCAACCAAACGTTCAGTTCAAATTTTTGTAGAAAATGCTGATCAAATTATAAAATAAGTACGACATCAATCACAATTATGAATAAACAAAAGTAAGAAAACAAATAAATCCTAATGAAATGTCATGCAAAATTAAACGTTTCGAATGTGTTCAACCCTATTTCAAGAGAAAGCGAAATATGGTATCTTTTTCGAAACTAAATTTAATTTAAAATCTTATCTAAAAAATATTACAACATCATAAAGTATAACGAAAAAATTATTCAAATAAGTCAATGCACTGCAGAAGCAATACTTACAACTAAGCTATTCTACACATTTGTAGATGCAGAAACTACAAGGAACGTGAATCTTAATGCTCATCACAGGTGAAATATGCACAAATTCTGGAAGAGCGTGCACAAGAACACCAAGCGAGCGGGTGCCTCTTTAACATGGCGATCCAATCATGCGATAATTAAAAGTATAACGATGAATTGCAGACCATCGGACTCGAAGTGCCGACTATGGCTAAGAAATGAAGAGAAATGCATTCCTGGAGCAGCGACGGTGCAGTGGACAGGCTTGAGCACGATCGGGTGGGTGGGTGGGTTGGTGCAACAAGGTAGGAGCGGTGCAGCTAATGAAGGAGTAGGAAGAGGCAATAGCGGCGGTGCTACACAAAACGAGACGAGGCACACCTTGTGGAGGGTGGAAGAGGGTGAGTAGTACGGTGAGCCACCACCAGAACGCTCTGTCGAAGCTCCGGTGCTGGAGGAGGAGCGTTCTAGCGCCGCACCCACGCGGTTCACTCCGCGTTCCAGCGTTCCACTAGCGCTGCCGCTGCGAGTGCGTTCACGTTCCAAGGTACCACCCGGACTCTTGTTGTTCATTCGTTCAAGAGCACCGCCGATGCTTCGTCCTCTCTCTAATGTGCTACCAGGACTACGGCCGCGTTCTAGAGTACCGCCAGGACTACGGCCTCGTTCTAGAGTACTACCAGGACTACGGCCTCGCTCTAGAGTACTACCAGGACTACGGCCTCGCTCTAGAGTACTACCAGGACTACGGCCTCGTTCTAGAGTACCACCAGGACTACGGCCTCGTTCTTGAGTGCCTCCAAGACTGCCCCCGCGCTCTAAAGTACCACCAGCGCTTCGTCCTCTTTCTAAAGTGCCTCCACCACCACTCCCTTTACTGTGTTCCCTATCGAGGGTTCCTCCCAAGCTACGAAGACCTCGTCTCAGGCTGCCACTCTTGGGCGACGCCGCTCCTGCTTCCATGCCTGTTTGGCCTGATGGGTAGTGGAAAATTCCAGAAGGCTGATGTGCAGAAGCTGGGAACACGTTGCACGACTGGAACATAGAGTGCGCGGGCTGTGACACTGGGTGAGCAGGGGGCAAAGATGCTGGATTCTGCATGAAAGCACGATGCTGATCCATGACGTTTGGCTGCAGTTGTCGAGATCGCGCTAGAGACATCATTTGAGATTTATTCTGTGCATAAGGAGGATTAGGACCACCCGGTAAACCAAGAACGCCATCGTAAATGGGCTGCCCAACTTCAGGATAACGGCCATCATTCTCGAACGGATCTTGAGGATATCCTGGCAACGAGTGTGGCGAATATCCAGAGGAGTTAAATGCGTGAGATATGCTTGAGTGAGGAAGCGTTGAAGGGACGAGATTAATTTGTTGTTGCTGCTTCTGGTATTGATGGTAGTGGGGCAAACTGCCGTAAGTTGTGCCACTGCTCGAGTGACTATCAGGAGCGAGAGCAGATGCAGTTAGGTCGGTGCTGTTAGTCATGGCAGTTACGTTAGTCGCACTTTGGTCCAAACAGTAGCGGTTAGTTAAGTTAGATATGGGTGCGCCAGGCGCCGGGCTATTGAGATGAAAGTTTTTGGAGGAAGCAGCAGACGCAAGAGTGGATTGAGTTAAACCTCCAACACCCACCACTCCGCCGTAGCCGACCATGCCTCGCCCACTCGACCCCAAACACCCGTAGTCCGCCCCACTGGAGGAGAGGCGTCGTTGCGCGACAGCAGCGTCAGCTCTCTCGGGCGTTTGGGTTTGGCCGTAGTCGCGACAGCCATAAGTTTCGCGATGCGATGTTTCGCATACAGCAGCAGCAGCAGGAGCGCCGTCGGAAGGAGAGGGTGAGGGCGATGACACACTCGGTGCCACAAACCCTGAGTAGCCGTAACCTGACGCGAGGCTTGCGAGTGTCATGTTGCGCACGGATCCACTGAGGCTCTTGGTGCTGCCGCTGTCACACGACGAGGCAACACTCGGCAGCGGCACAGGCTGTTCATCGCTGTTACTTTCGAACGCAACCTTCATGGTATTGATAGCTGCTGCGGGCGTGGAGTAGGATCCGGGGGCATTGACTTTCTTATTTTCTTTCATGAGTCGGCTGAGAACTTCGGGAGTTTCGGCCACAATGTAAGTAATTGGAGCTTCGTCCTGAGCATCGCCTTCATCCTCCAGGAAGTCGTCACTCCCTCCGTCCGAGTCACCTCCTCCAAGAGACCGTTTCTTGCGTAGGCCTGGCTTCAGCACCCCCGGCCTAATGACGGGCTTGGCAGCTCCTGATTGACCCACCTGACTCAGTGAGTAGACGGCGCTCAGGTTGGGGTGACCCATTATGGCGTTGCTCTCCATGTATGGCAGCGGTGTTCTTGCAGGCTTCGGAGGAGGTTCGTCTGCACCTCCTGAAGCATGGTTAAAGTCAAAGTCATGGTTGAACCAGTTGAATTGAATAATATTCATGCGGAACAAAGAGAAAAGCTACTAATTGAGTTAAGCCAGCGCAGGATATATAAAATAAATTTTAAAAAAATCAATTTATCCATCAACAAGAGTTTGGCTAGTCCAAAAATTTTAAGGAAAACCCCGAGTTTTAAAACATGATTCGCACTGAGTGCAGCTTTACAAGATACCAACCCCAGCTGCTAACGGTGAGTCTCCGGCTCTCTCTCTTGATCATTTCCTCCGCGTGGCCTTCTTCCTCGTCCAGGATTTTTCTGCCAGGCAACATATCATAAGATTGACTGAACATTCAAGCAGAAATATTTGAGGTTAAAATCCTTATACAAAAGAAATTCTTCCAAACAGCGTATCTCTCAGGCAATTCAGATAATAAGTTCAGGCGTGCCATTCGCACATATAATATACAGGTAAACAGCTGACTGAGCAAGACTGTAAAACCGCATTGCCTAATAAACGCAGACGTAATGCAGACTGTAAGTAACGCAGACTGTATGACCGCATTGCCCAATAAAAAGTGTGGTAACAAAAGCATTGATAGGGCACAGGATGCCGAGAACTTCAATTATTTATGTCAACGAGAGGCATAAAGAACGAACATGAGATCATGCTTGACTTGACGGAAGCTGGGTCGCTCGTTGGGCTCGAAGGTCCAGCACTTGCTCATGAGGGTGTAGAGCAGCGACGGGCAGTCAGGGGGCATGTGCAAACGCTCGCCGTTCTTGAGGCGCTCGCTGATCTCATTGTTGTTGATGCCTTGAAAAGGCTTCACTCCCCGCATCATGATCTCCCACATGCAAACGCCTGCGAAAATCATATAGTTACAACATGCACGATATTTTCTAGGCGGGCCGTGAATTACCATTAAATAGAATAATAAATCCTTAATCACAAATAACATCCACACACCGCTGTATGAGGCCCACCACACATCCACACACCGCTGTATGGCACTCACCAAACATCCACACACCGCTGTATGGACCCACCAAACATCCACACATCGCTCTATGGCACACACGACACACCAAACATCCAGACATCGCTGTATGGACCTACCAAACATCCACACATCGCTGTATGGACCCACCAAACATCCACACATCGCTGTAAGGCACCCACCAAACATCCACACATCGCTGTATGGCACCCACCAAACATCCACACATCGCTGTATGGCACCACCACACATCCACACATCGCTGTATGGCACCCACCAAACATCCACATACCGCTGTATGGCACCCACCAAACATCCACACATCGCTGTATTGACCCACCAAACATCCACACACCGCTGTATGGCACCACCAAACATCCACACATCGCTGTATGGTACGTAACAAAGATCCACACACGGCTGTATGGCACCACCACACATCCACACACGCGGCTGTATGGTACGTACCAAACATCCAGACATCGCTGGCATGAGAGAAGCGTCGGTACTCTAGGCTCTCAGGAGCCATCCACTTGATGGGTAGTTTGCCTTTGCCCGCCTTGTAGTAATTGCCTTCATCCACACCGCGAGACAAGCCAAAGTCTGCGAGCTTTACGGTCTCTTCGTTGTACACGAGCACGTTGCGGGCTGCGATGTCCCTGCGGTCACAGCACGTTCATTGGTTACAAGCCCTGCTAATCTCAATACATTATCAAGTTAAAAGAATAAGCCAATACTAGTCCACGAGTAATCGATAATAATATCAATCTTTATAATTAAAACCCGTCTAGAGTTTGCTGCAGATCTCAACCACTAAGAGGAAGCTAAGCAAGGATAAAAAAAAGACTAGGCTACAGAAACAAACTCATTTCAACGACATACATAACATAAGATCTTTCTAAATTCAGTACGAACTCAGCAGGAACAATAATTCATGAAAAAATTTGTAATGATTCATTCTAGAAAGAGCCATGAGGATGAACACAAGGAAATCTTAGAGTATCACGCACCTGTGGATGACGTTTTTGCTCTCTAGGTAAGAGAGCGCCGAGGACAGCTGGAAGCAATACTTGACGAGCGTGCTGGTGAGCAGTAGTTGGCTGTTGCGCTGCAAGTAGCCTCGCAACTCACCAAACTTGGCCAGCTCCATCACAATCCAGAATGGGTTAGAGGAGCAGACGCCGATGATCTTAATGATGTGAGGATGATCGATGTCCTGCATGATCTTGGCTTCAGAGAGCAACTTGACAGTGACATCGCCATCTGACGCGTCAGTCTTGCACGTCTTGACCGCGACCTCGACCACGTCTCCAGTAGGCGAGCGGTACTCTCCCTTCTGCACGTCACCGAACTGACCTTCTCCCAAAACTTCGTTGAGCGTCAGCCTGCTTCTGTCCAGCTCGTAGTCTCTGTCTGCTCGGGGTGAGAACTTGTCAGGCCAGGGGTCACAATTAAAGATAAATTTGTCAGGAAAGGAGTTACAATTAAAGATAGTTTAATTCATACTTGCAGAAACTGAGTAAGAATTCTTCCCATAGCACAGGACGTCGAGGAGAGAAGCTCAAAATAACAACAGAGAACTAAAGCGCAATTATTTACCTTATAAAACATCTTCACAAATTTAATGTAAAGATAAAAATATACGAACCACGCCCTCAGGTGATCACCAACCACATGTCATATCATTATATTCAATTAATCTCGTAGAGATAGAAGTACATGCCCATTAAAAATATGGATAACCAACGTGTTAACAATACAAGCTTAGAATTAATACCAAAACACTTAGCATTATTCATAAACCAGGACAGCTCAATGGCACTTAATATGCAGGTAAAGTTGACGTACTGGCAGGCTGGCTGTAGTCGCCCTCCTCCTCTTGTATCTCGGCGTAGTCGTCGCCACCCGTCCGACCTCCTCGACTCTGGCCGCTCGTACCGTCTGTACAACAACCCGTGCCATTAATGCCATCGACTTACACGTTACACTTCAATAAACTTGTGGCGCAGCTCGCACCACATACATATCCATGGCAAGCCATCTCAGAGATTAAGGAGATTTGAATTTAATATTTAATTAACTGTAATAAAGTGAATACCTGAGAAGAATGGGGGAAGAATGATGGAAAGGAAAAAAAGGTTAAATTGCGAAATCTAATAGAATTTTGAGACAATAAGAAAACTATCCAATAACAGCTGGAAACGCCCAATCTGAATCAAATCTTTGATTTATAGAGGTACATGCCCATCAATGAATGTTTACTGGTTTACAATGAGTGTAAAAACCAGTAGGTGAAGAGATCTGAGCGAGGCAAAAAGTAAAGGAAAAAACCAAAAGGAGCAAACCAAAGGCTGGACAAACCAATGCTCGAAAAAGCAATTGTTGAGCAAACCAGCAGCAGGAAACTAAATGAAGGAAATGTCGTGAGTTAACCAAGGGCGAGTTAACCAAGGGGGCAGGTTAACCAAAGTGGAACCATACAACGTCATTTGGTATTTCAGAGCGAATGTAGCAACAGCAGTCGCTGCCACTTGCTGCAGCTACAGGCAGGGAGTAGCTTGTTCATCTGCTGAGCACAGGCAGAAACATGATATGGTCATTGTCCAAGTAATGATGAACCATTTGGCCTTGCGTGGGTCATTGCGACTTAGTCTAGTCCGGCATACGAGAGTATCAGTGCTACGCTTGCTCTCTGCTCGTAGGAAAGTCAGTCACTATTTGGACAAGACACGTACATATTAATGAGTGTGCAAACATTGAGGAAAACGATCATACAGTAGACATTGTGAAGAATTCAAACAGTAGACATTGTAGAGACGATCATACAGTAGACATTGTAGTAGACGATCATACAGTAGACACTGTAAAGACGATCATACAGTAGACATTGTAGAGACGATCATACAGTAGACACTGTAAAGACGATCATACAGTAGACATTGTACAGACGATCATACAGTAGACATTGTAAAGACGATCATACAGTAGATATTGTAAAGACGATCATACAGTAGATATTGTAAAGACGATCATACAGTAGACATTGTAGAGACGATCATACAGTAGACATTGTACAGACGATCATACAGTAGACACTGTAAAGACGAGCATACAGTAGACACTGTAAAGACGATCATACAGTAGACATTGTAAAGACGATCATACAGTAGACATTGTAAAGACGATCATACAGTAGACATTGTAAAGACGATCATACAGTAGACATTGTACAGACAGTACAGTATACAGTAGACATTCGTGTGAATAGATGAATAAATAAGACGAAGGATACGGGTGCAGGTCAGGCTGGCAAAAATAGGAGCAACATTTACCTGTTTTAGAGCGCGGTAAATAGGCACACGGCAAGTGTTTCCATACGCCTCCTGTTCCACGGCAGCATAAGGCAAATATTGCACAACATCATTCAAGTCTTAACTACGACAAAAAAGAACATTTTACGTAGCCACATAATTACCGAGAAATAAATGTGTTATGCTATCAGCCGAGACGGGTTTAGTTTACCAGAGCTTTAAAATTTTCTTACCCGAAACATACTCTTAATTTTCAGCAAATTTCAAAGGCATAAATTCTTAGATAACAAATAAGTAGTAGGAATGTCAGTGGTAACATTCAAGATAGAGACATATATTTTAATGCATTCGCATACACGTTTATGCTCGCGAGCTCGTACCTATAAAACAAATAAGGAACATGAATGTCAGTGATAACATTGAAAATAAAGAAATATTTTAATGCGGTGAACGCATACACATATGCGCGGACGATGTGAGCTCGCACCTTTGGTGTTCCACAAGGAAGCGTCCGTTTTGTTGATCATCATGCAGTAGCAGTCGATGAGCGTAGCGATGTTCTCTGCCACGATCAGGTCACTGCATACTATTTTCAGCGGCTCATTCTTCCCGGAAACCTAAAAAAGAACCATCACAAAATTAAAAGAGTAAGCTACTCAAAAATTCACCTGCGTAAAACAACAGACAACTGATTTGTTTTGAAATTCTCTCTGTAATTGTTATTTGGCGGACGGTACCATGGAGTTTTAAAGTGGAGCGCACTCCATCCCGAACTACGAATGTCGACATGACTTGCAAATCAAAGAACGAAAAAAAAAACAGTTTACTCGTTGTCAAAAGGTCGAATGAAATTACCGCTTAATCAACACACAAGTGAACACTTTGAATGAAGAACAGCAACTTGATAGAACTTATTTCAAGGCTGGTCACCTACTAGGTATACAAATATTTAACTCAATTATATTTTTAACAGAGTTTATATCCAGAATTATTGATAGTTAGTATAATATGGCAGAATTTTCTTCTGTATATGCCAACAAATAATGACTAGATAATTCATTATAATTTTCAAGGAGTCGAACAATTCTTTAGATGACGTTGTTAGATCAAAATAAATATATTATTGATAGATAAACTACTCAGACTTTGGGGTAATATTAATGACAGATAAACTATTCACGAGTTGTGGGGGAGTACCTATATTAGAGATAAGCACATATGTGTTGATAATAGAGTATAATAAACTTCGTATGTACACTTGCTTTACCTTAACTTGTACTTCAACGCGGCCGTGGTCAGGGCGTGTCTCGATATGCTGCACGTGTTCGAACACGCCTACCAGGGTTTTCTGGGAACAAAATCATCTTGCTATGAATAGTCTGTCGCCGGCAGCTAACTGCGATATATCAAAATCATCTTGCTATGAATAGTCTGTTGCCGTCAGGTGACTGCGACATATCAAAAATTAAAAGTTCCTTCGGAACTTTTTGCAGAGCTGCTATACTAGGCATGCTACAGCATCAGTATTCCACACAATCTAGTCAACAAAATCGTGACCGCTCAAGAACAACAAAAAATATATATAATCAGTATATAGAGGCATGAAAGAGTTATTATTATATATCATAAAATTGAATTAAAAATCATAATAGAGAGAGAGCTCACTCTGGGATCAGCGCTTGTTGATACGCAGATGCCTTGAGCCGGAGAGGCAGGACCGATGATCACGTCAACTTCAACAGAAATGATCGTCTGATGAAGTAGAACAGGCGCTCAGAATAGAGGAAAAGTGTGGTGTAGGCGTCCAATTGTTGAACAAAAATAAGATTGCGCTAGATCATTCGTAACGCTACGACGAAGCATCCAATCAAACGGACAAGATATGACACTCAGTCACATCCACCCATTGATCCCATGCTCAAAATAAGAACTATATTCAAACGAGGACATATTCACTGACTAATGGTGCCGGTTTTAGAATATTCGTTAAACAATTCTAGGGACAATGAACAACATATATATAATGTAAGCCTCTAAAAACAAATCGTGCCAAAAAACACCAATTAAAATGTTCATAGATATTACTAGGCCCTCTAACTTGCTCTAAAGACATTCAGGACCTATCACAACGACAAGGAATAAAAAAAGTGAACATCAAATATCTCCTTCATGTCAAAATACATTTATCACCTTATGCAATTTCGTCGTAATTCTCGGGCGCTCTTTTAGCAATTTTTTGTAATCATAGTCAGAGGAATAGACTTTACCCAGGTTTTTTGTAACTATTTATTGTTAGCCTTAGTTAAACTTTATGTTTAACATTAATTTCAACTTTGGTGTTAATTTAACATGTTAATTCAACATTTTTTTTAATTTTGCATAATTTAGCTTCCCAGTTAAAAACAACTAGCAATACAAGACTGGCAATTTTTGAGCATTGACAATATTAGAAGCAGCAAAGTTTGATATAAATTTCAAAGTGTAAAGTAATTTTTTTTAAATGTTAATGTAGGAGGAAGAAACTGAAAACTGTTTTTTAGAGGCCGGCACTATGCATTCAGGGATGGTGATTTTCAAAGTTGCCAAAGACTTATAGGCCTATGAACAAATCTTTCTTAAAAAATCTCGTTTGTCCTTATAATAGACTTAAATTATTAAATGGATTAGCCGAATACTCGGTATGTATTCGGATAATATACAAGAGCATAGAAGTGGACCGAGAGTTGCCATAGACTAGCGACTAGTCACACGCACCGCGAGCTCGCACTTGTAGGTCTCCTGGTTGAAGGTACGCCACTTCTTCAGCAGCACCTCCAGAAACTCGATGCAACACTCAGACTCGCTGAGCGTCTCCACCTTCTTGAAGTGAGCCAGCAGCCCTTTGCGTATTGCTTTGACTTTAGTCACCTTCAGGAAGTGTGCAGGAAAATATTTCTCCAAGGCGTGGCTCTTCTCCAGCTGCTCCAGGTAGCTTTTCTTCTCGAAATAACACGCCTGAATTGACTGCTCAAAACAACGCATGGTAAAATAGACATCAACATAAAATAATGTGCACTGACTGAATTTGCATCTATTTCAGTATATCAGCAAGTTCATAACAGAGCCTTTGGACACCGTAGTTCAAATTTCCTAGTGAATTTTTTGGAGAAATTAACAAGCATCAGTAAATTTTTAAGCTGAAATTTCGCGGGAGATAGAATTCTCCCTCAACATCCCGAAAATATAACTGAAATTTGAAATATGAATTTATAACCTTGCACAACGTGGTGAGAAACAACCTCATTATATTAACTTTTATAGAAATATTTTGCTAAGAAACTACACTAAAAATAATAGTCTTAGTGACATGAAGTGGTACAATACAAGGACACATGTTGGAGGCCTGGGCTCAACCTCCACACATTAGCCCGAGCAATCTTACTCTGTCGTTGCGCTTGATCAGGAGAGAGCCGAGGTAGATGACTGTGTCAGCGTCCAGGCTTGATTCTTCCTCCCCGAGATACTCGTTTAGGATCTGCAACAACAAAGTACAATGAGAACCAAGCGACTTGAGCTCTGCATAGATACTGTGTAGCCTTAATTTATCAATTAGTAATTAAAGTAGGTACTAATTGCAGGGCTGGATTTGAAATGACGACGATTTGAAATGAGTTTTCGACTACAATTGATGATCATGAGAACCAATTTCTCATCAATTTAATCTGACAAAATTGGTGTCGGTAAGAAAGCACAGCAGTTATTTTTATCAGCATTATTACCACTGTTACTGTTTTCTCGACTGCTATCGTCCTATTATCTAAAAAATTCCATTTGAAGTAATCGAATTTTTTCGATAACAAGGTTTCCCATTGGGCTCACAAAGATTCGTACGTGATGAGACAGAAGGCACAAACCTGCTGATAGAGATAACCGAACGTGAAGTCAAGGGAAGCTAAGGGACTAACCTGCTCATAGAGATAACCGAACGTGAAGTCAAGGGACTAACTCAGTTAGCTGGTTAACGGTACCTTACTAGACTCATGGTGAGGAAACAGACCAGTTAGCTGGTTAACGGTACCATACTAGACTCATGGCGAGGAAACAGACCAGTTAGCTGGTTGACGGTACCTGGCTCATGGTGAGGTGGGGATGAAGCCACTGCGACTGCTTCGTCTCGTGGTTGTAGAGGCGCATGGCAAACATCTTTTCGCATGGCCTAGGGTCTGACATCGGCGCCATGCCGCTCTCGCGCTCCACGATTTTGCGAATAAGTTTCTGTCGAGGCACATAGGGACCATAAGAAAGCCTAATTTGATTATTTTGTAAAGCGATTGCCAGAACAGGCCAGCGATTGCCAGATTGCTAAGCGATTGCCAATACAGCTTCAAAGCTACACACTTCCACAAATACTCAGACTTATAAATGATCATGAAGTGTGTAACCCGATTACTACACTTTATGGTGATACTGTCAGTTATTGTGAATTAATACCTTTAAAATATTTATTCTATCGAGTCAATACTGGAGAATACTGAACAAAAAATATCACAACAACTTTATCAACCGTGCACAAATTTTATAATCATAATTCATACCAATTTCCGGTCAATAGTTACACGGCGCTGTATAAAGCCTCACAAACACAACATGTGTAAATTTAGCTGACATCAAGATTACAGAGTTTTACTGCTCTACTACTATGAAACCTGACCGTAAGTAAGTACACGTCTATTAGAGTCTAAAATACCAGAGTTATCCATCATGCGTACAACTAATAACAAGATCAAAAAAGGATCACTTTCTCCTGTATTAGCGTTAGGCCTTGTTTTGGTAGCTCAATTGAGCCATTTGCCCAAAATATACAAAAATTTATTTTAGGGTAGACTAGATTAATACGTAAAAGCATGCGGAATGACGATTCAATTTATTAAGAAATCAGCTAATATAATTGGCGAATGGTCTGCGACAATGAAAATGGAAATAATTAACAACATCCAATCAAAACCCACAAAAGCACAACAAATCTTATCAGAGGAAAAAAAATAAATCAACTGAGGTGAATGAAGAATTTTTTTAAAATATGTATATTTTGAGATGAATAGCACAAGTAAAAATACTTCAACAATGAGATGGCTGAGGCCTTACGTCCGAGATAGTCTATTTGGCCTTGAAGGTATACAAAATCGTTGATTTCTAAACGACCGGAAAATTACCTTGCCCGATAATTAAGAAAAATTTTAGTCAAATTCGAATATTGTTGCAGGTTTAGGGTGGTAGCGCTGCCTTTAGTTCAATTTCTCACAGTTATTCGGCTTTATACTTGACTTTTTTGTATCAATGATAATGAGATGTGTGACGTAAACTTGATCACTGACAATCTGCATAGCAGCATTGAAAATTTGAAAGTATTTGGCGCAGATAATTGATTCATGGATAGAGGCTCTTTGTTGCCAAAAAGGAATTACGGTGATACATTGCATGATCTTGAGTAGCATGCAAAGCGAAAACTAATTCAGGCGAGGACAGTAAAATCTGTGTAAGCAGGGAAATATTAGAGATAATCAACAGAGCGGAGACCATCACTTGGAGAGCTACAAGCTAAATGTTAACATCGGGGTAGCGCACTAACGGTGTCTAGTACAAGAGTGACAGGGGGAATGTTGTCATCAGGTTGTACGGGGGAGAGCACAAACAGTGATGAGTACAGGAGTGACAGAGGGAATGTTATCATCAGGTTGTACGGGGGAGAGCACAGTGATGAGTACAGGAGTGACAGGGGGAATGTTATCATCGGGTTGTACGGGGGAGAGCACAAACAATGACGAGTACAGGAGTGACAGGGGGAATGTTATCATCAGGAGGGACAAAACTTGAATGTAATAGTCAAATGATAGATACTTCCTGGGGATTATTGCCCGTTTTGAGCTGGTTTAAAACATTGAGTTCGGCTCCTTTGCTGTTATCGTACAAATTATGCTTAAAGGTTGCCAAAACATTCATGAAGCAGTCCATCAATAATGATAATTGTCTGATTCATGTCTGTAAGAGCTAAAGTGGAGGCAGGTTAAGGACATTAATCAGAAATAAACTTATTTCTTGTCTGTAAGAGGGGAAGGCGAGGCAGGGTTGGGGACATTAATCAGAAAAAAACTTATTTCATCTCTATAAGAGGTAGAGGTGAGGCAGGATTGGGGACATTAATCAGAAATAAACTTATTTCATCTCTATAAGAGGTAGAGGTGAGGCAAGATTGGGGACATTAATCAGAAATAAACTTATTTCATCTCTATAAGAGGTAGAGGTGAGGCAAGATTGGGGACATTAATCAGAGATAAACTTATTTCATCTCTATAAGAGGTAGAGGCGAGGCAGGATTGGGGACATTAATCAGAGATAAACTTATTTCATCTCTATAAGAGGTAGAGGTGAGGCAGGATTGGGGACATTAATCAGAAGTTAATACTACTGGGTTGGCCACACAACACGGACATGTAGGTTACCTGCACGCTATCTTGCTCCTGCACCAGGCCACCACCGCGTTCAAGGGGAGGGACAGACAACCATGTACAACTTAGCATTTCGTTTTCAATAAAAAATTATTAACACTCCATTACAATAAACTCGTAATAAAATAAACATGCAGGCTCTTATTTTCAGTTTATTCGAAGTCAAATGTTTGAGTTACAGCAGTGGAAAAATTTTACTTGCGGCTCAAATCACACCAACCGGCAGTCAACGTAGTTGTAAGTAATTCACTCATGGCATTTCAATAACTCCAGACAATCTTATCGCTCTGTACAATTAGATTTTTATATGAAAATCTCGCAGTGATTTTCGCACACGACGTTGCGGTAACAAGTATCCATGTATTTGAAGAGAACGCGAAGCAGTGCAGGCAATGTAGCTAGCTACTCCTCGACGAGGCATGACATCAGCCCTCTATACTACTCGACATAATCGAGTAACAGAAGCAATATTGTCACACAAGCCAACCCAAAAAGGATACGTGGCTAGTGAGCCCAAAATGACTTGTACTGATGGTTGCCGCCACGTACGACAACTTGAAAATGTTCTCTGTTGCGTACAAACGTCCTCAGGTAGCTACACTCAATGGTTTACGTATAAAGTAGTTTACGTATAAGTTGAGTTGAAAGTTATGTTCCCGGAGAGTGACATACGGTGGTATAGGATTAATTTCGTGCCGTGAAAAGAAATGTCCGCCCGAACAATGTCATGGAAGTGTTCACACTGGATTGAAGTACGACTGACCACGCCATTTTAACTGTTTCATTTGTCACTTAGTAGTTTAGTAGACGTAAAACTTGAAGCAGAATGACGCTTTAACAATAATTAAATTGCATATGCATGCAAATTTCAGCAAACGCCGGGCAATGCGAGATCAATAATAAGGATAGAAAGTGTAGTATCTCCTGTCATCGAACTCTGCAGTATAGCGTATATATAAAAAAGTCTCTCGACATGAAATGCCTTCAGCGTTCGTTTTTATGCCTCTGTTGTAACAACATTGGTCCTAAATATCAAAATGAAACACTACAGAGACAACATCGCAGTAATGAATGTAGTTAGTGCAGGTCATACAGTCCAAAATGACTTTCAAAATGAATGCACACTTCCTTATTTTCCGAGATAGAGAAACCACTCGAGGTTTGCTTTGTGGGTCAAGAAATAAAGAATATTCAAAAAATGAACATGAAAGGAACTATGAGCATTAGAGTCTGAAGGCTAGGCTAATACCCCACAAAGCCTTGGCAGTTGGAGCACACGCATCGCTGAGCAAGATGCAGCTCAGTTTGGGCCTATACTTTAAAAAAAAGTTAAGAGATCGTACGTTCATCAGCCAATCATTGACGGACTTTCAAGCAAAATCCACCAATCATAGACAAGAAAATAGAGCGTAAGTACTTACGTTCACTTAGCCAGTTTTGAAAGTATAGCCCCAGAACTGGACTATTATAGTTGTGAGCCGTCGTAGTGGTCATGGCAAAGCTCATATAGCCGAGTGCCAGCGCAGGCTCAGCTTTGTTCCGGTACAATAATTCAGAGGTGTATTTTATGACCAACAGCTATTGCAATAATTAAATTCTGGCTGTCCTTACGATGGCACTGGCAAGGTGACTATTATCATAGTGTTATAACGTTACCGAGCAATGCCCAACCTATAATGGCGAGAATTATATATAAGTGAATGGAAATCTCAACTCGGGTGTTGAACATAAGAGAAATGCTCCGAAACAGGCTATCAGCTACTGATAATTACGGTGCTTAGTCATGCTATATGCACGCCAGTCAAGCTGTCCTTCGTTATTGAGCGATAAAGGGACAAGTAATGTTCACAAATCTGCTGAACAGATAGACTTGTTGTTACGAGCAAAGCTATCAGTACGAAATGGAAATGATTCCTCATATTTTCGACACCGAAAATTGTACTTATTGTATGATACTATAAACCCTTCAAGATTACCGAGCCAAAAAGGAGAGAGCAAAAATATTATATTGAAAAAATGGTACGCTTATGGTATTTTCGTATGCCGTCACAGAACTGAGTGAGAAATGAGCTAGCAAATGATATCGAATAAGATTTATTTACAATGAAGCTGTAATTGCTCCATCTTAAGAATCGTCTCATAATTCCAGTTGATAACAGGAAGATAGGAGGATAAGCGGAGGCGTCTGAGTATATTGATGTCCATTAGAAAATCAATTCAAGTACGTCGGAAAAAATTATATAATTTTGAAATAGAGAATAACTTTAAATGAGTAACTTAGTAAGACTCGAAAACTGTTACCGTACATGGAGAAGAGCAAAAGTGTCCGAATGAAAATTTAAATAGATCACAAAGCATTTCAGTGACTGGAAATAAAGATTAATTTCGAATGTCACCGTTGATTTTTCATTAAAACTTGATTAATAAGATGAACGTAATAATTTTGAATTAGGCTTTAGACATTTTTCGCATGCAAAATTCCCTCTGAAATTTCGGGTAAAGAAGAGATATATTGCGTCGTGAAAAAGGGAGAATAGAACATGATAGAATTCCACGAAATCGCCCATTATCCATAAAAATATTTGACAATACTTGACCCAGTAGTCGTTTTGACTGCATTTTTTAGTTTTGTGTTTACATTGACTTCAATAAAGCCAATGTAAAAAACGTATATGTCTGACCTTAACATCAGTGCCGTCGGCATATTTCATGTGCCTGAAGGAGTGGAGGTTGAGATGTATCTTGAAGGCGTTGCTGGGGTCGTGATGAGCGTCAACATCTCTGTTTTCTACGCCCCCGCCAGGATCAGACGCGAGGTGGTGCGTGGTGGCACCGTTGCTGGAGACCGGGGGACCCATCGAGGCGGACGATGTGGATGAAGAACAGGTAGAGGTGGCCGTGGAAAAGCCTTTGTGGTGATGAGAAGAATGTGAGGAGGAGGTTGTGGAACGAGGGGAGGGAGATAGAGAAGTCTTTGGAAGACAGGAATTTGTTGAAGGAAGCTGATGGCTTACAGAAGAGGGGAGCAGACTCAGCCCACAGCCCAAATTGTCGCCATTACCGCCGTTCCTGCAAGAAATATAGAAAATTCTTGAATAGATAATTCAATTTCTTCATCAAGTTTTTAGAAATGATCCGTTTGAACATAAATGTTAAAAATAGGCTATCTGACTTGCTCATTGAACAGAGTAAAAATTCAAGTACCGACTCGCAACGCGGCGACACGATTGAAGTACAAAGTGGAGCCCACATGAGAAGTGTTAAAAAATAAACGCCAAAATAATTGTTATAAATTCCGAAAGTAAAACATTTGAATAAAAAAAAAACAGGTTATCCGTTTGTCAGAATCAAGGGGAACTCTGATCTTAAAAGCCCAACGATTTAGTAGGTTGACTGATCACAAACCCAAAAAATCGAAGTTTTGCGGAGACATATAATTTACACACAGACCTTCGCCCAAGACAGCTGCGGCCTGTCACACAGATTAGGCATTTGTAATATTGATACCAGGAATATTAAGGTTTAAAAATGATTAGCAAGCCTTTCGAATGAAAAAAAATATTTTATAAGATGGGCAGTATTGAAATTGCTCTAAATTGCAGGCAAAACGAGTTTTTGTGATAGCCCAGCACAATCTTAACCTAAAATAGGAGGGAGCTAGAACGCCGACAAAGAACGAAACGCAACCTTCCGGTCAGGAGCTGAATGAGAGTTTTTACCTTGGCTCGTCGAGCGACACTCGTCTAGCCTTGAGAGGTTTTGGAGAGTCGTAGTCGAGCAGAAGCTTCTCTATTTCAGCACTGCGGTCACAAGACGCAACATTATCAGACTCAAATAATCGCTGCTCGGACGTTCCTCTGGACAAAAGTTCGTCACCACCATTTGCGCTCATATCGCTTAAATAATTCATGTCTTCGGAATAGAAATCTCGATGGCCAGATTCTACAAGTGACTCGTCCGGTTCGACAGAAAAACGACCACGCGTTCTTGAGGCACTTGACATACCGATTCGTTCGGCGAGAATCATTTTCTGCCAACGCCCTGCAGATGAAGCATCCTTTTCACCTTCGGTATCAGAATTGCTGAAGATGCAGGAGCTTGAATAATCAGAGAAATTCTGATCGCAGTCACGGCTAATGGCATCAGAATCATGGTGCGCAGCATAAGATAAATAACTTAAACGATTTCGAAAATTAATGAACTCTGTGCTGAGATCGTGCATCTCTTTTCCTATATCGCCGCAATATTCTTCGACTAAATTATTCAAGCTTGTCCTCAACCCGCTCTGGACCGACGGAAGCGTCGACAACATCTCACTTGTTACTCCGTCACTGTCAAGCTTGAACTCTTCAAAAGGAAGAGAAATGCAATCCTCCAATCTTGAATAACTTCCCCTGTTCTTACCAGTTTCGAAATCGCTGTTTTGCCTCTCACTCATTACTCGTTCTACGGCTGTGTACTGATGAGAGCCAGTTCGTTGAGATTCTCTTTTGCTACCAGAAGGAGAGTCCAAGTCCTGTTTCTTAGATCCAGAAAAATCATCGTAGAAAGAGTCTTGCGATTCCTTACCACTCGGGCAAGCAATGCAAATCTCCTCTTTGAATGAAGGTGCTGACTGTACACGAGATGTTCCTTTGCTGTCGGAGTCCAAGAAAAGTTCACTCAGCCGATGTGGTACATTTTTTCCATGGTGTTCCACAGATGATCTACTGCGTCGCGTGACTTCTGATGTGTCCAATTTTTCCCGTGTGTTCAATTGCACAATACCAGGAATGTTGTAGTCCAGCAAATCGCTTTCATGTATACTGCTACGCTTTTTGCGCGAAAAATCCAAATGCTTTCGTTCGTTCTTTTCTGATTGCAATGATTTTCTTTTCTTGATGGGTTTAGAATACAAAACGGACGTATCGTTGGTTTCACGAACCGTATCCTCGCGTGCATAAGCTGCTTTTGACATCGAGTCATTTGGGGAATTATATTCCTCTACCGAACCTCCAAAATGAGCCGTGTAAACGGGAGAACCAAAAGCCATTTGTGGTGTTACTTCAGTTGAATTCTGGCTTTGTTGAGATCTTGCAATATCGGTTAATTGGTCGTTACGAGCACATTGGTCGTTATAATTGCCGTCATTGTGCAGTGATGCGGGAACGGAAGCGTGATTTGCTTTGCAGTCGATAAATTCATCCAATATAGCCACGTTCGGAACTCTGTCGACGGCTACATGGCTTCCATCAACATCACAATTGGCGAACGATAACAAATCCAAACAACTCGCCTGATTGTCAAAGGATTGTGCCCCAGGATTGCTCGGTAAGTCGCTGAAATCCCATTCCACGAGAGGAGTTTGATGTCGAGGTAAAAGAGGCGACCGGGACTTCTCGTAAGAAGGAAACACTGTGACATCTACTGAAGGGAGACGACCGTTATTGTTGCTTCTAACACGCTTTTCGGAATGATGTAACGTATTATTATTCCTGTCATTGCTAGCTGAGAGCTTTTTGTTGTAATCCGCATCAGACAAATTTTTCTTATAATTTTCATAGAAGAGTTTATAATTTTGGGCGCTTGGGTCTCTAATGATGTTGCCTGATACTGAGATCACTTTGATATCGTTAGTGTCTTGCTCCTGAGGCAGCTTCTGGGGTGTTTGGCTCGAGACACTATCATCAGAAGGAGCATCCAGGAATCGTACAGAAACTTTATTGACTTTGGCTCTTCCAGATTTTCGAAGATTGGACTTTCGAACACCCTTAGAGTCAGCATTCGAGTTACGATGCATCCGTGAACATGTCTCGTCAGTAGAAAAATTTGATGGAATGAATTCAGCGGCAGTTTTAGTTTCAAATTTTTTGCAGTTAATCTCTTCAGTAACTAAATCTTCTAAAATAAATTCTTTGGATTCAGTAGGCCTAATACTGGAATAAGAATTTATGGTGGCACGGATCGATTTTGATGGATTATTGCCGATGCTTCTTCCTTCAGTCTCGACTTTTCGGTTTTCATGGCCATGTGACAGGGTTCTCGCTTCAGTCATACCTCTATTCACAGGACTTGGAATTCTAGTGCGTTTCTGAACCGATCTCGCAGTGCGCACAAAATTCGAATCTAAGACATTCACATCATCGTGAATGGACCGTCGCTCTCTTGATCTACGGAAACTCGAACGGAATGTCACTGGGTCTGATTCAAAACTCAGCTCTGCAACACTTACGGTTGGGCAGCGACTTGGTATTGGAATTCCCGATTTCACTGGCATCGATGTACTCACATTCGGGATGTCCGAAGCAGCTTTTTGACACTGCGGTTTACTTTCATAATCGTTAGCTTTGAACTTAGGACTAACAACAGTGTTACGTGGCAACTTAACATATGGTTTGTCAGTCATATAGTTCGTCTTATAAGCACTATTCTGCCAATCAGAAAATTTCTTCGAAGCTTTCTCAAAAACATTTTCCTTCGATGCCTGCCACGCATTTCTTCCTCTCGCAGCGGTCGTAAGGGAAGGGTTTTTATTTCTTTTACTGTTTATAGCATGTTCACGTCCGCCCACTGTCCCTCGGGAGGAATCATTTATACTCGAGACGCTGTCTCCGTCCATACTGTCGCCGCTGTCAGCAAAACTTTTATAAGAGTTGAGAGGCTCCCGTAAGTAGCGCCCTGAGTTGAAACTGAACAAACTGCCAACGCCGAGCTTGGATCTGAATTTGCCGCTTTGCAGAGTAGCTGTCATCAATGGTGAAGAGGGCACGGATTCAGTCTTAATCTTTGGAGTTCTCCATACACTGAAGTTGGCAGTTCGTTTGCTGTGCCTGGCGTTTTCGCTTGGGTGAGGAGGTTTCCTACAACTTGAATGTTCGACTTCAACGTCTTTGCGCAGGTCGTCCTTGAAGGGAGATAGAAGAGTCTTCAAGCTTGGTCGTCGGGAGGCGCGACTGAAGCTCGATCCATTCCATGGTCGCAACGGAGACACGTGTGGTGAATTGGAGTATTCTCCTTCCCTCCCAACAGGATCTGTACATACATTCTCTTCATCTTTAGAGCCACTACTTTTCAAGGCAATAGTTGAATCAGCATTGGATACTTTCATCGGGCTTCGAGATAAGTAACCGAATTTCGGAGAAGACAGACTGCGTTTTACTTCACGTCGATGATGTTCGTTGGGGAATTGACTCTGACCATCTGAGATCCGCGGCACAGATTTATCGCAGCCACTTGATTTCAAGTTATAAAATTTGTCGAATCGATGTCGGCCCCACTTCCCCGAAGTGCTATTAGGGTAGCGTTGGTTGACGATGACAGGTTGATTTTTAGTGCAAGCTGATTCTAAACTTTCGCCAAATGGTCCGGGTCCGTTAACATCAGATGAAGTGCCATCAAATTTGCTACGTTTCCTTTCAAATGAAAGCCTGCGCAACAGGAAATTTCGCTTTTTATGGGGATGCGACTGGCCATTGCTATCCATGATCCCGCTGAATGGATTGCACACTATGAAAGATCATCGTAATTACAGGCAACTCAGCAATACTTAAATGAAACTAGAAAAATAGAACATAGATGATTTATGTCTGTAATAAAAAAATATGCAAAAACAGGCTAATTATTTAAGCAAAAAATAGCTTGTTAAAGATATTATAATTGTTGATTATATGTAGTGCCTATTAGTTATACTTATACCATAAATAGTCGAAAAAAAATAAACATGAAAGAATGTCCAAGAATGAAAATTAACAAGGGCAAATAGCTTTAGCCGTAAATGGAATGAAGGCGAGATAGTCAACTAGATGACAATTTACTTGCGTACGAACAAGCGAGAGCGTCAGGCAAAACATGCGCAGCAGTAGATTGCCACAGCCGCTATACAAGCTCGTGCAAACACCAACACAGCAAAGAATAGACGTACGATTAAGCTCAAGCAGCAGCATCATCAGAAGTGCGTTGCAGAAGACGCAGCAAGAATGCACAATGGACTTGACTCGAGGTCACAACTCGCACCTTCTAAGGCAGGCGCGCTTTTTAGACGCATTGCTGGACGTTTGTGCGCAGGGTTTCATTGAGCCAAACTTTTACGCGAGATTTCATTCAGGCACAAAAGGAAGCGAGACGCGCGCAGAATGAACATGACGCTAGCGTGTAAGGAGTGGATCGCGACTCTCATTGGAATATTTCGGGTCACAGTAATTAAAAATGAGTCAAGCGCAAGCCAGACAAATCTAGGGCAAAGAACTAACCGTGCAGCCATAAAAGCTGATCAAGGCTGTAGAAAGGATCATCGAATGAGACTTCACTATGTTATTGTGCTAGTAGCAGCTAAATATGGTGAACAAGATACTAACAAATAAAATAAATAAAAATATCTGCAAATGGTCCTGAAACTAAATTACTGCCTTATGATTGAACACGCTTACTTGCGAGCATTTCCAGTAAATTGATTGATTGAAACGAATAACAATTTGATATCTCTAAATTTATGTGTAAATATAATAAGGCTAGGGCTCTAGGTAGAAATTATCACTTTCTACAAACCTTTTGTGAATCTGTATGTAAACTTGTGTGAGGAGTGGAAATTATTGGTGCTAGAGAACATCGGTCAATACTAAGCTTGACACAAAGGCTGTAGACCGAGTGCAGAGTAGCATAACGTGTACCCGAGTCAAGGAACAAGCCGAGGGAGTGATTGATGTTCTATGAGATGGAGGAGCGCGCGCCACGTCCGGAACTGACCAGGGCCCTTACTTTAAAAAAAAAGTTAAGAGATCGTAAGTTCATCAGCCAATCATTGACGGCCTTTCAAGCAAAATCCACCAATCATAGACCAGAAAATAGTGCGTAAGTACTCACGTTCACTTAGCGAATTTTGAAAGTATGGCCCCTGAGATGATCAAGGAACATCGCAAGTACAACTGCAGATGCCAATTAGGGAACGGATCTTCATCGACTGGCGAGAAGAAAAAGTATATAAGATTGAGCTTAAAGCGACATAGCTATCGAATTCTTCGTAATTTAGTTGCAGATTATAAAGCAGAGCGGGGCAGAAAAAACTTGCATGGATGTTCATCAGGAGCCAGCCAAGTAAGAATGTTGGGTCAGGGTGACATGAGTAGCATCGAACAATGCTCGATTTCTAAAGACACATCGAACTTATCGTTGGTCGTAGTGTACAAAGTGATGTTAGGAAGATTCAATGACTAATATTACGATCATAAGGTGAACGAATCTCAGCTTAGATGGTGAGAAGAACTCAAACTACTATCATGAATAATCTATTTGATTTATGGGGAAAAAGATTGAAGTAGACAAATAATTAGAGGCACAAATAATATATTTTAATAATGTAAAAAACGCAAAAAGAATATTTCCATAAATACCTCGAAAGACGGTAAATACGTACGACTATTAAAGTGTTTTTGGCATGAATACCGTCAAAGTAAGCACATTACTGACAAGCAAGGACATCGATGTTCAAGTAATACATGACCACAACTGCAGGTCTCATTGCACAAAGAAGCCAGTCGGTATATATATATTAAGCAGCTTAAGTCTGAATTATTATGGCGACACGAGTGCATGAGTCACAGAACAACTGTCCCGTGCTCCGTGGCACCTGCCCAGTATAAAGAATAGATTCTGCTGCAGCGTCAGCAGCAAAAAGATGCTTAGGCACACGTGTCGCTTACAAGGAGTACCAATTATAAACTCTCAGTCCTCTAATCTAGCAGCTAATTTAAAATACTTCCACTTGAAATTGCGAAATACTTGCATACTCGTCATTGTCAAGGCTGAAATGAAGTTGTCTCTGTGCGCGAGTACAATTATTGGGGTTAGCGATGATTATATACAAGATAGATGGAAGGTCGAATATGACGGGCATAATACATTTGTGCGATCCAAATTGATGCACACCAATAGTGAAGGTGCATGCGACAATAGACAGTCTTGATAGAAATATAAGAATAACCAAAACAATGTATTGGAGTTTAATCATAGTCAGGTGAGGGCCAGAAGGTTGCAGGAGGACCAACACGCCCGTGAGAACTGCTTGTGACCTGCACGTACTCTTCTACCTGACAGGGGAATCGTGGCAGCAACACAAGGAAGCGAGCAACTACTACGAGTCAGCCAACTTATTAGTCCAGCATTTGCATATAATCAACGCGTGTATATTTGCGGGTCAAAAAATGTACTTGCATACGACAGAGAAACCTAAGCCATGTGAAGCATACCCAGTCAGAAATCGCCGCAGTCTGGAAGCCAGCCGCGGGTGAACTTGCCTGCGCCAACGCTCGCCCCAGCGCAACGCCAGGGTGTTCAACAGCGCAGGAATGTCCACAGCAGCGCAATATTGTGGCAGCGCTTCTCGGCCTGAAAAGGGCCTGCAGCCGCAGTCAGTCTGTCCTACCGCGAGCGACCAGGCCGGCAGGCACTGCCAGCTTCCGCGCTATCGCGAAGGTGGTTGCCGCGATTGGCGGGACCGTTGCGCAAAATTCCCGCGGCCAGAGGTGGCCGAACGTGAATTTCGAGCAAAAAAAAAATCCCTACGCCCTCCACTATATATATAGCTCCTCTACTTTGTGGAGCTATATATAATTGTGGAGGGCATGGGGAATTATGTAACAACGAACACATACAAAATTATAAAGCGAATTTTAATGCAGTCATTCTGAGATATGAAGTAGGAACAAGTATAACAAATTATGACAGAAATAAAAAGATTTACATGTTCGGGCCGTTTATTAGAAGTTTAGAACCTCAAGTGCATATAAACATTCAAATTACAAAACATTTTTGGAGTAAAACGTAAAGCCTTACACATGGAGTTTAAGCAGTCGACAAACATAAATTAAGAAATCTATTCCAAAACTGTTATAACTATATTTTAGAACAATACACGATTACGTACGATAATGTAGCCCCTTCATTATTTTCAAAATATACATACAAGCTTATTCCTGGTTTTTACAAGGCGTCAGCTAGAGGATAACATCATCTCGTATAAATTGTAAATGATACGCACCACCATACTTGAGAATCTAACTTAGTAATCAGTAGTCAAATACGTGAAGTGGAACTCTAAACTAGTTTGAAATTTCTAAAATAAGTACTTCAGTACTCAATGCATGAAACTCGTCATCTCAGAACGGAAATTGATAATAGTTGAAAAGTTAATTTCAAGGGGAAATAGTATACAAAAGCACCATACTAAATGCAACTGCACGCATGACACACCATGATAACTTGAATGTTTTCTGAGTGGGTCGGTGATGCGTTGTGGCTGTTTCCGTTAATCCAGCAAGTTTCATCGAACAAGCTCTGGTTTTAAGCGCGAAGTTTTCGCGGCGGCTTTCCACTGCATGCTGAGGTAAACGTCGACACAGCTGGACACGTAGACTAGGCACAGCAGTTGGCTAGACTCCCCTGAAGAATAAAAGTGTATCAGCTTGTTTCCTGGATAGAAGTTAAGTAAGAAAACACTTCTATGCAAATAGATGACATGAAGATATTTTCTATGAATGCATTTGGTACATGAAGGAAACTCATACTTCAAATTTATGTAAGAACTTCGATCAAAAAGTTCAAATAATACTAATAGAAAATAACTCCAGTAATGCCGGTTATAAATTGACAGAAATATCTCGGCATTTGCCCTAAAAAATATTCCTTTTGTATCTTTTGTACAACTTGCGCCTGGCAAAATGCTACCTGCGATGCATCGTTTTCTGACATCTGTATAATTAGTGCCTTGAAGATAGCGTCGTCTTTGAACATGTACGAGCAAGCACCTTAGTTAGGTCGTGTGACAATGGGAGTATGGTACAGCATCCGCCATGCTGCACGCAGCGCAACTAGGAAAAAGTCCCTTCATCATGAAGTAGAGATGCAAACTTAGGCGTCCATTTGATTTCTCACCTCTATTAACAATCATCATGTGGTGCAAAAAGCAGAAATTTGACAGCATATCAGCCATCATGTCCCTCCTGCACCCGATATCGATGCAGTCAATGCCGTGAAACTTGAGAGACTGTTCACCCGATTCCTCTCGGACCTCGACTGCTTCGCGGGCTAAGTTATAGTCGGGTTTAGGCTGCATTCAACATTTGCCTGCAACAAAATGGATTCCATCAGTTTTGATCAGTGAACCTGTAACCAGTAATACGAGCTTACAGACGTGCTAAGTTTAACTGACTGTCATCTCGAAATTCTCGATTAGTTTAAAAATATCAGCTAATTTAATACAGAAAAATGTAGGCTTCTCGAATTTTTTACGGTGGCACATTTATACATAACTCCGAGACAAAAAGTTCATTTCAGATCATAATCATAACGTTTAACTAGAATTGAGTGGATTGACAACGGATTCAATAGGCAAGCGTGCCTTTCGATAGCAATACAATAAGTTAGGCTGGAGATGATTCCTTGAACGAGAAGCAATGTTTCACGACTTGCAGACTGCAGTAACCAAAATTTCCACTTGATAGTTGCACATGAGATCTTAAACCGGATGAAAATGTAAATACATTAAATTTTGACGTTTTATCTGTTCCTTACCTCCAATATTTATCCAAAATTAACCGAATTCGGGTCGTGTGCACTGCACCACACGTACATTCTAGGTACTTCCCGGCCACACCACTGTATAGAGCGGAGACTAGTTAGACTACTGCGCATGCGTTGCAGTGTTCGCTGTCGCGCATGCGCAGTAGCCTGGCATTTACCGTTTGCGTTCATTTAGTATTTCTATTATTTCGTATTATATTTACTAATATAATACGAATATATTAATATTTATATTATATTTACTTTCAGAGTATATACCGATTTCGCGTTTTTCATCGAATTTATGTCAATAAACTGAATACACACAATACTGGATGGAACTAGTTCCACAAATACTGGCGACATGGATTCGCTGTAGTATAGAATAGAATAGAATAGAACTGTCGAAAAAAATGTAGAAATAAAAAATCATGTAAACCTCATAATTTATAATTTTAGAGAAATTAAATAAGTGAATAATTCAATCAGTTTCTTCCGGTACAAGCTCCATATTGAGGTTCATGCCTAGAAGGTTCTTTCAATATTCCTCCGCCTTCCTCACCCTTCACCCCCTTCCTCTCCCTGCCTCCTCAAAGCTTGAACCGTTACCGCCGGCATATTCGACGTAGGCCGCGGCAGAGGTACGGCCAGTTGCCTGCCGCAGCTTTTGCCGACCGAGGCCTCGCGCTGTTCGTGGCAGATGAGGCCATATCATCGCTAGCCTGCTTGGGCGCGAGGTGAAGTCGGCAACAACGGCCTAGATTTGCGCGTTTGCGAACGTCCCTGCGGCGAACGGCCGCAATGACTGCGAGAATTTCGAACTGGGTAACATGGCACAAAAATCGTATCATTCAATGATATGAGTTTTATGTGGTATGATAAAGTTGATGAGACCTGCAATAATGCAAGGTATCTCCTTTCATTCAATTACAAGAGTTTTATGTGGTTTAATAACGATGAAGAGACATGTAATAATGCATGTCTCTTCAAATGTCACAGGTAAAAAAATTTCCAATTCTGATAGAATTGCAGCTCAGGTTATGGCTCAATCGTGGCTAGGAAAGGTTGAGGCGTTTGTTCAATCATGATGAAAATTATTCCGTAAAAAATATGACGTGTTCCATTAGAGCGCGCACGAGGTTCTCAACACTACAACGAAACTGGGTTCAAAACAAATCACGCGAATTGCATCTAATTTCGCGAAAAGTGAAACGTCTGGAAAAAATTTTCTCGAGATTGGGACAGAAATATGACTATGTTCATGTTGAAACAAATAGCCCAAATCACGATATAAACGTGATTCCATCGCAAGACCTAACTTAAACACATTTTTTATTTGTCATATGATATACACTTCTACTGCATAACTGAGTTGACGGTGTAATTCGTGCTACGAGAGGAGCTGTAGACTAGAATGCAGCCTTGCTAGCAACTACAGTCTTGATTGACAGCAAACTCGAATGTATTCAACCAGAAATGTGAACTTGAGCATCCAAGATTTCGCAAGTGCCCCAGACACTACAACTGGCACATTCGGCTTGTACACATCCGGTGTACACGATTACAGAAGATGTACCAACTCAGCCCAGCTAACAGAACTTAGTATCCTGGACAAGCAGGGACTGGCCGAAGTCAAGTCTGGTAATCGGGATTCTTGTGCAATATATGGCGATGAAACATTAAAAAAAACTAAAAACGGCCTCCAAGTCTAATGTGTGGCCGCGAACGGAACGAATATGGTCGCGAGCAAGAAAAAAAGGCGCAACAGAGTGAATTATGACAATAAATTAAATTGCTGATGATCTCATTCTGATACTGATGAACTGATAAAAGATAAATCTGATAAATTATTGATGAACTCAATCTGATCCTGATGAACTGATAAAAGATAAATCTGATAAATTACTGATGAAGTCAATCAATTAATGATGAAATCATTTTCGCGGCCCACAAAAACTTTTTTTAATGAGATGGAGAATTGTGCAATGCATTTCGATTACTATAACCAAAAAAATCCGATTACATTTACAGGTCATCGTCAGAGCAACAATTGTAATACTAAGTTGGTTCGAATTTTGCTTACGCCTTGAGGCGTAATTACCGATAAAGAATTTTACCGCGAAGCATGGTCTTAAGTCTGGAATCTTGTAATGGCTGTCCAGACAATGCATAACAGTAGCCTTGGTGAGGTGAACCCAATGCGGGACACCTTTCACCGGACCATGGCTACCCACAAGCATTTGTTCCGTGACCGTCCATAAGCTGCCCCAGACATTGATAAGATATACACAATTAAACATACCCTTAGATAACGTGGCTGTGAAAAACTCAAATTCAGACCCAGAAGATTGGCACCAATAGAAGCGAGTGCCATTTCAATTTCAAAATTTAGTTATTTCGTAGAGAATAATTGCCTTAATTGGTCATTGATTTGGATTGACAGTCACAACTTATTTGTGACTTGAATGTTATACAGAACTAACAGGTAAGCCCGGCATTGTCGATAAATTTTCCTTGCAAGTTGAGATTCCGTTTATTAATAACCCCGCCGTATCGAAGCTACGGTAATTAAAGTATGAAGCGTTCAAATCTGAATTCGGTATGGGACTGCCTTTATAGTCATGTTTTGGAAATTTAGAAGAAACTCCAACCCTTTTCTTTTTGAGTAAATTTGGCATTTTCCAAATTGAGATACAACTCATTAATTATCAAATCTAGCTTCCTCTCCATTATTCACTATCCCATGATCTCACAAATAGAAATAAATTTTTTAACCAGGTAATATCCTAGCAATATTTGTATCGTAGATACGTAGATAAATGTATATCAGCCGTTATACATTTCCGACGTCATGCTTCAAACAAAAACTCTTCCACAAACATACCATATATGCATCATTATATATAATTAATAGACTTTAAGAGGCGCAGAATCGCTCATGAATAAGCCGAATATATTTATTACTCTTCTTGACACTGCGAACCACACAACAAAACTAATCACAACGAAATGATTCAGTAAGAAATTGTACAAATAAAAATATGTAGGAATAATGCTCGTAGTACCAGGTTTGAGTTCATAGTTTATGATTATGATCTTTACGACAGTCATCAAGGGAAATGTTAACCACCATCAATTGCTTTAATGAATTTCATTAGAGAAAAATAACTGGTCGACGCATTAGCATCAGCGGGTCGTTAGCAATGACCTAAATTGAATCCACATCAACACAAAAATATGTACAACAGCCCATACAAAGTAATCATATTTGCATAATTGATAACGTTAACTTGAAAGACGAAAGGTTCTCTCGATCTAATCGACCTCTTAACGCGGAAAAGTCAATAACATGTAAAATTCAGCGAAGACAAGTAATTTAACTGTAATTTGTTGTCCACATAATAACATCCATGATGCAACAATGATAGCCATATATAGGAAACATCGCGCGGACTCAAAATCAATTAAAAACACGTTCCGATAGTCTATGATCTGCGAATAAAAATACAAATCAAAATGAACGTTTTTGAAAACGCTTGATTTTTTCAGAATAAATCATGTCACATAAACTTCTGAATCAAGTTAACAATGCATTCACTTGACATTTCTTTCTCGTGAATTTTCCCGATAATTTCTTTCTCGTGAATTTCATTCAATTTTCTCGTGAATTTTCCCAGTATTTATAGTAATATTGTTAATTCACTGGCAGGACCACTGCGGAAACTCGACCAGAGGCACACCAAACGCGCACCCTCCACGACGGCTAGACCAGCACTGAAGTGTTCGTACTTCGTCAGGGGCAGATTTTGGTTCAGCTCGCATTGGCACAACAGCCAGCATTCCAGCAGCATTTCGAGGGCACGTTAGCGGCAGCGGCGATGGTCAGCGCAGGAAAGACGTGGAGGAAGTTCAGCGAGGCGTGACGCACTCACTCAATTTTGTACTCAGGGTCAAACCATTTTCTTCCAGGCAGACTTTAAAAAGAATGAGAGGCTTTCATATTCTCAAGGAGGGAGAAACCAGCGATCAGTGGCAGAGTAAACTATTATGAAATGCTTAGGAAACACCATGAAAATATTTAAAATTAGTCTTACGTACTAAAATCATTTTCAGGCACCTATTGCTTTTTAGTGAAATAACCTCAGAATATTTTGTTCCGATTATAGGTGAGCTGCAGAAATTTAGAAGGAAACAATGCGAACAAGCAAATACGGACATTTATTCGCACTTAGCCAGCCATTCGATGAAACAAGAAGAGATGTAAGAAATAACCCTGTACTTGCTTGCTATATCTCCAGCAAGCATTAAACAACACACCGCCACTAGCGGGCGGAGTGAACACGAGTCAAGAACTTGGGTCGCGCGTCAGCGTAGCGGCTACAGCAGCGAAGTCGTGTATACGACGTACGACTCGCGATGCAAGCTTCTCATGACACTCATAAATGACCAAGCACGCAGCATATAAAAGGACAAAGGTAGCATGAGCGAGAGATGAATCTAGAGTCATTTCATACACTCGACAAGAAAACTTGCACATGCAAAATTTATTTACAATCCAACACGACCCGAGATCAGCCACACAGAGTTTACTAAAGCCTAGATTATTGGTGTAATTCGGCAGAAGCTTGTCTTTTATGCAAGTTTGATTAAAGACCGGAGCATGCTTTCTATTAATTAATATCTTCTTATTCGTTTTTTCAACGAGTCGAACAATTTTTTTTACGTAAAAAGCATGCTCTGGTCTTTAATCAAACTTGTATAAAACAAAACCTAGGTCCTAGATTGATGAACAAAACTGAGACTTACGGCGATTGAGGTACAAAAAATCCCACAAATCGAATTAAGCGCAATACGATGAACTTGTGCCGTCCGCCTGCGCATCGCAGAAAAAATCAAGGTGACGCAGGAGAGAGCAGGAGTATCGAGACAATTCATATATAACGCTGCCGTCCAATTAGCGACCAACGCACCGGAACGCGATCCGCGATATATATTTGATGGTATAGCCATGAGAGCTCGTACATACGCCCCTTCAGGTCTCGGACACATCGCGGGGCGGGGATAATTAGAGAGTTCAGCGTATATTAGGACGGCGATGACTACTGTCAATAGTAGGTACTTTGCTGGGATGGTAAATGCAATACGTAATGCCGCCTATAATACTGCTAGTGGGTAGCACTTCAATGGAGATTCAAGTGAAATTACCAGTGGCCGCTGATTGGCCACTGGCAGAGCATTAAATAATAAGGACGGTCAGTTCGTCCAGTGGAATATCACAGCGCCTGCGTGTCATTAGCATACCTTTTAGTTTTACTAAGAGAAGCTCAACGCAATTCACAAAATTGCTCTATATTTGTAGCTAACTAAATTTCAGGGGCAAGGTTAACACAATATTCGGAATGGAAACTCGCTTATGAACGAATCATTTTTAATTTGATAAACAAGTGTAGAAATAAAATTACTACATAAATATCTTGATTGGTAAATCGTTTCTCATGGGAAATATTCTACACAAAGCACTTGCTGAAACGTTCACAGAAAATACGTGTGCGTATGAAGCGTGGCAAATATTTTATCCAAATAGTTTAGGCCAAAAATAGGTAAATAGTATAACCCAATTGATTTCAGCATAGATTTGAGGAATGGAAGCTCATGGGACGCCGGGTAATATAGTGATGGCGCTAAAGGTTACGACAGAGCGCGAGTGGAGCGGGTGCCGAGGTGGTGGCGTTGGCTACATTTTATTTTATGCTCGACCGACTCACAAAAGAGAAAAGACCTTCACCTCCGCACTTCGGGATAACGACGCACCGAAGCAAACGAGCGCCCATCCTTTACTAATAGCAATCTCAACTAATTGTTCATGTGCATCAACATTATTCGTTTTCTCCGCGGTCTTGAACTAGAAAACGAAAAATGTCAAGTCACCTAATGAAATAAAATGAAAATCGTTCTACAAAATGAATACGTTCTACAAATGAACAGCATAACCCCAAAAATAAAAATTCATCTCGCGTGTAATATCATAATCACGAAGTATTCTTTGTTCACTCCTCACACCAACAACACAGCAGGTCACCCACGATGAAGAACACTAGATGCCCAACTCAAGGTTTGGCACCAGCACATAAAAATACTTCGTGCAAGTTATATTCTAGGCGAGAATGCGATGATCACAATTTTTGAATAACCTTGTGCTGTAATCGATTATTAGCGCATTTTCTCATTTATGGAAAAAAGGCGCTATTGTGCTCGTCATGTCCGTCAGTCCGTCCGTCCGTGACGGATGGACGGATGTGAGAAAATGCGCTATCTGTCAGTCACTTCAGAGAGTGCTGATCTAATTTTTATTACATACATTTTTTCGTGAGTCTGATGTGAACGTGGCACACTTGTCAAGGAAGAAACACAACAAATGAAATGAAAGCGACGCTGAACTGCGGCGCGAGCTAGGCAGGGCAGGCCGGGTGACAGCTAGGGGACAGCGACGTCAGGAGACGTCTCGGACAAATTTACGGCCGGACCCGCGGCCGGTCTCGCGGCCGCCGGACTCCAAACATAGAAAAAACCTAGCCAATCAACGAAAACCTGGCAGGTTAGGTCCAGTTAGGAACAGGTTCCATTAAAAACTCAAAAAACCAAGAAAACCCCATAAAAACACAAAGAAAACCTTCCGGCCGCGGTTCCGGCCGTAAATTTGTCCGAGACCTCGTCAGGAGCCGATCACTGGCACCGATATGGCAGTCCTTAATTGCTCGCCTCTTGTGGGCGCCAACAGGGCACGGCAAGGAGAGAGATGGAACACTCACATCACATTCAAGTTTGTGAGTGTTAAATGTTTGTGGTCCATTACGACGTAACTATCATCAAGTATCACACTATAGTCGCTTTAGAGCAGAAATTTCAAATATTTAGAAGCCATGTCAAGATAAGAATGCTTCTTTTCGGTAATAAATACATTACCAATCAGTTTCTTTAACTAAAAATAAAGTGAATGTGATGGAAATACACTTCCAACGACGACCTTGGTGACCACGTGCGTACGGCATGACCTGACAGCCCCAACTTGCGAAAAAATTCAATTTAGAATTAGGAATTAAAGTTTCAGTCACTTCACTCAGTGAACTCTGGCCGATAGCTAAACAAAGAAACCGCACTGACGGCTTTGAAAGAAAACTCGGGAATGTTTTCCTCGTTGCACAGCTGTAAAGCAAGGGGTCATCAGCCAACAATAGAATTAAAGGAGTAACTTGAGCAGGAAGTTCTGTGGCACCCCGCAAGCTTCATCTGCCAGGTATACGGCCATCACAAGCGGTCTCCTAGCTTGCAGTTCACACTAACTTTAATGCACGACAGTTAAACGCCACTGCTGGTGATAAATGCAATTATGTGATAAATGCAGCTAATTATTCAAGATATCCCAGATTTATTAAAACTGTGAGTTAAATTGTTAACTTGATGAAGTAATAGACTCAGAGAACATAAACACGAACTTTTATATCTGACCATAACTAAAAGTTTCAGGTAATTTTCAATAGCACACTTTGGCAAGATTGACCAACCAAACGCATCTTCGAATAAAGCGATCAATTGAGTCGGTGCAATGTAGAAGTGATAATAAAGGCCAAGGAGGACGGATTGCGTAGTAAAACCTGCCGCAAGAGGGCATGTTCTGAACGCAAGGCAGCTCCAGAGTGTGGCGTGACACTCTAGGTCGAGCACAAGTGAACACTAGTATGTCTGGCCTTGGGCCACATTCTCAACAATATTTACTCCGATCTCGAGCTCAACGAGTACCGTGAATATATAGTACTTAAGTTCAGTGATTGACAGAAACATGCGTAAAATCACCAGAAATTAGCCATTTGGTTTGCATGGCCAAAATGGCAGTCAACTCTTCTGACCCTCGTGGCAACTACCTGCAAGGTCGTGTCGTGATCCTCAGCTGAAATTCATCAGAAACCATTATTGATTACTGGCGTTGGTAATGGTCATTTGTCGACCTAATGACTACAAAAAGGGAAGAAAGACATTACCACTGTTGAGGAATTGGTCTTTTGACCAAAAAAATAGCGGATATCCCAACAACATAGGGAATTGAAAGATCGAGGCGTGGATCGAAGGTTAATTACTACGAAGTGGAGTTTTACGCCTGAGGCTAGTGGATAAGCTCCCGTTACCTCCAAAGACAGCCATCCCTGAACTAGATTGCGGTGTGAATTTTATGAATAATATTGCCGTCAATAAAATTTGGATATACGGGCGGGTTTGATAATCCTATAGGACTAATGTGGAGAAGAACCTGATTAGATATGTTACACCCTTCGCCTTCATAAAGCTATTAACATAGATACCGATCATACAGCGTTAGTGCTCAACATCTTAAGACTTAAGCTATCGAGCACCCCTTGGAGGTTCTCGGTTGTTATCGCGTCTCTCAATAGTCAACAAGCGTACCACTATTATATCATATTGCCCGCAATACGTTATCCTAGTAGCAGCTTATCTTATTTAATGCGTTAATAATCAAGAACGCATGGCTTAAGTACCTATTGTATTTGAATCTAGCGGTGGGCCGCTGGGACCTGATGAGAGGCAGGTTGCAAAATTTTTTTCGTCGTTGCCATAGTATTTGAGTGATGCAATGAAAATTGTTTAGTATTTAAAAATAACTAAAAATCGCTCATGACCTCGACTATGTTTGAGTAAAACCTGGAAGAACGTGTCGTACCACAAGAGCCACCCGAGGTAGGATTTACCAATGGAGGAATAAAAAAGTACCGCGTCGCATTGGCGATGAAGCAAAAGGAAGGATCGAAGAATACTGCTTACTGGACAGCGTATAGTACACCAATCAAGGTGTTATTTTAGGTATGAAGTGGAAATGTGATTTTAAGTATGAAGTTTAATAAGAAAATAAATTAATTTTACATTGGTTTTCAAAACAGGAGCCAAATGGAAGTTCAATGCTAAATGTGCGTTAAAGCGAGCCTCTCTTCAAAAAGCAAACTAAAGTTTCAAAATTATCAACTGAATTTAGAAAAGCGGAATCGGGATGACTCAACACGGGAATCGACATGGCGCAATTCTCGAATAGCAAGGATTAATTATTAATCCCAGGCAACCACTGGCTAACATGCTAGTATATAATGATACCATTTTAAATAATAGTTGTGACTCATGATGATCTCTACTATGGCTAAGGCATCTGATATGATGATACGCAAGACAAATGCAATTATTATCACTTGTTTTCTTCAACGCTTTACCAAAAAACAGAATAATCTGTCTAGAAAATGAACGATATCGAGTTATATGCGCGCACAATCCGTGCTCGCATAATGAGCACAAACATCAGCTGAGGGGCAGGTGGTTTAGCGCCCTAGCAATAGACTGCAGTCCTGCCAGAAAACTTACAATTGCCTGTACGTAGAAAACGGTCATTAGAGAATATTTTTGCGGACCACTGCTTTAAGATTAACGTTTGGCCAAAGCTATTCATTCTGCGGCATTTCTTACGACGCCCGACCATACTTTCAAAACTCGCTAAGTGAACGTAAGTACTTACGCTCTATTTTCTTGTCTAGATTGGTGGATTTTGCTTGAAAAGCCATAAATGATTGGCCGATGAACTTACGATCTCTTTTACTACTTTTTTTGAAAGTATAGGCCACCGGGCCTATACTTTCAAAAAAGTTAAGAGATCGTAAGTTCATCAGACAATCATTGACGGCCTTTCAAGCAAAATCCACCAATCATAGACAAGAAAATAGAGCGTAAGTACTTACGTTCACTTAGCAAGTTTTGAACGTGTGTGATTTCATTAGAAGATATTCTCCGATGGGAATTGCATCAGCCGATAAGCGCAACCTAACTTTTGGAGGCAAGAGCTCACCTGTGCGACGAGGGAAGAGCTTCCACGCTGGGGGCCATGTCACAGAACTGCCTGCTGTGGTTATGTTCAGGCGATGCTGTGCTCGGCAGGGATACACATTCTCCTTTTTTGTCAAAAGCGATAGTTGTATTTTCGGCGTGTATTTTTGACGTGTCATTCTTTTCATTGTGTGACAAAGTTTTGGGAATATTTTCAGTTTTCTTCACACCAAGACCGTCATTCAATATTTTCTCATTGCCACTATAGAGAAGAGGTTTCATTTCAGTATTACTTTTTCGAACTTCATTGGTTGAGATCGAAAATCCTGCCTTGTTGCTTTCAGAAGAGATAGGCCACAGCGTATCATAATTACTAGCTATAAGAGGCTTGCGACCGTTACTGCTGGTCATGTCGGAGCCACGCGTCTCGTATGCAGTGTCAGTCGAATTACTGCCGACAGAAGGAACCACGGCAGTGGGCCCAGTTGACGACAATGGGATTTTCTTAATTGGTTCACGTGCTCTGACGTTCCTAATTGGAGTTGCCATCAATGAAGCAGCCGTTTTTACTAATTGACTGGATAATGGGCTCACATCTTTGCAGGTTTGAACATCAGGAACATCAGGAGCAGAATTTAAACCGACAGAGTGTGAAAATTTATGTGCAAAACTTTCCCCTGCAGGGATATTCTTTGAACGAGGAGGTCTAAGCATTAGAAAATTGCAGTGTAGTCTTTCGTCTCCCTCAACAGGAACAGCAGTTCCTCTCAATCCTAGGTTAACTTTTGTGCTACTTTCTACGGAAAATTTCATTTCGTCCATGCATGTCCTGACCAGTTTCGGTCTTATTTCAATGTGGGTTTCTTCGGACAACAATTTTCTAAAACTTGCCTTGGACCGACGTCTCAGGGTCTTTACTCTCTTCTGGCTCACCGGAACGTTAGCCGCATCTTCACCGAGGAAAGGGCCGTGGGCGCTATTTCCTTTCACTTTGCATTCTACGTCATTTTTTGTATTAGTAGCCGATTCATGATTGCTATCGTCTGCCAGGGTAATAAACTCATCAGAACGACTGAATTCATCATCAGCAACATTTTCGAATGCTACTTTTTTCGCTGTCCACTCAGTGGTGATGAGCGTACGTTCGTCAGTTGATGTTCGTTCGTCACTTGATGTAGTCTCGTCACTTGATGAATTTTCTGCTTGCAAAGGAAGAGAAGGAGGTCTAGCATGCACAGGACGTGACAGATTACGTCGATGAGACGATAGTAAGGCGGCGTTTACGTTTCTCGCTTTCTGTACAGATGGGCGTCTCTTGAGCTTGCAGGCAGACTTTCTATTTTTTGATTTGCCAGAATCAGCCCCGTTAGAGCAGGAAACCGAGAATACCATGGCGTGGTCACGTGATGCTATCGTTATATGTTCATTAGATGGACCGAGACGCGTTAGTTCTTGATCAGCCTGTGACGGCTGACACTGAAGCGGCAACTTTTGATCTGTACAGCAAGGCAAGCTGGATGGTCCAATTGGAGCGACATCACCCGCAGGACGACGTGACGTATTTACATCTTCTTGTGAATGACAGATAGGACGCTCACTGAACGTAGAGAAAACCGAAGAACAAATATCGGACTTTGACACTTGGCCATTGTTAACTTTAAAAAAAGCACTAGCACTACTTGTAGGTTGGACTTTCCCCAACAACGGTCGAGATCCTATGCGACACTCTACATTACAATTACCAGAGCAAGAGGAAACTTCACTTGAAGGTAAGGTGCTAACCCTGTTCCTCACGTGAGTGTCGGAGACGTGAACAGGATACGGGAGCTGGAACAATGGCAGAAAGAGTCTGGGCGGTTTCTCGGGAGCAAGTCTCTTGGCGACATTATCCCGCGTATCCTGATGTACGAAAGGAATGACAATTGCCTCGCTTTTAGGCACCATATCGATTGTTACAAAGGGAGACCCGCAGCTCGGCATTACTTTGGTGGCTGCATACAAACTAACGACCGCGTTGCATTCATCGCGAGAAGAGTTCATCTTTAAAATCTTCGGGGTGAAGTAAAGCTGCTTCCTTGGATCAACATGTGAAGTAACTCCTTCAAATACTTCTTTTTCTAAGCGATTGCTATTGATTACTACTGAAGGACCTATGTTGTCAGCTAATGAAGTGTTATTCAAAGACTGTCCTTGGGATATTTTTCTCTTCTTGGAATCAAAAATTGGTGTGGAAGTATGCACCGGAGGAGAAGCAGAACTAAACGAAGCAAGCCCCTGTCGAGGGTGCGGTGAATCTAAGCAAGTATCGGAGTAGGAGGGCCGTAGCTGAGAGAGTCGACCGTAGAATAGAGGATCTTGGTCGGCTGAAGCGACTTCCTCATCTACGAATTGACTGTTTAACGATACACTGTCAAAATTACAAGCAAAAATCTGAGCTAGAGTGCGACGAGGTCGAGGTTTCCGCTTGCACTGCGAAGACATTTTCTCACTGCCGGAATACTTGTCGCTATTCCTGCCTATTGAAAGTACGCAGCGAGGATTTCGATCGGAGTTTTGCGAAGACTCTGGTTTGAGGACCCAGTTTGAAACATCGTATGACTTGGGTCGATGTCGACCGACGACGACTTTCTGTGATCTCCGAAAGCCATAATCCTCGCTGTCCGAAAAATTAGCATCACCTTTAAAATTGAAATAATTATTTTCATTGCGAACATAGCCACTTGTTGAAAAAGGTTCGAAGCACAAGCTTTCAGCAGATGAATAGCAATTAAATGATTTTGTTTTCCTGAAGCCAAACTCAGAATCATTCGAATTTTTCACTTCGCGGTCATCGTGCAATTTTACTGTTTTGTTCCTGGCAAACACATGGTCTACGGAACTAAAATAGTCACTGTCGTGTTTTGACGGTTCATCAACCGCGTTACGAGTAACTGGTAAACTGTTACAAGTAACTGGTAGACTGTTAAGATTCGTCTTGGTAACCTTAGTAAGTGTTTTGGACGCAGCAGTCCCAGGCCACGATGGAGTGACACTTTCAGCCGCTCTGAGGTCTTCAGTGCTGCTCCACGGATGCTTCATCCGTAATCCACACCCTCCACATCCACCCAGCCGGGAGAGCCAGCCTTTCCTGACTGCACGCAGGCTAGACATCGAAATATTTTGTTCTGAACTGATGCCGGCAAATCCGCCACATTTGTAATAAGAATGAGATATTGCCCATAAGCTCGAGGTGTCCACAGTATTCGCATGTTTCAAGTTGTATTTTGATTTATTCCCTGTTGAGTGCACTGCTACTGGAGGCTTAGACGCCGTCATCATGAAACAAGCTAATTGAACTTCGAAGATATATAACTCTGTAATATTTACTTTGATTTAATAATTTCTTACATTTCTTACAAAGAATTTGTAATTTTTCATTAAAATAAAACACATCAATGCAATTTTTATAACTAGTGTCATTTTTTGTGTCTTGCATAAAAACTCAATAATCACCACTGGCACACATTTAGAAGGTTTAGTTGAAAAAAAAAAACACAATAACATTCGGCTTTTCAAGGAAGATAGGAATTTAAACTGAAACATTAATAAAATAAAGAAAAAATACATAACACAATTGAAATTAATAAATAAAAAGCTAGCAAAGCAAGAAAATACAATTTGAATTAATTCAAAAAATGCAAACGAAGCATCGTCAAGAAGTCGCAGCACGTTGACTGGACAATCACATTAAAATATTTGCACAAGTTGATAAATTGGACAATTGCAAAAAAAATATTTGCGCAGCTCGTTGATTGGACAATTGCATTAAAATATTTGCACAACACAAGATAAACTGACAAACTCTGCGAGAGCTGCACGGCCTCAAGAGTACGCGAAAGTTGAGGACCTTGCATCACACAATCAAACAAACAAACTTCACGGCGTCGCACGAGAGTTTCAAGACAGCGTCGGCGTCGATGTATGCAGTAGCGCACCGCGGGACTAAATGACTTAGCCAGACAAGAGCGGTATTAATAAGGAGTCTGACTTCCTCTCCTCTACAGGCTGCAATGGCGGAGTAGCGCGAAACACTGTAGCGTCCTCAGGGTTGCATACGTCCTGCCTTGCTATGGCACAACGCTCGTGGAAACTATAGTAGTTACAACATTCTGACTTGGCTCAAGTAGAAGTATTTAATTGTATACAGCTTAAAAAGTTTTTCCGCGGTATCGCTCATGCAATTATCATGTTTTCACATTGGAAGAGAGAGTTTATATTTCGAATTGCAGTTAGCTGGAGGCTGAAGGCCGTTTGCAATTACTGTCAAGCGGGGGTTATCGTGCGACATCCATGCAATGGGCATTAATATCTCACGGAGCAATGCAGCAAATCATTAAATGTTGAAGCGAAACAATACCTACACTCATTACGAGCAGCCACGGTATGCAAAAATATTGCCACACAGCTAACGATTCGATGGCCCTACTATCAAAACTCGCTTATGTTCACATAGCGGCCTAACTACACATAGCGCCGTAACGGCCGATTGCTCACCAGTGATTGATGGGTTTAGCTTGAATAGTCATCAGTGATTGTCTGACGGACTTGCAACTCGTAATTATTTTGATGGTACGGCTCTGAATGTGCTAACGAAAAGAGCCTCTAGGGCGGCGGCAGTAGCCACGACAGAAGCAGCAACCAGTAAAGAAGTGGTAACTAATGAAGCAACTGAGACAACAAGAGCAGCAGCAACAACAATAGGCACATCGAGGTATATAGCAGCAGATAAACAAGAGTAGCACTTCCTGCGTGCCAGGTGTGGTTGCTCCCTGCACGAGAGCAGCAATAACAGCTGCTTGCCGGCACACGTGCGTCGCCCGGCCCGGCCAACGCTACCTACAGCACACCTGCCATCAGCGCTCTCACACACGTTCAGCTACTGTCTACATCTACCCTCCCCGTCTGCATCTATCCTCCCCGTCTACATCTACCCTCCCCGTCTACATCTACCCTCCCCGTCTACATCTACCCTCCCCGTCTACATCTACCCTCCCCGTCTACATCTACCCTCCCCTTCTACATCTACCCTCCCCGTCTACATCAACCCTCCACTCAGCCATCTTGCAACAAATGTTTCCGTGATCATACCTATTAGAGCTTTTCGATTCACGAGCAATAATCATAGGCTATTCTGTGAGTTTGCTGACGACGTGAATCGATACGTCGACGTGTTGCCTGGCTCCCAGCACACAGGTATGTGGGTGCTGGGAAGAACTGAACGTCCGCGCAGGTGTACGAACTCTTGCATGCAGAGAAGGATCACAGTACTAAGCTGCATCTGGAACGCACTGCATAAACATGTTTCCGCACCAACGGGTTTTGCAAGCTGTGCGCCATCAAAGGGGTTACAAAGGAGACGTTCGTTAGAATACGCTCGCCGCGGCCAATGAAAATTAATATATTATATATATACTCCGTTTATATTCATTGATCAGAATAATTTATTTATAGTTCAAAGAAATTCTCGCAAGAAGAGTGATCATGCCACGAGATGCAGTAGGAATCAAGGCAGCATGTAATCTATAATCTCAGCATATATCATAATCTATTCTCTACCACAAACAAAGTAGCAAGCGTCAAACCACATTATTTTTCTAATTTAAAAGTTCGAGTGTCTCGCTTTTCGTAAGCCCTTTACCATTTGTTGAATTGGTACATATTCATTCATTGATTTCCCTAGCGAAAGAATCATGTATAGAAGATGGTAACTCAGTAATTGAATGATTAAAAGCATACAAAGGAAGAAAGAAAGTTTTATTTAACAGTTGCAGCGAAATTGCATTAAATTTATTAATACTGTATGTTCAATAAGCGTCACAACCGCGAGTTATAAAATCGTTTACGAGTTCACAAGGAGACTAGAGCAAGTGTCTCTCTGAAGAAAGTGTCACAGAACAAGTGTCTCTCTGAAGCAAGTGTCTCAGAGCTAGTGTCTCTCTGAAGCAAGTGTCTCAGAGCTAGTGTCTCTCTGAAGCAAGTGTCTCAGAGCAAGTGTCTCAGAGCAAGTGTCTCAGAGCAAGTGTCTCTCGGAAGCGATCAGCAAATAAGACCATTTCGGCGTCCTCAGGTTATTTTTAAGCATATGACCGTAAGCTGAGGTTACTTGAGAGAGCGCTAATGTATCCACACTAGCATCAGAGGTCTTTGTAAGCAAGCGCAAGTTATCTTAAAACTCGTGTGTGCTTTTTATACGACTGCGAATGGTTGGTTCTCAATCCTTTGAGAAACAATTTTGCATTTCAAGATAAGTTATGCAAGACTGATGCCAGATAAAATTTTCGACTGTCCAGCAAACTTTAACAGAAGTATTTGCACGCAGAAGACAATGTACAGCGAAAAAATTTGTTCACTTTAATGATGCATTCACTCCATTATCAAAGGCTTATTATCAAATGCTCACAAAGGCGGAAACATTCAGCGCGCAACATTCATTACCGGTCTTCCCAAGGTTGGGGGCATTTTTCAGTTTTCTTACATCAGCCGGATGCACGTTTCCGAAGAGGAGCTGTCGAGCAGAGCTTCAGTTATTGACAAACAAGCGGCTCTCTGAGCTTAGTGTTGTAAGTAAAGCTAAGGTACAAGCATAACAGAGATAAAGCGGCTATTGTAAGTAAAGCAAAGGTACAAGCATAAAAGAGATGAAGCGGCTTTTAAAACCCCTAGAACAAAGCATTAGAACTTATGAAATGAAACGAAAATAGTCTAGAACTTTTATCAAAGCATGACTTTGAAAAAATTGCAAACGTAATTTCCCATAGTCCAGGAGAAAAAATTAAATCGTACAGATATACTCTACATATATACTTAAAATATTCGTGGCTTTTAGGATTACAACTTGCTTCTCTCGACATGACTGGCGTTCAAAAGAAGGTATATACAAAAGCAGACAAAAAGACGAGCACATGCAAGCAAAAAGGAGCTTCGACGACTCCCGTTGAATAAAGCAAAGCGAGTGAAGTTAACCGTTAAGCTAGAAGGCCGTCGCTCAGCCGCCAGGGTTTGTTCAGAGCATCAAGAGTAGCTAAGCGCGGCGCTATACAAACGAGACAAAGTTGCAAGCTAGCGTTTTTGTGGCGCACGCTATGCCAGCAACACTACACATAGACTGGTGAGCTGCTTCCACTGCTCACATCAAAGGGTATAACAAAATCATCAACAGAATTCATCAGCGCCAGGCTATGCTGATGAAAAAACTGTGCAAACACCATAGGTTTGACCACCAAGTACCAAAACTGTAATAGCCGTTGTAGAAGAGACCAAATGCCATGTGGTATATAACAATCAAAGTCGGCAAAGTCGAATAATCTTGATTGAGCTCTTAAAAATAATCGCAGAAGTTAAGTTAGGTAATCG